TTGGCGCTGTGACTGCATCAAAGATGGATGGTGCTCCGACAATATCTCGACTGTGTAGTTCCTTATCGCGACTCTTTGACCTGTGGCTACGGTGGTGATGCCGATGGCGATGATGGCGGTGACCATGTATTGAATGATGCTGATGGAGATCATCACCTGCTATATCCAATGAAGAATCATCGTCCAAGGACTTGCGCCGTTTCTTTGCCTTGTGAGAAACTTTTGGACGTGTCTCTTGAATCGGTGATAATAGCGGGTCGTCACCGAAGGATCGTGAAGAGCCAAGCTTCCTCAGGTGAGAACGAGAATGCCAATTCAAGTCGCTCATCGTTTTGAATGTTAGGAAAGGGTTAGTGGGAAACACAGTACTGTAGATCTCGGTTTTGTTTTTGACGATTAGAAAAGATTACGTGAAAAAATCAGAGCTGGAGGGTCTCGAAGTCATTCCATTCACAATTATTAGCGATAGTCGACGAGTCACCAAGAACAAGGTTTCTGATCGAATATCTAATAACTTTGGTGGCATTGATGAAGACCATAGAAAAATCCAATGGCGGTGTATTTCCACTTCCGCCACTGGAGCTCAGCAGGCAAGGAACGCCAAACGGTAATACAATCCATCCGCGCCTAAATATAGTCATGCGTGATGGCAGTGAAATTTCGCTGGCGCCACTGGATCCCAAGCGGGGAACGCGGCGAAACGGGCATAATGGTCATCGTTTTGGCCGTTTCATCCATGCAGTAGAATATTGTACCGCTATAATATTCAGATGTTCAATCACAGAGTATTTTAATGCATCGTGATTTCTGTTTTACCTTGCCCTAAATACAAAGATACAAGAGGACCTATCCACTGCATGATATGTTTGGCCCGAACAATGTAAAAGTATATATTCTCCCCTATTTGAAGATGGAAGGTCGGCACACCACCTTGACCGAGGAGCGCCAAGTAATGTTGAAAAAACTAGGGTTTGTTTGGGATTCTCATGCCGCGGCATGGAACGAAAGGTAAGAGCGACTACAACATTTTCGTCTGGAGCACGGGCCCAGCCGCGTCCCGAAGAGTTACCCGAGGAACCAGTCGTTGGTAAGTGACATCGAAGACTTCTCTTGACGATGGTGCATTTGATAACTCATATACTCATGTCTGTCGCTCGATCTCTAGGGCGTATGGTGAAGTGCCAGAGACAACAGTTTCGCTTATGGAGCCAAAACAAAAGGTCCAACATTACTAGAGAAAGGGTAGAAAGATTGAGGGACCTCGACTGCGTCTTTAATCCTAGGTACAAGAAGAGAAGTGACATAGCTACACGATGGTACTAGCAGTACAGAACGCTCAAGATCCATGCAAAAATACAATAAAATAACATAGTTTGTGATAGAAAGCGCTAGTTTTGGTGTTTCTTGGCAAGGGCTCTTAACCAGAATTGTGTGTATATCATCAGGGCTACACTTCAGAGTTGTAGTTGCCATTTTCGATTTTACTCAAGAGCACCCACCACTTAACATAATTTGTGTCCGATCCACTTGAGTGGTATCAAACTAAACTCGCGACCGTCCTTAGTATAAGGATCAGAGCAACTGCAACCCTATCGAGCACTGCGTTGAAATAACTGTTGGGGTTACATCAAAGCAAATTATGTTCTCTTGTCCTTCTCCGGGTGTATTATCACTGGACAAAGCCTACAGCTTGAACCTCTGCGAGTGACAGAATCCTCCCTGCTCCATATAGCTGAACCTTAATGAACCAAACATTGGGTTGAGGGCTGAAGTACAAAGTCTGGCCACCAAATCCAATCGCACTCGTAATCTGCTTCTGTTGCAATATAGCTCCATTTGAAGCAAGTAGTTGGACCCATCCACCATACAATCGTTCCGCACTGCAGGTAGCAAATGTTGTCGTAAGCTACTGTAAATTGCGCCACGCACACGGTCAAACAAGAAAACTTACCAGCAGTCGCTTCTGTTCCAAACACTGACATATTTTACAGTAGACGGTCGGTTGCCCCAGCCTGCGCCTATGTTCACATACCACCACGGGTCGTTTTCTATTTGAGTGTGCGTTGACTGTCCGGCCGCATAATTGCCGGCTGTGCTCCCATCGATAGCTAACCATGGATGACCGAAATCGTAAGGGCTGCTCTGGGCTGTCGACATACCGGGTACGATCAAGACCACGTTTCCGCTTGGTTCTGAATAGGGCAACAACACAGTTAGGCATTCGATCTCTACGAAGGAGAGGTATCAAAAGCCACCAAATGATATACTTACGCGAAGATGGCGCCATTGTCGGACTTTTCGACGGACTTGCAGATGGGACCATAGATGGTTCTGTTTTCGAATTTGCATTTGGTAAGGCGGATAGAATCGTCAAATTCCAGTCAATCTAAAGCGCAATCACAAGTACTCACGCATGCTTGGTGACTCCGAAGGCACGAAACTGGGAACAAATGACGGTGTCTCGGATGGAACTTCAGAAGGAATCATTGAAGGGAGTGTTGATGGTATCATCGAAGGCATCATGGATGGAACTAAAGGAACATCATAAATGAGAGAAAGAAGACACATAACAGAGTCAAAAATTGGAAACGCAACACATACCTGTACTTGGAATCATTGAAGGAATCATTGAAGGAGCTGGAGAAGGGGAGATTTGTACTCATCAGTATTATGATGCCAAAGTCTTCGTCGCCACAAAGCTGCGAAGGATACAACAAACAACTTACTTGTACTGGGGACCTCCGAAGGTACCATTGATGGCACTTTTGATAAAAGAAAAAAACGGCGCAATTTGTTAGAAAACGCGAACGAACCAATCCGATAGAGACTCTCTCGATTGACTCACCCATTGATGGTTCCTCGCTTGGGGCCACAGACGGTATCATAGAAGGTGATTCACTAGGAACAACACTTGGGACCTGAGATGGTGCCTCACTTGGAACAGCACTTGGAGCTTCAGAAGGCGATATACTTGGAATACTGCTCGGTGTGTCCGTCGGTCCAGCGCTTGGCAAGGTAGTGGGCTGGCCAGAGAACACATTCGTTGGCGACATCGAAGGAAGGTCCGTGGGCGCATGGCTCGGTTCAAAGGTGGGAAACGCGGTTGTTGGAACAGCTCCACCTTCTTCTGTGACAGCCACGGTCTCCTTTTGAATCTGTCCGCTTGAGTCAACAAATTCGAATTCAAAGGTAGCCCTTACATTCCCACCACCACCGCCAACGGTATTACCTCCTCCTCCACCACTACTACTAGTTCCGCCACCCCTAGCAGCATCTCTTTTGTACCTGATTTCCGTCACCAGTTCTTCTTCCTCCGCCACATTTGTAATCACCGAAGCCTTTGAGATTTGAACAAAGCCCTCGGGTAACTCTCCCTGGTCCGATAGCTCTTCTGTCTCGAAAATCACCAGCTGAATCAACTTTTGAAAAAACTTTTGACTCGAGAAATCTACCGAGAAACCTCCCGTTTGAAGCAGTCGAGATTGCTCGCCGTCCAGTTGTACTACGCCTTCTGTCGTAGCGTTCGAAACGATGCCAAAGTCGGATGTAATACCGACTGACGAATCCGTGACATTTCCTGCTGTAATGTCAGTGCCGTTTCCATCGGAAGCATCCTGTTGCTCCAGTTGATCCTCACTGAATAATGGACTCGTTTCAGAACATCGGTCGCATGCTACTTGAGCCTCAAATACCACTTCAAGGATGGTCGAAACCGGTCCATCCGTCAAAACTGATAGCGTCTGGTTCACAATCGAAACACTCCGCATCTCCCGGGCAAGTGGATCCAGACAGCCCGTGACCGCCACATTGGTACCCAAAGTGATTTCATTGTAGGCTCCCAATACTAGATTCGAGACTAGCCCCGACTCTCGGTCGTCGAATGGTCGAGGAACGCCTTCGAACAGCATCACCATACGACCACTGCGAATATCCGGATTGGCAAGACCACACACCGATAATATTGGTTCAGGAGGGGCATATTTCGCCACTACAGCTGTCGTGGCCGCAGCAGCAGCAGTAGAAACAGCTACAACGGCTGCCACTTGAGTTGCTCCCGCAGCAGCGGCGGTGGCACCTGTTTGTAGTCAATTACGATATAGGGTGAGTACAATTTATAATGCATCACATCGAAAGTCGCACATGGTCGGTTGCTCTACACTTGACTCCATTCAACTTACCAGCTGTAGCCGCAGCTGCAGCAGAACTCGCAGCAGCCCCTATATACATGAACGGGCGAAAGAAAGTTGTATAGACGTCGGTGAGAAAAAAACCACACTTTTTGTTCGTCCCAAATGGGTCCATCTAAACTTACCGGCAGCGGCTCCACTAGCAACACCAGAAGCGGCTCCACCAGCTGCAGAGGATGCAGCCTGAGCAGCCATTGCTCCTTGTGCCCCAGCTTGAGCACCACCAGCTCCACCAGCAGCACCACCTTCACCACCCGTTGGGGCAGGGGCAGCTCCTCCTCCGCCGCCACCACCACCACCAGGTGGCATGGCCGCCTGGTTCGCAATCGCATCGGCTCCTCCAGTATCATCACCTCCAAAACACTTTTTGATAACGCTCCAACAAGACATTACCAGTTTTGGACCGGTCATGACTAACAGAAAAAGTGCCAGAAATATCACGGTGTACTTGTTGGAAGTATCTTCCTCGGACTTGACAGTGCCAACTTCGTCTGGATCCTCTGAATGGTTCTCTGTAGTGGAAGCATCGGAATCATCAAGTTGCTTGGTCACCAATCCCTTTTCCTTTTGCCGCTCTCGGAATGCTTGTTGTATTTTCAGCGCCGCCTTTTCGGCATAAATGTACATGCGAAACGCTTCGTCCAAGTCTCGCGCTTGCTCTTGTTTGTTTGTGCTGTTTGCTTTTAGCCTATGAATACCGGTAGGTCGATTCTCTTCCAATGCAGTGGGGTCCTTCGCATCAAAGCTTGGCGCTGTGACTGCATCAAAGATGGATGGTGCTCCGACAATATCTCGACTGTGTAGTTCCTTATCGCGACTCTTTGACCTGTGGCTACGGTGGTGATGCCGATGGCGATGATGGCGGTGACCATGGTTTGAATGACGCTGATGGAGATCATCACCTGCTATATCCAATGAAGAATCATCGTCCAAGGACTTGCGCCGTTTCTTTGCCTTGTGGGAAACTTTTGGACGTGTCTCTTGAATCGGTGATAATAGCGGGTCGTCACCGAAGGATCGTGAAGAGCCAAGCTTCCTCAGGTGAGAACGAGAATGCCACACCAAGTCGCTCATCGTTTTGAATGTTAGGAATGGATGTGAAGGGTAGTCCTTTATTATTGTGAAATTGATATCAGTTTTGTTTTTGACGATTAGAAAAGATTATGATATACCGGTATACCTGAAAAAATCAGTACCGGTAGAGGCTATGGAGGGGTCACGCAAGTGTCTTTTTTTGCTTTTTCCTATTAGACCTTTTTGTAAGAGCCACCAAAACAAAGGTTCGTGTTCGTTTCTGTTTAAGGGTTTTTCGGTGGAAATCCAGTGGCGTTGAAATTTCGCTGCCAAGCGCCACTGGATGGGCAGGGAAAGTGGGGAACGCGAAACGCGCTGTCATCACCGCATAATATCGATCGGTATCGTCTTGATCGTTTCCATCCACGCTATAGAATAGTGTACCGCGGTATTCAGATGTTATTCCATTACAGAGTATTTTGATTGTGTATGGGCCAGTAAAGTCATGCAGTGGATAGGTCCTCTTGTATCTACGGTATACCAACCATATCGCAAAAGCATCGCATCATTCGACCATAATACGCAGTTCGTAGCCGTTCCATATCTATGGCTCCCAGAAAAGAGTTGCGCTGCACCAGCATTTTCCGAGCCAACCTTTTTAAGACGACGCTCAGAAATGCAGGCAGTATGCATACGTCGTGCAATACATTTCAGCAATAGAAAGAAATAAGCTGTTTCTGTGCGGGCGAGTATAATATACTGTACACGTGTACCGGTATATATATACGAGCGGCAAGAACCGACATGTATGAGCGAGAAGCTATACACAGGATGTCAAAATCTCAAGTACACACATCCCCGTAACACCAGACCTAAAAACACACTGGAGATGCGCCCTTGAAGCTGGAGTCGGAGCATGGGTATTGTACCAGAACTTATTGATGTCGAAAGAGCTGAGATTATATGTTATTTGTACCCCATGCATGCGAGCAGAGATGATCGGACTATATGCGGTTCATGCATGCATCAAAGCAGTAAGCATCTAACCGAATGAATGAAACGGCACCAAAAGCAAAATATTATTGGTTTCGGTGGTACTCAAGAGAAGTTTAGATTTTCTCGTCAACCTATTGTGCTACGCGGTGTTGGTGATAATTTCATCTGCATCCCCATAGTGTCATGTCCGCCGACCGCCAAGAAGCTACTATTGATCAGATCATTTATCCAGCAGGTCATCATCAAATATGCAGGAACGACTGCAGCGCGACTGGGGCAATTGTCAGTCAGAAAGAGCAACCCGTATTACTGGTTGCTATACTCTACCGGTACGCACAGTTGATGGTACCAATGAAACTCCTTTTCAGTGGACGAATGATGAATCGGAATTAAATCTTCTTAGGCCGAAGTTATAGCTCGCTCAGCGTACCGATATCAACGAAAGACCTAGTACAACTGAGTTTGCTCATTGTTTCTCTGCATATCATTGGATGAATCACCCTCCGAGCCATGACTAATGTGGTTGTGTTGGAATTTGATGCCGCCTAAATTTACCAGGCAATCATCTTTCTGTGAAGCCGATGATCTCACTATGCTCGAGTGGAATCTCTGCCACAGATTAGAGACATTGCCGCGCTATCACTACTCTTCAGTCTGTAATGATATGGTGTTGGTGATGATGATAATCTTGCTTTAAGTAATGATGGCAATTATGATCGTGCTTCGAGTGATGATTTGGTGCCATTTCCTTCTTTCCTTCATAGATGATTGATTCTATTTCTACTAACATGCCACTTGCTCCATGTGTGATTATTCAAAAATGTCACCACAAGTTATATATTTTAAAAGAGAATGGTTCAAAGTTGTACTGTACTGTATGGCTGCACAAGCCAATCTAGTGAGATCTGGTACATCGATCTCCAAAGACGTCGAGCAGGTCCAAAGACTGCGACGACACTCCAGTGCGGCTGTAGCCATAGGCTGAAGGGGCACTCTTGCCTTTCCTGTGATAGTTGCGCCGTGGTGCAGTGTCTTCGTGAGAGATAGGTAGCCTGCTCTCGTCCTCGCCTCCGAGGGGTAACTCGTATTCGGGGCCATCAAGAACCCCGCCATGCAACGACTCTTCAAAAGAACTATGCGACTCGTCGTTTTCATCAAAGTGTTGGCTAAGATCCAGCTTGTCTTCACTCAGGAAACAGCTGCTATGATTCCATGTCTCGGAGGTGCGATAATCCACATCCCCCGAGCATGACGTTTGCTGAGATAAGCAACTGTCAACGGAGCTGCTTCGACTCAAATTGCAATAGGCGGACTCTTGATGATCCGAGTAGGTGCTGTCCAAAGAGCCATGAAGGTGCTCCAAGTTGCTGGAAGATGATCTCGAGTATGCCGATCGGTAGCTCATGGACAGCCTTCGTCGAGGCAAAGGACAGAGCTGTGTACATGCTCCTTCTGATGCACCGCTGAACCGACTTTCGTTCGTACGATCAGAAAGACGAAGTGTTTCGTTCGTGCGATCAGAAAAACGAAGACTTTCATCGAAGCACTTTCCCATGGCTTGATCGGATGCCCTTTCCAGCTCTCGAAGAGAATGGAGTCTTGGGTCCAGCCGATACTGGTGTCGGTCTGATAAGGTTAGTCGATCGGAGGCTGCCAAGGCGTCATCCATAGTAATGCCTGAGACATAACTGAAATGATCATCTTCTACTGGGATACTTGAGAAACTGTGTATGGTCGTGACGGTGTCGGAACTGGACCGAGCTGGTCCGACAGAACTGTTAGCTTCTTCTTCTTCAGGCATGGCAATATGTTTGAATATATTATGAATGGATGTTTCTTGCTTGCTGTGAAACTGTTGTTTGGAAATATTGTGCCCGCACGGTGATGCTGTAGTAAAAAAGTTTTTGCAGTGATCTCAAACCTTTCAGCCCTCCAAGAGAACTCGGGTCGTAGTTGAAGAGCTTTTTGTCGATTTCTTTGACATTTTCATTTATAGTTAGAATATTTAGAACATAGCAATCATTCATTGCAGTAAGTGTTTACTTGGGATAAAAACAGGGTCCATTACCTGTGATGATAAAAGTACGCGTGTTCCTCTCTTTCCGATTTAAAAGAATGTCTGGACATATCTAACCCTATTCGTGTACTTGTGTACGTTATGATGTTCATTGAAGTGTTTTGAGGGCGCTTTTTCCTATTCAAACCGAACGTCCTGTGTTTCAGTATTACTACTATCAGTTTTTCACATGGCACGTGTACCTACCGGCTCTCGTCTTACAAATGATACATACATGTATATTAAACGCATTACTGTGTTATATAAAAAACAGCTCGCAGTTCATTCCGCCCCCTTCTTCACACTTTTTTGTTGACGATGGGATAGAGCCAAGGTGGTACCACCTACCAGGTCATATATGAGTGCTACCGTAGCGTATCACAGTTCGGTTCAGTTTTTGCCGATTAAAAAAGAAGGGGAATATACAGTACCGGTACTGCACTTGGTACGTACGGCAATGGGCGTATGAAGGACTATTGTGCATCGTGCCGGCACTCCTATTCGTGACAACGTGACGGTAGAACGCATCATTCCAGCTCACAATTTGGCCTACGACGCTTCAGGTGACGGATGCAATGGGCTACCGTAGCTCAGTCCACTGTAACTATTAGGCTTGTTTTTAAGATTGGAAATGGAGGGACAATCTATACTCTGCTTTGTTTCATGTTGCGGCCGCAAAGGCAACGAGGCATCGGTAGTGAACCAACATACTAGTTTTGGTGCTATGTGATTGGATGATGATGATTGACCCATTGGTCTGACGAGTCGAACCGCAACCTTTTCTTGCTAGCTAGAGCCTCTAGACTAGGCTCTACTGTACTGTAGCTGGTACCAGGTAACGGCGGTAGGCTCTTGGATACTCCATCGACGGTACTCATTTGTTTCCGCAATCTTCTGTTTCACTTTGCTCTAGTTTCAAAGATAACCTAACTATACTGCAAAAGACATATCGAATCCATATTTGCCCACACAGTTGTCTTGTTCCGAAGAACTGTTGTGACTTGTGATATGTTGACGCAATGAGCAGATGACGAGCAACAACAAGACCGCAGCACTATTTTCCTTTCTGTTAGGAGGAGGGTGATGATGATGTTCTGCTACAACTACAAAAATGCCTCGTCAAAGATAAATACCCCACTACCTAGAGTCTTCTGGTGGGTGGCTGCAATGGTCGTGATGATGATGTTGGTGATGATGATCGTGCTTCGAATGGTGACGGTGGCTCACTCCGCCTCTATCTTATGGTCATGCTTTGACTCATATGCCTGGTGAGTTTCGAATGCTGCATGCACCGATACTAACATTATATTTGTGTAATATTTCATTCTATATAACTTGTTATTTATTCGTATTTGTTCAATTGTTCAAAGGTGTCATCACAGAAAGCAGATAATGATTCAAACTTACAATGCAAGCATAGCGTCTGAGATCTGGTCCGAGGAGGTCCAAGGAGGACTAGAAGATACTGCGACTCTGTTATATCTGATGCTCGCTGCTGGTCAGAGGCTGGAACGGGATGTTTTAGTAAATTCTGCTGCATATTTTTCCTTGGTAAGGTTTGGTATGTTTGTGATAGCTTTCCGTTTCTCGTTCTTGCCTTTGATGGCCAACAACATCGTCATTCCGATTCAAGGGATCTTCTTGATCGAACAGTCCGACTCGCGATACTCGTTTGATTCAGTCTCATCATTATCCATAATTCCACTGCCTAGACTCTCTTCATCCAAGACGGGGCGGCGCTCATCCCATCGTTCAGAGGTTCGATAGTCCAAATCACTCGAGGATGACTTTTGATCGTCCACCAAGTTGTTGTTGTCCAAGATGGCGTTGAGGAGGTCCAAGTTGGTGGATGATGATTTTATGAATTCCAAATCACTCGAATATGTTGATCGGAAGCTTGTGGAAATCCTTCGTCGAGGCACACCACAGAGTTTTGGATCTGCTCCTTCCAATGAATCGGCGAACCGGCTTGCATTCGAATGTTCAGAAAAAGCAAGTTTATCAAAACACTTTTCCATTCGTTCGACTTCGGGATCAGATGCCCGATCCAGCTCTTCAAGAGAATGAAGCCTCGGGTCCAGCTGATACTGATGTCGGTCGGATAAGGAGAGTCGATCGGAAGCTGTCAAGGCGTCATCCATTGTTATTGCTGACACAAAACTGATATGGTTGTGATCTTGTTCTTGGAAACTTGCGCGACTGTGGGTCGTTGTGATGGTGTCGGAAAATGACCGATCTGGTCCGACAGAAGTGTTGATGTTGATTTCTTCATCAGGCATGGTAAGAAAAGATGAATGGATGTTTGTTTCTTTGAACTTGTTGTGACAACAGCGGTATCACGTTTGTTGTTGGCTTTTGTGACCAGAACAGGGGTTTTTGTCTCACAAGGGCTTTTGGTATTTCTCGTGGGGAATTCCATATGTGAAAAATACGATCAAATCCGATAGCATCTACACTTGTTCTTTGCGCACGATCAGAATTGATTCTTGTTAGAAACTCACGAAAGGATATGTCGTCTTTTTTCTCCCGATTTATGTGGCTTCGCAGGTCGTAATTAATTGGTAGGGTCGTGTTCGCTGTCACATTCTTATCTAGATCCAAATTACTGTAGAGCTTTTCTCTATTAGTGATTGAACCTTTATCCTCGAAACTCTCCTTTTATGATATAAGTGAATTGCTCTTCGATAAATAATGCCAACGGTGCTGGCTGACCATGCCATCGAAGGTCATCAGGGGGTGCATTCTACTTCGTCATTGTGAAGGCCGAGAAGTTGACGAGGCACAAGTCCATCCAGGTCGAGATGATGATTTTTAACTGACTATATAGTCTAGTCGCGGCCATACCTTATTTTTGACTTCTTCGACTACAACCAAAAACCCAGGACCCAAGAGCCCTACAGTATCTTGTACCATACGACCTTGTTGTGACTACAAATCGTTTCATTGCGACTGTTGTATTTCTACTAGATTTCTGTATACTCTGAGTTGCAACGTTTAGCGTAGAACCGATCAGATTCAAGGAAATTCCAAGTCAATTGAATTGTGGTTCGAAGGAGGTGGGGAACCAAACATCTCATTTCCATTGCAGCATAGTGTAGATACCAATGAAGTCTACCAACGCCCAGACCTTGCTATTCGTTGCATGTGGGACCCATCGTGGGCTCCAAAGCGCCAACCAACAGAAGCAGCTTGATCAACATTTGTTGGTTGTGGAATGATCATAAGGATATCGAATAAATCCCCAATCGCAGCTCTGAACGTGATTCATACAACAATGAAGCTTGCTGTAGTATTTGGTTCCATATTCTCTTCTTTTGGGGTCCACAAATGCCGATTCATCGTTTCAGTCAGATCTACCAGCTGACGGATTCGAAATTCTTTGTTCCAACGAAAGGTGGTTGATTGGGGTCGCAGTGGGGATATTGATGGTTGGTTGTTGCTTCTAACCTCTTGTGATTGTTGTTCCAAGGTGGTTGGTGATGGGTTTTCAGTGTCGTGGTGGGTGTGAAAAAAGTAAGGTCTGGGACCGTATTCGGTAAGGTATATGGGGCCTTATCTTGGGTCCACGTGTACCACCACCAACGACAGAGATCACTGTGGTCTGACGAGTCGAATCTTGACTTTTTTATCTCGCACTTCAATCAGCTACCCGTTCTTCCACCATCTTCCATTCTGCGGCACGATCTTTCCAAGCATATCCTCACAGCAGAAACATCACAAGGGGAGGTTCCTTAGTGATAGGATGAACTCTTGATTTTGTCGAATTTTATTATTATTCTTTCTCCATTTTGAATTTCCACTTGAGGAGTTTTATAGATGAAAGTCAAACCATACTGTAGAAATAGTGTCCTTGTACACGGTCGAGAAATACGCTCACATCTCACATCGGGTACCTGGTACAGTACTACTTTTTTCTTTGCAGAAACTCCCAAGAACCAAATTCCCAACCCATTTGGGAGTTTGGTGCTTTGAAGAACCGCTGTTTAATGAAATTACATATGAGCGCTGAGACGCGAGAGAACCGTTTCGAGCTCACAAACTCTAATCGTAACAGATCGTGTTTCCCATATTTTGTACGTCGGATGACATGAACGACAAGGACGTGCATCAATTCAACATTGACATACCTACCGACAAACAAATGATGCTCGTACCAGAACCAACACCCTTGGATACATCGCGAATGACACAGGTTCAAAAAGTGTCCATATTTGCAATGCCATACTCACATTTTTTTTTGGAAGCTTTGAAGCCACTGCTGCTGAATGATCCAAAAGCTAACCTTATTGACTCAAATCGCTATGCTAATACAAGTCCAAGAGAACCAATACATCCGGTCTCAGAGTGCTCAAAAGAGTTAGAACGAATCCAAATGAAAAACCCTAATGAACGGCAACGCCAGGTCAAAGAGCTTCCGAGGCAGTCCGGTAAAAGTCAGACGAAGAATTATTCCAATCATACCAGCCTTTGTTGGAGCAAACAGGTCCAGCAATTGATCCGATTTAAGGAAGAGCACAATCACTGCAATGTCCCTCTCAATTACGCAAAGGACATGAGTCTAGCTAACTGGACGAAGCGGCAGAGAAGACAATACCGCCTGAAGATCGAAGGTCGCCACTCTACAATGACGGACGAACGCCAACAGGTGTTGGAGCAGATTGGCTTTGTTTGGGACTCGCATGCAGCAAGTTGGAATGAACGATGGGGACAACTGCGAGACTTTCAAAAGGAACATGGACATTGTCTTGTTCCGAAGAAGTATCCAAAGAATCAAAAGCTGGCAAGTCGTCGTTTCTGATTCTACACAGTATGCGGATGATGATTCATTCACTGTGCTCACATAATTTTCTATTCATTTGATTCCAGGCCGTTTGGGTGAAGGTCCAGAGAAGGCAGTTCAAATTGTGGAAGAGAGGTCAATCCTCCAACATTACAAAAGAGAGGGTAGAACTCTTGAACCAGTTGAATTTCGTCTTTAACCCAACAGACCAGTACAAAGAACGAAACAAAGAAGGATCGTCATCTGAAGAAGAGACGTCGGTATCTAGTCACGGCAGCGCCTTGCAAGAAAGGATAAAACGTAAGCGATCAATATAATAGATAGTGCTAACGATAACATCATGATTAAGATCATCAAAGTGCATTACTACGTTGACAAGCTTAGTTCTCACTTCTCGCATTTTTATCCTTTTCGGTTTTTTAAGGCTTCTGAATTGGATCTTGATGTATCTTCTGAAATAGATCTCGATCGACACGGCTAAAGTATCCCTTTCTAATTAAATCCTGTGTAGACTGGAAGCTAGAGGAACAAACCGTGCTTTCTTCTCTAACCTTGAGGGACTCAGAGATGTTCCCTTTGTAACCAAACGCCTTCCAGTAGAACATGCCGCGACACAAAAATGTCTTGTTTTTGGTTCTTTGGACACACTATGTTTGTTCTGAAATATCTCGATCAACGTAGAACATATCGGTACCGGTTGGTGACAGACAGGTCCCGGTTAGGGTTGGGATCATTGTTGGGATTTCTGTAGGGTTTGGTCATTGGTACCGGTATCGATGGCCAGGAGCATTCTATCTGTACGACGCCCGAAATATGTCATTACGTCGTACGTGTATTTGACCCATCACCCAGATGACCTCAAAAAATATCCGAAATGAACATGAACTCAATGTGTGAACAAGTATCATGATCTCAAGTATTCCTTCAGATGCCTTGAGAAGAATCTTTCAAATAGCACATCCATTGAATGCTGCAAGAAATGAAAGGTCGACAACTCCTGTGCACCAAATATTGCGAGTACAATCACGACGGCTAGCCTCGAGAACAATTGTACGCAACGGTACTCCAAAGGCTCCCTTATTGTCCAGCACCAAAGCGTCACCGCCAAAGTTTCCTCAGGAAGCCTTTGATAAATTATTCATCATAAAATCCAAGGATCCTCCACCGGAATCTTTCTCAGCCTGGCTGGATAGCTTGCGTAGCAATGATGGATCCATCTCAGAGGAACTGGAACATGAATTGATACTGGAAATTGCCGATTCCAAGAACAGGCGCTTGATGCAAAAAGCCACGGAGCAGTTAGAATGGACGGATCAAGAATCCATTCGATTATTGATTGTTTCATGGACCAAAATATTGAGGGAGCCAAGACGGGGAGCCAAGCTCCTGCTGGATTGGCAGAGACAAACACAACGATTTGATCAGATGCCAAAAATGGGAACCTATCGTTTGGTCCTCTCAGGACTTGCTCAAGAACCTAGGAACAGTGAGCTAGCATCCGAAGTTCTGGAAGAATTATACAAGCAGAGCCCACGCCTTTTGCCTGATCGAGATTGCTTTCATCGTGTTCTCGGAGCATGCTCGAATGATCCTGCCAGAGCAGAGGAAACTCTAATGAAGATGATTCATTTGGCCCAGAGCAAAAGACTCGACGTCATGCCGAATCTATCTACGTATCGATTACTATTTACTAGTTGGTCAAATTCCAGACAAAAAGGAGCGGGGAAGAGAGCCATGGAACTATTGAGATCCTGTCCAGTGAACCCCGACACTCTGTGCTACAATATGGTTATGAATGCACTCGCAAATGACGGCGACTACGAAAGGGCAGAAGACGTATTAATGGAAGCCTTGCGAGAGAAAAAGGCAGATCGAGTATCAATTTATACCATCTTCAAGGCACATGAAAAAGCAGGGACCAAGGAGGCTGTGATCGCAGCCCAGGATTTCTTGGATCGAATTGGAGAAAGCAAGGATAGCAGTCATGGCCTAAAGTTGCCAAGAAAATTCAACGTCCCGAATGCTCGTACCTATGCCACGGTGATTGGAATGTGGGCAAAACTTGGTCAACCAAAACGAGCGTGGGATTTGTTGCAAAAACTCGAGGACAAGGCGGAACAACCTGATGGTCGGCGTTACAGGGCGGATCAAATTACTTACCAAGCGGTCATTGGAAGTTTATCCAAGGGGAGTGACAAACAGACCCGGCAAAACGCTGAAAAGGCGCAAGAACTCCTCGAATCCATGGCGTTGCGGTTCCGACTGAATCCAGTGACTTGCAATACGGTCATCAAATGTTGGACCAGGGCCAAGAATCCAGATGCCGCTAAGGAAAAAGTTTTGGATCGCATGGTGGATTGGCGAGTGTCTCCTGATATCGTGTCTTATAACACCATAATCCAATCTTATGCCAGGATGGGAATGGCAGTAGAAGCCGAAGGTCTCTTCAACGAATTGCTCTCCTCGGCGTCATCCGCGACATCCGAAGTGATTCCGAATTCGAGAACTTTCACAGCAATAATGATGGCACTGTCCACCCAAAAGTCTGTCCCAAGTGCCGAGAAGGCGGAGGAATTACTTGCCGTAATGATCCAAAAGCACAAAGAAGAACAGTGGAATACGTCGCCAGATATCTACACCTACAATACCGTATTGAGATGCTGGTGCACGCTGAGAGATGGAACCCGGGCCGAGTCTTTCTTTCGAAAAATGGAGCAAGAAGTCAAGCCGGATGTCATCTCGTACAATTCGTTGCTCAATGCCTATTACCACAATTTTGAAAAGGGCGTGGCATTGGTAGAAGAAATGATGGAGAGAAAGATAAAACCCGACAGGGTAACACAACGGACGTTGCTCCAAATACTCACGAAGGATAAGCGTGTGCGAAACAAGGACCAAGTGAGCAAAGAGACAATGGAAAGGTTCTTCCTTTGATCGATTGGAGATGATTCATTCTTGGTTGCCAACTGACTGACCAACTACAGGAAGCGCTACCATGTATGGCAATAGAAACGCCCGAAAGTTCTGCATTTTCAGTTTTATCCGGTACGAAATATTTATTTTTTTAAAAATATCGCGTAGTTCGGATTTTGCACTTCCAAGCTGTCACTTTTCTCCGCGTGTTAGATGGTTTTCGCGTACAAGAACAAGCGGGAAGCTTTCCTTCGGAAAAAACATTTTGGTTTCCCATAGTAAATGCCACCACCGAAAATCATCCATTCATTCGGATCATGCGGCGGTCCCAGAAAAAGGCCTCACTGCAACCAGAACCCCGATGATTTTGGCCTGAGCAGAAATCGAAGCAACAGTACTGAAAACGACGACAACTTTCTTCGCCCTCACAAAACACGAAACAAGAGAAACAAACACACCTCTGTAATCACAACATACAATATAACACAAAGATGGCCTCTCTAACACCCCTCAGCAAATCCGATGAAGTCGTCGGCAAATCCATGAATGAAGGCTACATGAACGGATTCATGGTTTTTGTTCCTTCCTTGGGCGCCATGTACATGGCGTTGAAAAACCCCACCTTTCGAAAAGTTACAAACGTTCAATCCCGAACAGCAATGGTCATCATGCCTGCACTTTTCGCCTTTGCATTTGTCAGTGAAACCAAGCTCATTGATGGAATGGAGGAACTCGCCGCTGAAACAGAGAGCAACATGAAGACGGTTGCTTGGGCCGAGCATGTTAAGAACAACTATGCCAAGGACGCGGAACTACACGACCTGTACCGCAAATCGGTAATGGAGTCAGGAGTTCGTATGGTTCCCGAGTTGACACCCTTCCATCAGGCTGCCAATTACATCCAAATGAACCCCTTCAAGTGCATTGCCGGATTCGGTGTCCCGGCAGTCAGCGCAATCTACTTTTCCGAAAGTAGAAAGAGTCATTTGCCACAACAATTGAAGATTCTTCACACTCGTGTCTTTGGGCAAGCTACTGTCATTGCCACCTTGTTGGGAATCATGGCCCTCAAGGAAATGATGGATCGCGGTGGCCGCTACATCACCGACGAACAGGTCGAAGAACGAGTCGAAGAAATGAGAGCCACCAGGGAGCGCATGCTATTCAACATTGATGAAGAAGCCAAGCGATTTGCCGAACAACGCCAACATAACCATGATATTAATAAGCATTAAGCTCGGATGATCCTCCTTTCATCCAAGCTAACGACGAGTGGTGCAGGGTCGTGGCTGCTCCTGCTCTGGGACTCCGACGACGACGAGATGACGATAAAGTAGGTACCGAGAGCAAGTGACCAAAGACGAGACCACCACATACTACCGATGCAATATATAGAATGCATATTTTTCTTTCTCTTCAGACCGTCTTGTTTAAAGTTGTTCCCTTCCTATCGGTAGAGCGTCAGCATTGCGAATCATTCAATCAATCCCGCATATGCGACGATTGATTGATATTGCAATGAATGCGGGATTGATTGATTCCTTCGACTGACCACAATTTGACTTCGCAAGCGCGCACGCTCGCTGTCACATACCTATGATATATCAAGAAAGAGTGGAGATAACGACGATCAATAGCAGTAAGTGTCTTCTTGCAATAACCCCAGAGTCTACATTGAAACACATGGTAATGATCCACAACAAAGCTATTATTGCCATGTCGATGATGGTTCTTCGCAAATCCCTTGGATGGATGCCACATCGTCACTTCGCTTGTCATTCTTCGTCGTCAAGAAGAATGAGGACCACGTCGTCATCCGTTGTGTCGGCACCTTTTACCTCGATATTGGATCGTACCGTGGACCGAAACCGTGATATTGCCGTATTCTCGACGACGACGACAAAATATGATGATGGAAAAGAGACGAATGGGGAGAGCGACATGGTGAATGTGACTTTGGAAACAGCCTCCAAACAAACGTCATTGAAAGTCCAAAAGGGAGAAGTTTTAAGGAGAGCCTTGCTTAGAAGAGGTGTCAGTCCGCACAATGGTCGTGCGCGACTGATCAATTGCCGAGGATTAGGCACTTGTGGAACCTGTGCTGTAGAAATTGAAGGCAATGATGATGCGATCGTACCTGCTGAACGCAACACCAAGGAACGGTTGCGACTGAACTTTCCGCCCCATGGATCACCGGATCAATCGCCCAACTTGAGATTGGCCTGTCAGGTGCAGGTAAAAGACGATATTGTGATTCGCAAGAGAACTGGTTTCTGGGGACAAGATACAGATGAACTAGCGGAAGGGTACGACGCCGAATTATGGTTTGGGAACCTCGAATACCTTTTGGACAGCAAGTCTCCACCGGACCAGAAGTAGAGACTGATGAAAGTCTGTATTCTTAGGTATGCAATATTGGTTATTATATTACTTCAGAGGGAAAAGCTGCTTGAAGAATGCTCTGTCTGTAGGCATTTCTGGTCCACGGGGTAGAAATGGTGCGGCCCTGAATAAGTTTCAGACACCCAAACTGAAGTCGCTTTACAACAGTAGGGCTGACGTTGTGAAGGCGATGGAAATCTTGATTTACGGATTCCGAATAACCACTTCAGCAAAAAATTACCAAAACAATGAAGTATATCAAGAGGGCATTGCCTTATCGAACGGAGACGAGTCACTCACTGGTGGTGATCCATTCATCATTATAAAGCACAAAAAAATTTAGAATCTAGATTATTTTTAAAGAGCTCGAAAAAAGTCCAATGAATTCTCTTACAACACAATAAATTACACTATTGTACCATACAGAGTAACTGTGCGATCATCATATCTAATCTCTGTTGTTGTATCATGTTTGATTCATCCGACTGCGAAAATACGCAACATCGACATTATATTTTCAATTTCATTGGCCTCCATCCATTGCATTCCTTCACAACAGCTACACTTACAGTTGTCAATATACCCATCCACCCACACCTTCACCATGACTAACACCACGTCATCTCACTACGAAGCACATTCCAACGAGTCTTATGAAGAAGCATACTTTTATGAGCCCGGCACGTACATGCAACATTTGGTGGACTTGGTTGGTACGCGGCTCAAGTTGGGAGATGCGTCGCCTCCCTGCAGATTGATTGACATGTAAGTCTGCAGCTGTTGTTGACCAATTAGAATTTCATCTCTTTTAGTTACATTCATCAATCATTTTCGTTTCCTCACGTGTATAATTTTGCTCTATGTATATATTGTATATATATAATATATATACACCGGTAGTGGAGGTGGAACTGGAAACTTTGCGCAAGCACTCATGGACAGCCATCCTTCCAAGTTTGTCTCCACTGTGGTCGATCCATTTCTGGATCCCACCGCGTCCGGCAAGGATGTCAAGGGTTTGGACTTTGTCAAGGAGTCTGCCGAAGTCTTTATGCAACAAAATAATTCCGAGGATGTTCAGGCGGACGATTCTTATTGGCGCAACGGCTATCACAAAGTTCTACTCAAAGAGGTTGCGCACCACTTCAAGGCTGCCGATCGAGTGAAAATCTTCAAAGGAATTTATAATGCCCTTGAAAGTAGTGAGGCTGCTGGCGACAGTAGTGATGATTCGGCCTTGCTCATTGTGACCAGGCCTCAAGTGGAGATTGATTATCCACTCTGGGATGAAGCCCGGCAAGTATGGAAGGAGAATCAACCGAGTGCGACCGATTTCATGAATGAATTAAAAGAAGCAGGCTTTGTGAATATTCAACAGACCTTGGAGCCATATCCCTGTCAAATACCCCTGGACCGGTGGCAATCCATGGTCAAGGGAAAGTTTTGGAGTACCTTTTCCAACTTTTCGGATGAGGAACTAGAAGCAGCCTGCGAAACGATTGCCAAGGATTATGCCGATCGAGTGGGCAAGGATGGTATTTTGCATTTTGAAGATCGGTTGGTCTTTATCTCCGCAGGGAAGAAGAAAGCATGAATGATGCCATGAACTATCAACTACCCACCCACTTCTAGATTGCCACGCGGAATGCATGACTTCGCACCACTTCCAGCAGGTAATCTAGCACGTTGCATCCTTGCACCATGTATTGGGGTTCGAATATGTGGGCTCAAACTACCTATAGTTCACCAAAGACTGCTGGACTACAAGTATAACGTAGTATGCAAGAAGAAGAAGAAGAAGCTGCGAGCCACCGTGGCGAGTGGGCGGATCATGACCCTCCTGGGGCTTTGGCAACCCAATAGTAGCAGTACTGCAGAAATCATCATTTAGTGATTCTGTATAGTAGGAAGGAGACTGACTACGGAATACAAACGCTAGCCCTATTATAGGTACATCGGTCTGGGGTGGACGATAGGATCGGTGCGGTGGTAAAAATCTCTATGTGATTGACTACGACGACTCAAAATCCAGTTTTCGTCTGCTTATATTCTTATATTCCATCATCATCATATCATCATATAACGTCAAAGGTAGTAACATCAAGCACTTCAGAAAAGACAAACGGTAGCAAACAGTTCCAATCAACTTGCTGATTCTCCTTGCTTACACATCGATCGCTTGATTCGTTCATTCGTTCATTCGTTCACATTCATTTTAAAAAGGTATGGTTCGATCAGCCAACGAAAAGTCCTCGGCTACCTATGTGGCGTCTGCGGTTTGGACCCTGTGTGTGGGACTCTTGATTTGGTCCGATCTGGGCGTCCTGGCCTTTTTTGGCTCCATTTTGTTCCTAATTTGGGTCTTTGGATTGCGAGAAAAGTTTTCCAATGAAGAAACTGCCAGTGCCTATAGCGTATTCAATCTAAATCAACAAGCGATTGCCGGGACCTTGACGGCGGGTCAAGTCGATCGACAATTGCGAGGAGGCGGTATTGCCAATAATACAAATGGTAGTATTGGCAACAACAGTAACATTGCCATGGCAGCATCTCAAAACAACAACTCACAGACAGCAGCAACCAACAATGTGTCCCAAGAGGAACGACTGCGGCGAAGAAAGGCGGCAGCCATGGCTGCGGAACGTCGGTTTCAACAACCAGAGCAATAGAATGACAGCAGTAGGTAGAAGGTAGAAATCAAAAAATGATTATTTACTTGTGTAGAATACAATAATGATATCTATCGAAAGTGTAGTGTGCTAGTATAAAATGAATCATGTCATTGCTGCAAAGCTCATGACTGACTGACTCCCAATCTATTGAATCCTTGTCGAAACTTCCTTGTTTTGTTGGACTTGCTTGTCCAACTCTTGGAATTCATTCAATTGAACATCCTTGTGCGCCAGTTCCTGTTTGAGAGCCTTGTTGGCATTTTGCATTTCGAGCAATTGTTGCTCCAACACTACCAACTTTTTTGTGGACGCAGACGGCGGCAAGGAAAGTTTGGGCGGTGGTGAGGGGGGTTCCTTGACTTGTTGGTCGAGATAGGAAGCTGCTGTCAATTTGGGTTGTTCTTCAATGGTGGGCAATGCCAAGGGGGGCTGTGCCACAGGCTTGGAATTGAACTTCTTGTGGTCAACATCCAGTGCCCGTTGACGAGCTTCCAAAATGTCAAACATCTTGAGTCTCAAATCCTTTTCCAAAGCTTCCAATTGCTCCGCCGTCATGGATGGATAAGAAACAGTACTAGCAGTAGGACTAGCAGTAGGACTAGCAGCAGCGTCACCAGCAGGCACATCACCAATTGGTTTGTTGTGTTTGTGTTGAAGGTCTTCCATTTCAATCATGACAAAGGCCAATTCCATCATGGTTTCGTCCAAGAATTTGTCGAGCCTCGCCAAGATGGACAGTAATTTGGAACCATCCTCGTCCTCACCAGTTGCATCAGCTGGTTTGGCAGCAGCACCAGCACCAGCATGTCCATCGTCATGCTCACTTTCCGAACTGGTAGTTTGAAACACCAATGGATGGCCATGTTCTTCCTCATCGTAACTGGCAATCTTGGAGATATTTTGGACTGATTTATTTGGAGTCACAACGTGTACCGCTTGATCATTAGTTGGACTGGCAACCGAACTGGTAGGGGAAAGCACCAAGAAGGAATCGTTCAATTGACTGTCATCGTAGGAAACCACAGTGGTATTGGATGTATCCATGGTGGAATTCAGCACGATACGTGATGATGATGATGATGATGCCTTCTTTTTATTGTCATCATAGTCACCATTACCATTACCATTACCATTACTGTCGACTGTACTGGGATGAGTACTGTTGCTTCCGTTGCTATCCTTGGCGACCCAAATCTTGTTGTCGCCTCCGCCACGAGATTCGACGTTCGTACTACTGCTCATGCTGCTATTCGAGCTATTGCGGCGAATATGTTGTCGTTGTTGTTGATCGGAAATAGTGGGAATGACCTTGTCCTTGTTGCGTAGAGGGGTCGTCGACGACGGTTTGGAGGAGGATCTGCGGGAAGAACTACGGCTTTTGGAGCTGCCATGACTTCCCCGGCTTCTGTTCGATCCATGGCTGCCATGACTGCTGCCACTTCCTCGTCGTTCGTGTTTTCGTCTTCTTCGATGATGTCGGTGGCGATCCTCACGAGATTTTTCTTCCTCTGGACGATGAGAAGAAGAATCCAAGAGACTACTGTTGCTGCGACGAATGTCTTGTTTGGTCAAGACACTGTCCACTACACGACTCGTTCCTTTCATTTGCTGTCGATCCTTCTTGTCCAGGGGTGCTTCGGCCATGACCACGAGCAATTTTTCCGGGACACTCAATGCTTCCACCGCTTGATCTACCGTCTTGATGGATTTTCCATTGACGGTAACCAAAATTTGTCCCTGGGCAAAACGAGGAGGGACAATCCCTTCTTGGGACGTGACAGTAGCAATTTGGACATTGCCCAAATGATTTTGATAAATCGCCAATTGCAATCGACGCACAGGCTGCGCAATGAGCAAATGAGTATTGGATTCCACTTGAATGATACTTCCATAGGGCAGTGAATTCAATAAATAGGCAATGGATTCTCCTTGTTGCTGTCGAACTTGCAAGCCCGCCACCATGAGTTCACGTTGTTTGGGAAGACGAGCTCCCTTGTGACGACGATGGACTTGGGTAATGACAGGTTCCTTGGCCAAATGAGGATTGTCCAGGCGTGGGAGATTTGAATTATTCAGAGTTGGATTGCTTGCGCTATCGCCAGTACCGGTCGATCCATCAGGTGCTCGATTCACAACCTCTTGGACGGCATCCTGCTTCATGCAGGATTGGCTCTGCCCCATAATAGTTTATGACGCTGTGTTTGTCTAGCTGTATAGCTGTATAGCTGTATAGCTGTATAGTTGTATAGTCTACAGTAGAACTCTCAATCTGATGGATTCTCAAGCTTCTCAAATGTGATTTTTGATGTGATTTGAAGGATTCTGATCTGAAAGTTTCCACCTGAATTTTTGCAATCACCGCGGTAGGCAAGTTCGAAACTGTTTGATGCTGATTGATTGTACGGCAAGTCAAAACGGCAACGATTGATGAATACAGCAAGTGCAAATAGAAGGTTACTTTCTCTTGAATGTGTCACAGGGTCTAATGATCACAGGCTTCTTGTTTGTCAACTGAAACGTTCCTTCCTTATTATTGTCTCCGTTGTTTTTCAAGTCCCAGGTCCGGGTCGTCAGTTTCGCCTCAATCTTGCATTCAACGCTCTTCCGAATATTGGGCGGACAGGCTTGATTCGAAGCCCAATTAAATTTGAGTACTGTACCGCACGTAGCCTTTCAACCGCCATTTTTCGCTGGTTTGAAACTTGCTCTAAGTAAAATACATGTGTAATTTGACCCATTGGACTCGTCCAAGGTCAAATCTGAGAATTATCTCCACGCATTGCGATCCACGAGAAAAAAAGATGATACATGATGGGTGACCATGAGAGGTGCGTTTTCATGTTGGTTGGTGCTGTTCTGCGGCTACGGCGACTGCAGCAAAAGGAAAGAATGACGAAATATCTATACTTCCAATTGATTCTGATGGGATTTTATCCTTTTTGAAGAACCAATATAACTCGATAAACCACTGACTTTCAGGAACATGAAGCAACCAATAATATCGTCGAACTGTATTCTCAAGCAATGATGGTTGGCTAACAGCCCTTTTTATTCTTATTCTCTCCAGATAGTAGATGCATGATCATCATCATCATCATCAAGTTCGCGAATAAACTTACAATATGCCCTGGATCATAGTGAGGTACAACGACTATTGTTATATTCCCCATGCTATTTTTCAATGAATGTTTGAATCAATCCAGCTTCCGTCCAGTATTAAGTATACAGTACATCCAACCATTCTCTGTTGCCACCAGCAAGGACAAATGAAGAATTTTTGTCCATCCATTACATCGATAATCTGCAGGAAGCTTGTTTATTTTCAGGATGAATTTGCTCCTATATATACTGTCAACAATCTGACTGGATTGAATGACAAGTATCCATTTCTTGCCCTTTCTGATTGTGCGCCCGTGCCTACAACTAACACATGGGGTAATATATTTTCAAACAATCACGACGACAATTCACCTAGAACTCTGTGTAGTACATCATTTGAGCGGCAAACAGTGATCCGCTTGTCTTTCTCCAGTTACTATCCAAGCAAATCTCTTGATGTTTTTGTTTTCGATGATTCATTACTCTTCAAAGATGACTTGATGAAATGGTGTATACCTGAGGACTATCAGCAGGATGACACGACGGGTGACAAGGTGGGTGCGCATAATGATGACAGCACAACAAAAATCGATCCTTATATATTATGGTGTAAGAGAGTTTACAACCTGTACGGTTTGGGTGGCAATTTCAAGTTCTTCATTGGTAGGAATCACAAACAAGTTGATCTTGCTGGAGGCGGCTTGGAATTCCACCACAGGACCTTCCATTTTTCTGGCGCTATTATTCTTGTCGGCATCCACAACAATGCCAAAGGGTTCTAGATTGGCGAGTGCCAATTCTCGCAAGGGTGCCGCATTTTCTCCAACACCAGCCGTAAAGATAATGGCATCCAGCTTTCCACCAAGCGCTGCAAAGTAAGCTCCAATGTACTTTTTAATGCGGTAGGCATACATTTCCACGGCCAAGGCTGCATCTTCGTTGCCTTCGTCCCTCAGTCGAAAGACATCTCGCATATCATTGGTACCAGTCAACCCCTTGAGGCCACTTTCCTTGTTTAAGACCTTGTCCACATCTTGGATGCTCTTCATATGAGATTGATCTTGATTCGCCAAGAGGTATCCGTGAAGTGCTGGATCGACGTCGCCACAGCGTGTGCCCATGATCAATCCTTCCAATGGTGTCATTCCCATGGAAGTATCAATACTCTTTCCATTTTGAATGGCCGTCATGCTGCATCCATTGCCCAAGTGAATGGTAATGGCATTTAACTCTGACAAGGACTTCTTTTTCAAAAAGTTGGCCGCTTGGCGGGCCACATATTGATGAGAGGTTCCATGGAAACCATAACGACGAATCTTGAGACTTTCATAGTATTCTTTGGGAATGGCATATCGATAGGCGTGAGCTGGTATGCTTTGATGAAAGGCGCTGCAGAAAAAGAAACAAAAAGTGTTGTTGGCATGCGAAAAATAGAAGTGCCATCGTTTGTTTCATCACAATCTCGTCATTCTCCACGTTTATTAGAACTTACGTATCAAAGACCGCGACTTGTGGAATACCAGGAAAGTGGGTTGCTGCTGCTCGGATTCCAATCAAATTGGGAGGGTTGTGTAATGGTGCCAACGGAATATATTCTTCAATGGCCTGGATTACTTTCTCACCAATCAAGGTTGGTTCATGAAAGGCTTCGCCTCCATGAACGACGCGATGACCAATGGCTTGGACTGGAGACTCCTCCTCATCACCATCACGAGCGTCTTCTTGTAGCAATTGTACCAATTCACTCAAGCCACGCTCATGGTTCGGAATCGCCGTTTCAATGATGCGTTCTGCGTTGTTATGCTTTTGGTCATAATGTGTTAGACGACTTCCAGCTTCTCCAATTCTCTCGACGAGTCCATGTGCCAATACCGTGTGGGCTGTCATGTCGAATAACTGATACTTGATGGAGGAACTGCCGGTGTTGATGACGAGGATTTTCATCATGTTGCTGGGAGTCATGGTGTGTGTTATTGTTGTTGTTGTGCTTGTTTGTTTGTTTGTTTGTTTGTCTTCACTCAAATTTTATGGTTACATGCTTTGATGATGGATCTGATGTTTTGGAGTTCGCTTTATCTGCGATTCTTCAAAAAAGAAAGGCCTCTCGTCCGTCCTCAGCGTAGCACTACCAGTATACCGGTACTCTTGCTCAGCATTACAAAAGGATCGTCCGTCGTACGTCCCGTCACGGACCATGGTCAGTCTCCGTCAAATGTGGTCATGCATAGAAGTAAGAAGGGGCTCATAATCATGTGGTTTTTTTTGTCCTCTTCGGTTGTGGTAACTTGATTGTTTTAAATGAATCAGTCAATCTAATCGTGAATTATGGTGGCGGGGAAAGCATGATACGTTCGAAAATGTTCCCGCCTCGCCGTCAGGCACATCTCACAAAAGGGGAACGCAGGAACGCAAACCGAAAAAATGAGAAACGCAAACGACGGAAATAAAAACACGCAGCACGATACACGCTGTCATAATTTTTATATTTTTTCACCATGATTGCTGCGTTGAATATTCAAATCCCCAAACCGTTGGACCTTCCACCACCGACATCACCAAAAGATGTCGCTAGAGGAAAGCACGCCATTGATACCGAGCTAGCAAATTCGCTCGAGAAATTGTGCTTGGTAGAACGAGAGAAGGCACTCTTTGATCTTCATGGAATTTCCTCTGGAAATCAGAATCACGATGCAGTCCCCCAGCAACAATGGATGGATACAATGAAAGAACAACTAAGCAAGAAGAAGCATGGCACCGCTTATGAGCTTGCCGAAAAGCTCGACTTTGCATATGTCTCAGATCCCGTCTTAATGGACATGTTCCTGAAAGCCTGTGATTTCGATCCTTTCGAAGCGTCCGAAAAGATGATTTACTTTTTCGAACTGAAGCGTCAAATCTTTGGTGTCCAAAAGCTTGTCAAAGACATCACCTTAGACGACCTAGACGAAAAGGATAAAGATTATCTCATTAACGGAAGCATTCAAATCCTACCGTTTGGTGACATGTCAGGCAGAGATATTCTCATGCTTCATGGCAGTCGCAAGCAGAGGCCATCACTACAAAGCGAAGAAAGAGTCACGTTCTATGTCTTTCACGAGAGCGCCAAGAGAGCCTACCATTCCAAAATGTCCGCCGTTACTGTGGTCTACTTTGGACTGGAGGCACCTACACCTGAAACAAGCCGTCATTCGGGACTTTGGTATGGTATCCCGTTCAAGGCAGCTGGAATTCATCTTTGTGCCGGAAATACAGAAGAACTCGTCAGAGACTGCTATGGAATCACCATGTTGCCACCAAAATGTCTAGCTCGAACTCGAGTCCACATTGGGACTTATGCGCAATGCCACGAGAGTCTATCTGCGTATGGTATCCCATCTCACTTGCTCCCAGCAAAGTGTGCTGATAGTCCCACCATTTCCCATCACTTGGAATGGTACAGACAACTCGAAGAAAGCACCAAGAAGCTCTCTACAATGCCGCCTTCTCCTTCTGCATCACCAGCGCCAGGAACCTACTGCGACAAAGATGTCTTGTTTGGCCACAAGAGAAACCATACGGGCAATGCCCTCATGCGCAAACTGGTGGAGCTCCAGCAGGAAGCCTACGATTTGGCTCCCAAGGCTGGGAAAGTCAAGCTCGCCATGAAAATTGTGGAACAGATCCAACAGTCTGGAGGAAGATTCCTCCGACGAGACGATGAAGGTGACTGGGTAGAGGTTTCCAGTGACAAGGCTCGGGATAAGGTTGCTCACACCTTTCGGAATCTAAGAAGAACTCTTTCGCAACAGCAATAAAAACAAGATTGAGATGGGTTGTAGACGTCGACCAGAGAATCTTCTGTCGACTCGCGAAGTATCTAAGAACTGATGCTCTCGTCTGGCGATCATCCATTCCATAACAAAGGATTGAACAATGCCGAAAGAATCAATCAGTTGACCTCGTGACGAAAACAGAGGCCAAAGAATCAAAGTAGCTGATGAATGGACTTCTCAAAAAGGATTCTACCCAACGGGCTGAGTGTGCTGGCTAGGGAGAAAGGAGACATTTGGCGACATGTTTGGCGCAAGGATGTCGATTTGGTTACAGAACCATGCAGAACTGAAAGCTCCCTGGATCCCTGGAACTGTAATACATATTATAAAATTGCATAGCCTAGACACTTATTTTATTATTATTAGATCATGTTGCTATTAATACTCACTCCTCAAAAACTATAAGTTTTTTTTCCCCGACTAGGTATCCTTGCAAGATTCCACTAAATGGACCACCACGAAGCTGATCTTGGATTATATATTGCAGTGCGAAAACGCTCGAAAGAAAACGATCGATTCCGGTACACGTGTACCGGTGGTATTATACGACAAACAAAAAGAAAAACACGCACGATACAAATGTTTCGCCATGAATGCTGAATTGAATATCCAAATCCCTAAACCAGTGGACGTTTCACCACCGACATCATCGGAGGACGTCGAGAAAGGGAAGCGAGACTTCGATGCCGAGCTCGCAAGCTCGCTCGAGAAATTGAGTCTGGAAGAACGAGAGAAGGCTCTCTTTGATCTTCATGGAATCTACTCGAGCAATAGTCAGAATGAAGATGAAGCCCGACAGCAACAATGGATGGATACAATGAAAGAACAACTAAACAAGAAAAAACATGGCACCGCTTATGAGCTTGCTGAAAAGCTAGACTTTGCATATGTCTCAAACCCCATTCTAATGGACATGTTCTTGAAAGCGTGCGATTGCGAGCCTTTTGAAGCGTCCGAAAAGATGATTTACTTTTTTGAGCTGAAGCGTCAAATCTTTGGTGTCCAAAAGCTTGTCAAAGACATCACTTTAGACGACCTGGACGAAAAAGATAAAGAGTACCTCATCGATGGGAGCATCCAAATTCTCCCGTTTGGTGACATGTCAGGCAGAGACATTCTCATGCTTCATGGCAGTCGCAAGCAGAAGGATTCAATTAAAAGTGAAGAAAGAGTCGGGTTCTATATCTTTATGGAGAGTGCCAAGAGAGCCTATCATTCCAAAATGTCCCGCGTCGTTTTGGTCTACTTTGGACTGGAGGCACCTGCACCTGAAACAAGCCGTCAATCGGGACTTTGGTTTGGCATGCCTTTCAGGGCAGCTGGAATTCATCTATGCACTGGAAATACAACAGAACTTGTCAGAGACTGTTCTGGAATCACCATGTTGCCAGAAAAATGTCTAGCACGAACTCGAGTCCACATTGGATCTTATGATGAATGTCACGAGAGTCTATCCTCGTATGGTATCCCATCTCACTTGCTCCCAGCTACGTTTGCTGATAGTCCCACTATTTCACATCACTTGGAATGGTACAGACAACTGGAAGAACGCACCAAGAAGCTCTCTACAATGCCGCCTTCTCCTTCAGCGTTACCAGCACCAGGAACCTACTGCGAAAAAGATGTCTTGTTTGGCCACAAGAGAAACCATACGGGCAATGCCCTCATGCGCAAACTGGTGGAGCTCCAGCAGGAAGCCTACGATTTGGCCCCAAAGGCTAGGAAAGTCAAGCTCGCCATGAAAATTGTGGAACAGATCCAACAGTCTGGAGGAAGATTCCTCCGACGAGACGACGAGGGTGATTGGGTAGAGGTTTCCAGTGACAAGGCTCGGGATAAGGTTGCCCACACTTTTAGGAATCTAAGAAGAATTATTTCACAGCAGCAGTAAAGATATGATCGATATGGGTGCTAGACGATCCAGAGAATAGAAAAAAATCTGATGAATGGTGGATTTCTCTGTTTTATGACGTACATACATAATGTAGTTCAATTTCATTTTTTTTAAACAACAGCAACAACAATTGCTAGTATTTGTCATGTTTATGCATTAGTGTAGTCTTTAGTGACGCGGCACCAATCATATTACATGATGCATTTAGCTTGCATTAATCGCCAGCTCCAAGTGTGGCAGATTATTGCTACCGCTTCTTTTTGTGACTAGAGGAGGACAATAATCACAAAAAGTGCGCAATTGAGGCTCTCAGCACCATGTAGAATAGTGCAAAGCACGAAAAGGCATAGACTTGGAATCGTAAGGTAATGTTGTTGAAGGTACTCTGGATAACACTGTGAACGCATCGGAGTATTGCAAAGATCCAGGCAGCTGTGAGGTATCCGGTATCCACTTTTTCGGTAGCGTACAAGTAGAATACCATGGCATAGAAGAGAATTGGAACTTCAAACAAGTTCTTCAAATTATCCGAAGGATTTCGGACAGAGTCTGGAGTGATATTGGTAATAAAGTGCCGACTTTTTGGGTCCCCAATGTCATCCATTGTCATTTCACCCTTATGTTTTTCCACGTATCCAAACAAGAAGGGAATTCTCTTGAAGTACATGTAAAACCATACTGCTATTGTTAGAAGCTGCATGATTAGGAATGGACCAAAGATACCTCCTTGTGCAGTCGTCGTCATGGTATCGAAAGTACTGTAGAGAATGGAGGATTTGTGATAAGATGTGATGGAGGATTTGTGATAGGATGGGATGTGATGAGCCTCATCATTTTATATGCACGTTTCGAAAAATATTTTATCTCCACGTATTGTATCTGATTATTTGAGAACTTCCCGGAACAAAATGAAGGAGTCAGTCAAATGTGTCAGAAAGATACAAAAATCACGGAAAAGGAGGCCATCGAAATCGATCCTGCTCATCGTCACGAAGCCCATACCGGTAATATAGTGCGGTACCAGTATACTGCATACATATATTAAAGAACTTTCAGCAATGCAATTCTCAAGGTTGGCAACTCTGGCACTGATTTCAGTTCCCTATGTGGGAATTGGGGCACTCATCCGATACTACAAAAAGACAGATGGAATCAGTCTCGATGATGAAATGGAAATCACTCCTCTGCAACGCAAGGCCATGTGGGTTCATTTAGGATATTTTGCCATGGTTCCTATTATGATTGAAGCCTTTCAGGATTTACCCGGTCTCGACGTAGTCATTGGCAGTCGTTCTACTGAACCTAGCAATATCTCTTATATGATGATCTGTTTGGCATCCGAGAATTTCTTTGTCTCGTGCACCTGTCTTGGAATGTTGTTGACTCAAACGAAAGTTCCACGCTGGGCCATGATGACACCCATTTCTCAGCTTGCTTGGAATCTGAAGAATCATGTCGCATGGTATTTCATGAGTGGAACCTTTGCTCCTGAAGGCCCTCTGTTGTTTGCCTTGTTGGACATGGCGGTCATTTGGCCCATTACTGCAGTCTATGGTTACAACTTTTTGTATGCCGATAAGAAAGATTTGAACAAGAAGGAGTAACAAGGAATGATTCGAATGAGAGCTGAATTTTCTAACCTTTTTGAAATATTGCCCAATCTTGAGGGCGGTAGGTATTGATGTATTGATGTAATACTATTAGTTGTGCTGAGCATCCTAAAATATAAAAGCATAAAATGTATGTTCTATCTTGATTACATCCTTTATATTCTTGTGCTGTGCATGAAGAAAGACAAAGATGAATAGAAAGGCTCTAGTAAGGATCCTTCTTGATATCCGTGAGGATAGCTTGATGTTCTCCGGAAGTACGCCGTGTACCGTGCCAATACAGTAACTAATATTACGACACGATCGGTCGACGACGCTGGATCGACAAACCAATCTCCAAGAACAGTGATTCCAACCATGCTGATCCTTTGGCGGAAAATTGAGACGAGGTTGTTCATTTACTGTTGATTATTACTAAGTAGGACCTGTATTATTATAGAGCTATCCCTTGCCTTTTCAATTCTTCATTTCCAAAAATCATGTTCAGGAAGAGGTGTGCTTCTCTTCTTTGGTTACATACCAGTAAACAAATGGCATTTATATGCGTTCGCAGTTGCTTTCAAGGATAGATCACTGGCTGGACGATACGAGAAATGGATTCCTTGTATTATTCCTGAGAATGAAGCCAATGCATCCAATATATATATAATATATTCAATGTATATAGTATACATCTCTGATCTCGTGCTGCCTCGCTGACCTACCATTCGTTCTCGAGTCGCACTTTTTAGGGATTTGATAGAAGTCTCCTCTATTCTTGTGAAAAAAGAATTACCAAACTGGCAGTCCTCAAGCGCATCATCATTGTCTCGAGTCTTTCAACAAATTTTGTCTTAGTGATGTATTGGTGGTGGTGGTGGTGGTGGGGATTGTGTTATTTCGGTCACTGCTGCTGGTAATATCCAAATCGTTGGAATTGGAATTCGAGTTGGAACTATTGCTTCCATCCTTATTGCTGTTGTTATTATCATCATTCTCAACATCATCATCATCTGTGGAAGAGGAACCCCACGAAGATTCGGAAATGGACGAAATGGACGACAATTCGTTCATCTCTTCTTGCTGCTTGAACAGAGAATGCAAAGTTCCGAAACTAACAAGGAAGACAGGAGGTATCATAAGAACAAACATGACGAGCATGATTTTCTGTCGACGAGCGGCTTGGTAATGTTGATGAGACTCCATGGTATTGCTGTTGTTGTATAGTTTGTGGTATATACCGTAGTTTGTGGAGAAAAATAAATGGCGGGAAAGAGGATATGCTACTGCCGGAGCAAATGAGATGGGAGTTTCTGGAGTTTTCTAGCCTCACAATGATTTTTGGTTGGTTTTTCAGCGGGGTGTTTCGCGCTTGTTGCGGTTTTGTCCTCTCTTTTGCGGACGTTAATTTATTTCGTTTAATGCTCCAACGTTGACAGATCTTGAAGTATGTCATTTTTGTACACGTGTAATGGTTGGAAAAAGCTTGTGCCTAATTATTGCCGTTTCATACTGCCAACAAATTGAAAGAAGAGAATTTGCGAAACTTCACGATCGCATGTCGGTCGCGGGTTGGGAGTACCGGTACATTGAACATGTGTATCCAACACAGTCGCGTGCTTGACCAAAATCGTCATTTGTTTGGTGAGCCGGCCTTGTCTGCCAGCCAAATTTCGAATGTCTTGAAAAGCGGGAACGGAAAAATCGGCTACTAATTTTGTGCGGCAAGTGCGCCATGTGTATTGTTGGCACACGGAAAACGGTCTTCTTGTCGTAGTGAGAAAAGAATAGTGGCAAGGCCTTCGTCTCATCTCAGCATCCTTCTTCCTCTCTCGCGTCAATCGTGTGTTTCTTTTTCCTTGCAAGGCACGCAGTCAGGACCAGTGAGAAAGCAAGCGTGTGATCACTCTTTTTATGACCCACTGACTTTTACAATACCAATACGAATACGAATAGATAAATACAATACAATACAACACAACACAATACAATACAATCACTACTGAACACAATGGAAGACATTACCGTTCCGACTGTAGCCGAGGCAATCCCTGACACTATTGACAGCACCTCTAATGCCTCCCCGGACGCTGAGACTGACGCGGCTGTTTCAAGTTCCTCTAGCAAGACGACGGAGAACATGGAAGACAGTAATACCGAAAAGACTGTAGCGGAGGCAACTGACACTACTGACACTATTGACAGCACCTCGAATGCTTCCTCTCCTGAAACCGCTGATACCGCTGATACCGCTGGTGAATCATCAAGCATCAGCGAAGGCCCCACTGTCAACATTCGCGAAGTCAAACACAAAACGTTGGCGCTTCTTACGGAACTGTACAGAACCGAAACGGGTGATGTCAAACGCATGGCCATGTCGTTGTTGCAAACTTTGTATACCATTGAGGATCAAGCGCAAGTCGCCGAAATGAATGGCAAGATTCAAAAGTTGATGAAACTCATTGACGACCAAAAGCGAGAGCAAGCCGAAATGGAAGAAGCATCGTCCTTGGCTGGTTCTCACGATGGTTCCTCCTTTGGCTCATCCTTTGGTTCTTCCTTTGGCCTCCGTTCTCGAACGCATACCGAAGAATCATACATGTCTGGCGATAAGATGGTAGTTGGCTCTTCCATTTCTCCAGTGGACGAAGAAGAAACATCTGCGGATTCTCTCAATGTTGACAATGATGATGAGGAAGAAGGCAACAACAACAATAACAACAACAACAACAACAATCTAGTAAAGAGATGGCAAGAAAAGTTTGAAAACTTTCGAAAAGAGCAACAGTCGCAGCAGCAGCAACCCAAAAAACGGGGCCCTACTGCTGCCGATGTTCACAACAGCAACCAAAACAATTGGAGAGAAAGCATGACCACTCGCATGGACGCTTCTCGTGAACGATTGGCCAATGGATGGCGGGAATCCACCGCCAAATTGCAACAAGGTTGGCAAGAGAAACGCAGCAATCTTGCAGCCAACAACAACCACGCTACCAACAACAACAACAAGAACTTGACTGTGGATGCCAAGCCGACCCAAGACGACTCGTCCTCGGATAATTCCGTCAGTACCGAAGGCAGTAGCACCCCAACCACTCCCATTGGTTCCGAAGCCAATAACAACACCAAGGCTGACGACCACAAAGAAGATGACTTGTTGCACGTCATTCGCAACATTGTCAAGGATGGAGTGGACTCGAAGAAATCACGAGAATCCTTGGAACTGGCACTCAATGTGAGACGGGCCAAGGCACGAAGTAAATGGGCCGAAACCAGAGCCAAATGGAAGTGGCCCAATGCCAATGCTGCTGCTCAGACACAAACACAAGCGTAAATGATTGTTTTCGCTTTCCAATTTCTTTTGGATTGGTCTTGATTTTACTTCAATTGATATGTGATGTGGTATGGTTTGATCTGAAAACACATCTTGGCGACTGTTTTCAGTTTCGTGCACCCGGGAAGCACTGCCGGAGCAAACGTGTAAAACCAAACTTATACATGGAATCATCATGCGGAATAATAGACTAAAAAGAAGAATTATTATGTTCATTGCATATGCATGTTAGCAGTGTAGTCCTGCTAGTAGGTCCTACCGTAGCTACAATCCTATAGTCTTATGAATACAACTCTATGGTTAGTCGTACTCGCCAAAGTACGAATCGACAATCTCCCCATATTGAGCCCCCGCTTCCAACATTCCATGATGAGAACAACCTTCGAGCGTCTTGTAACGAAGGAACTTGGTATTAAAGACGGATTTCCAACCTTCCACGGATTCCGCAGAGACGAAATCATGTTCTCCTCTCATGATCAAAGTGGAGGGCATTCGAGAGGCATCTGCTGAGGTAGGTGCGGTTGCCACGTAATCTTGAATCGCATCCGTACCCCTCCAAACGGTTCCGGCATTGTCATAGGCTTCTTTTAATATGGGTGGCATGTCAGGTCCAACCCGACACTGGTGATTCAGACGAAACAAATCCCCTAGTTCCAAGGGTGTGGCATCCGGATTGTCCTGTTGCAATACACCGATCAATCGATCCGCTTCTTGTTCAATTTCCTTTACATTGGTCGGAGCCGAAGATAAAATACAAGAGAGACATTGAAAATCAAAGTCCTCACTTGATTCGGCCAGATATTTCAGAAATTCAAAGGCCAGAATGCCTCCATACGATTGTCCGTATAAATGAAATCGTCTCACTCCCAGTTTTTGTAACAGCAGGATCAAATCTTGGACGGAATCTTCAGTCGAATACTGGGACAAGTCTTGTGGTTGATCCGATTTTCCGCAGCCCAATTGATCCCAAAAGACAATCGATCGGTAGGGCACAATTTGTTCCAAAGGATACAAATAATTCGAGGGGACGGAGGGTCCACCATGAAGGGTCACAATGGGGGCCGCTTGATTGGAAGATAGTGACATTGGCCTCACCACGCGATAGGACAATTGATATTCGGAGGAATTGGAGGAAGAGCGAGAGACTGTGAGGAAGCCTTCATTGGCTTTGGCCGCAGTAGCCAATAATGGCTTCAGTGATTGTGATGATGATGATGATGATGATGGTGATTTGTATTCTCCTTGTCCGTTTTTGGCACGCGCACCACTGATGAATATTGAGGGTACCGCGAATGAGCTGGCAAACCCCAAGAAATATACAACCACCAAAAGTGTAGTAAGTTTGGTTGTCATGATGAACGACGATGAGTTCTTCGTTGGTCTCAAGGTATGATGATAATTGATGATAATGTGATGATACAGTACGATGTGACGAACGAAGAATGAATGAATGAATCAATCAATCCATCATTCATATTCGAATGGGTCGTATTCGTGACATCGAAACTTTTTTGGAATGAGGAATTCAATTCGTTTCTTCTCCGCAGTTTCTGATCGGCATTCACAACAGACAAAAAGCGAAGATCGGAGTGTCATCACCTTCTTTTTTTGTTCCAACGCGTAACGGCAATAAGAATTTTACCATAACGACAGCAATCAATACTGTATTCAATATTGTTGGTAATACTGTAGTCGATAGAGCAAACAACCCTAGAGTCTTCTCCTCCACCAGTCAATCTACAGTAGTGACCAAGGCAATCCAATCCCAAGGCATCAGCCATCTTTCTCATATCTTCCTGATATCATTCTCCTAAAATCTGAATGATAGAATCAATCCTCATTGGATAGTACGGTACTGTAGAAGTAGACAATATGGTCAAGTTTGGGGGACACATTGAGGCATTGAGCCATGGAGATTTGCATGGCTTGGAGCAAGCTTCTCTAGTTCCTTATAACAAAATCAAAGGTTTGATTTTTGAAAACCCACAGGCCTTTGAAGAAGAATGGGGGAACGCTTTGGATTCAGCCAACGACGCATTTCGTCGTGGTCGACACTACTTGTGGACCACAGTCTTTGATAAGATTTCCGACTTTGCCGATCTAACAGAAGTCCGAGGTTCTCATCCCGGCAATGCACTCCAACAGTATGTGGAAAGTGTCCCACCTAGTCTGGCACAGGAGCTACTCAGCAAAATGAGACAGACATTGCAAGCCAGTCAGACTAATTCTGAAGCACTGCGCAAGCTTGTGAAAAAGTACGACAAGCACAGAGGAGAAGGACTACTGTCCCGAACTTTGCTACCAGAACTTTACACATCCAGTCTCTATGCTGGCCAACACATGATGCACAATAGTGTTGCACTTCTCAGAGATCTTTTGCAAGGTGAAACTCCCGATGGATCCCTAGATGGTGGAGGATCCCAAGAGGATGATACTTTCACGCCGCTCATTAGACTCAACAGCGAGGCCCAACACGAAAAAATGGCCGAAGCCAAAATGGGAGAAATTCAATGGCTCAAGAGACTCGTCCACTCGTTCAAAGATTCAGGACTCTTGAATCATCTAGTCGCCCATCGAGGTTTTCATCACATTCAAGACAAAAATGACAAGCGTCCGATTGAAAATAGTCTGAGTGCTTACGAAATTGCTTGGACCTCGGGGATTCGACTCTGCGAATGTGACATTGCCATGACCAAGGATGAAAAATTGGTTTTGGCGCATGACGAGAATTTTTTGCGGTTGGCTCTCGATGCGGCGGATCCATCCTCGTCCATGGACATTGGCGATTTGACTTTTCGGGAACTCATTGGCTTGAATTTGAAGTCTGGTTCGCGGCCACCCCTCTTGATTGATGTTTTGCGCTCCGCTTCGGCCATTTCTCCGGAAGCCAAATTGATTATTGAAATCAAACCTGGAAACGAATCGGCGGCCTCCGCCCTTGGTAGGATGCTCATTCGGCATCCCGATTTGTGTCCCAATGTGGCCATGATTATGAGTTTTGATGCGGTGACCATGCATCGACTTCGATCCGAACTGGCCGTCATTGATCAAATGACGGGTTGTTCGCCCACACCGACACACAGTCGGGTCAATTCCTTTGATCACTTTGGTGTCTTGACCATGAACCGAATGGAAGCTCTAGAATCGAGTATGGGGCCCATTGGTTTGAGTTTGTCCACAGAAGACTTGGAAAACTTGCAAGATACGACGCGACATGTCAAACAGGCAACCAAACACGAACGACTCGTGCCGCGACTCATGTTGCTTACAGTGGCAGACCCTCCATTGAGACCCTGCGAGCACCGCGTCAGTGTGGATGATCTAAGCTCGGTGGAGGGGTGGTTGCATCGACCAGATGGGGCCTTGGACGGAGTCTACCTTCAGTACGAAAAGAAAATGCTGTCGCCCGAAGGAATAGAAAGTCTTCGGGCATTAAGCAACAAGGATTGTTTGGTGGGAGTCTGGGCGTACTCTGGAAAAGATCCCGACGATTTTTCGACATTCGAAAGATTGGTCAACGAAGGAAACTGCACCTACGTCAATACGGATCTACCAAGTCATTTTCGAAAGGGGATAGAATGAATAGCGAACAATGCAGTGAAAATAGTATGGGATACAGTGTGTAATGGATCTTTTGTATGATGTAGGCATGTGAAAAGTTCTTGTGGATGATGCAAACAAGCTGATGATGATTCATTCTAATTCATTCACTAGGCCCTTCAAATCAAATCATATCATACATATATCATGACATCGTAATGTACTGTATGCCTTCGCCTTGCCAAGAGTGAGTCCTTCTGTAGTGGCACAGTAGCCGCAGTCGTTCACGACAAGGGGCCATGTTGACTTTGCTTGACGTTTGCCGTGATGAGAATCAATGAGTTGTCTTTGAATCGTCTTTGAATCGTCTTTCATCGTCACTGATGAATTGCATCTCTGATGGACATAAAAGCTACTCAGTCGGTATAATCAACCTTCTTGTGATGACCAGTCCGATAGAGTCGGCGTCGACGGAGCAAGAAGTATGTCGCATATATCAAGACTGCACTGCAACCCATGGCTTTCAGTAATCGTTTCAAGAATCCAAAGAAGGTAATGCCTTCTTTTTCTCCTTCCCCCAATTCATCGTCATCTTCAGAACTTACAGATGCTGTGACGAATTCTCTCATTTTGACATTCAATGCATCGTCCGGCCTGTAATACACAATATACATGTGGTTAGTCTCGTCATTCCGTCGTCAACAAATAGTGACATCAATCAATCAATCAATCTTCATTTTGTGCTTGCATTGCTCACCAATAAGTCACCCGAAGGTAGTTGTAAATATTCTCAGAATTCCAGCTGCCTTCTTCTCCCCAACATTTGGGACACTCATGTCGAGGTGGCCACTTGACTGCCTCATATTCTTCTTGAGTAATTTCTCGATTCTCTCGTTCCGCTCGTTCTCGTGCCAGCCGACGGTTGACCCCATTGTGAGTCTCGAAAAGCCAAAGGGGAATCTCTTTCCATTCTTCCAAATCACCAATTTCCGGTATCAACCGACTGCACCGATCATACTGACAACTATCAAAGCCATGCAAGAAATTTTGACGACAAACCTCGCATCCAAAAAAGTACTCAATGTAGTTCCGAAGAACTGTGGCCGATTCTTCAGGTCGAAAGAAATACCAGTCATCGCCATTCGAGTAAACATTCCATTCCACGATTCCTACAGACATAATATGGAATAGTTCCCACAGACCACAGGTGTATCCTGCATATTTGTCTCCCCGTGTGCAGGATCGACTCCAGTGCTTCTTCTTGGGAGGATACTTGTTAACGATTTTCAGCAATGCTTTCTCACTCTGAACCACCTTGTCAATCGATTCGAAGATTTCTGCAAAACAAGTCTTGAGTGCCCAGGTTGGAGGTACCGCCGAGACTAGTTGTTCGATCCAATGGGCAAAGGCCTTGGCTGACTTTTTGGTCAAAGGTTTGTTCTCCAAAAAGATGGAGTTTCTCATGGCAAAATCAAAGGACAAGTGTGCATCGTTATAAATATCTTGTTTGGTCCTTGGCAGCCAGAATTGTTTGGAACTATTCTCATTGCTTTCCTCGTTCCCTTTGGCCACCAACTCTACTTGTTTGTCCTCATCATTCTGTGTCAGTGTCAAAGAATCGTCCAGGTGAATCCCCAACAAGGGCAATATTTTGAATGGATGAACATCATTTTGATCAATCTCCCTTCCTTCTTTGGATCCATCTTGAAAAAGATATAATTTCGGAAATGCTTCAATACCAAAATCGACACAGACCGGCCTCCACGGTACACAGGATACGGCAAACATGTTGATTGTAGTACCCGGAGCGTATTCGTGGACTATATCCCGCAAAGTCTCGGCAAACCGAACGTAATGGTCCCGAAAGTGTTGACAGTGTGGGCTGAGCAGAAGAAAAGAAGGAAATTTGAATGTGAGAAACAGTTGATGGACGGAGCCATTGAATGGTTTTGTTTGGATCTGTAGACTGTCTTACCACCAATGGGCATAAAACTCGACAATCCGTATGCCGCGAACCTTGTCTGGTTGGTAAATGTAATCTGGCGATATTCCATCCCATTCTCCTCCCTCAATTGGTGCTTCATACTCCAAAATGTCACCGGCATCGGGAAAGTCATGGTAAAAATATTGCACGCCATCTTCTTCTTCTTCTTCCGATGATGCTTCCTCTGCTTCCGCTTCGGCACCACCCTTCTCTTGTTGTTGCACTTCTATTTCTCCCAAAGAAAAGTGGGATTGAAGGATACAGCAACAGAATATTACGAACAACAATAGAGATAGAGGTATCCGCATCTTCGATTGGATGCTATTGCTGTGTGATCACAAGATCATCATCTTGTTGTTGTTGTCATTTTTTGCTGATTGAATAGAGACTATAGTAGCCCCATTTATTCGACTGACGCGACTAATGCACGGACCTCTTTCACTTTCCTGACCTTCGTCCGTCACAAGATCGGGACTGAGTGCAGAAAAACGCATCAACCAAGATGACCGCATCACATGTGTGTGTGTGTCGAATCCATAATCATAGAAGAGAATCTCAAAAAGAACACGGCTGAACCATGAGCGAGCCTAATACCCAACGAATGTCCAACTCGTCTCAGTTGGTAGCAGAAATTGCGAGCTACAGTGATGATGGGAGTTCTTCCATTGAACCTCCCGTGCTAGAGGAAGAGGATGATAATGAAGTTATTGAGAATGCCAACGGGGATAACGGTGATGGCAACGATCATGCAGCAGCCGAGAACAGAGAACTAGTGCCACCTACGGAACCTGCGCAAGAACAACGAGTACCAAGTGCTTCCCGTGTGGCAGCTCGATTGAAACAAGCCAAGAATGGATACATTAAGAACGCTCATCGAACCAACGATCTCCTCCCTTTGCAACGGGAATATGGAACTATGAAACGTTCCTTGCGATCACTGCTGGATGCCGCTACAGCATATTGCGAAGCCACCAAAGAATTAGGAGCAGCTCAAACTCAGGTACGAATCAATCAATCGATCAATCGATCAATCGATCTATCGATCTATCAATCAATCATACGTTAGTGTGTTATGCAGCTGAAGCTCAGGCAATAATATCTCACATTACATTATTCATCTTCGTCAGTTCATCAGTGAATTTGAGGGTCTTGCTGATAAGTCACCCTTGCAGTCTTTTGTAATGAGAGAACACGGGTCGCTGATAGAAGTGCAAGAGCAAGCGTCTAGGTACCAGGGCTACAACATTGCCGAGTATCAACATCAAATTTTGGCATACATTGACGATTGGTTGACCGCGGTTTCCAAGCAGTTGGATGAAAAATTAGAGACCATTCCCAAACTGAGGGCTGCCCGCTACGAGTGCGAAAACAAAATGGAGAAACTCTCCAACAAACAAAGATTCCATCCAGATGCATCCTTCGATCAAGAACTTGCAGATGCCACCCAACAGGAAATGTACAAAGCAATTGAAGAACATGACGAGGCCTGCTCCAAGCTTTGTTACATGCTTGAGCAAATCGTACGAAAGGGATGGAAAGATTTATATCCTCTCGTCAACAAAATGATGAAATGGGAATTGAATCAATTGGGACGAGAGAACAAATCCTACGGCCAATTTCTTCCCGAAACCTTGAACAAGCTGTCCCTCACCACCATTGCCAGTCTAGAAGACGATCTCATGAAAAAGAATGAACTCGAAATGGCTACGAATGCACCCGGGTCTTTTTATGGTAATGTTGCCGTAGTGGAAGATTACTTGGATTATCTGCCACAAGATTTGCCACACCTCTTTCTTTCGGATGCTTGTCCGTATTCCCAAATGGCTTGGATTGCCTTTTTGGAAAAGGAACGAAATCCATACACTCCCACTATCTTTCAGATGCATTACGTGTGCAATTTTTTAAAGTACAAGGACCCGGGATACAAAGTCTTGTCCAAATTGGGAATTGTCGATTCCACTCCCGTGTTGCTGCACAAGGGCAATGTCTTCCAGGAAAGCACATCGTTATTGGAGTACATTGATGCGTGCTTTCCCGAATCATCATCAGCAGTCGAACCATCCAAAGGTGATTTTGGTAGCCGGGTCCAACACGAGCACATGAATGTAGGGCACAAACGATTGGTCCCTTCCGACCCGATCGACACCTTCAATATGAACTTGTTCCTCGACCGGTATGCAGATTTACCAAAACTGTACCGAAACGTGTTGGAACACAGGTATCAAAGCACCACCGCTGCATCGTCTGCAGTGGGCCAAGAACTGTTGGAACGATTGGAGATGATAAATGCGGACTTGCGAAAGTTCAAGGGCCCCTTTTTGTGTGGTTATCCCTTTTCACTTGCAGATATTTTTCTGATTCCCTTTGTGGAACGAATTCAAGTGGTGTTGAAGCATTACCGAGAGTTTGAAATTCCAACCACGTTGACAAATTTGCATTCCTGGTATAAGGTTGTCTCGGCACGCAGTTCGGTCCGCATTTCCATGGCCGATCGGACCAAAGCCAGCCTTCACACCTGTGCCATGACTAGCGTAGGACGCACGGACTACTTGATTGAATACAACGAGGCTGCAGCTCAAGGGGATTTGGCATTGGCGCATCGGCTCTTTGCAGAAAAGGGGTCAGTGGGGGGAAATCCTTATCGTAGCCAAGAGACGAACGTAACACTAGGATTGGGGGAGATTCCGATGGAAGACGACGGAGAAGAAACCGATGATAGAGAATTTCTTGCTTAAATAGAGAAGTACATACTCTTGTGACTACGTTGCAACCATCTCGGGTGCAAGTGGGAATAAATGGAAAATCCTTTACTTGAGGACCAATCCATGCTTCATTGCGGCGTCCCAAGTTAGGTCGATACGCGAATAATCAATGGCGCCAACTTCATGAAAGTCCCAGCCTTCAAGTGCGTGCACAATTGCACCTGCGTGACAAGCATGGACACAACCCCGTTCCATGGTCATCTCGCAAGTCTTGAAGTACTTGGTGTCTCCGGGCAATTCAAAAGCAGGAAGATCAGTATACGAGCAATCGGATCGGAACTCTTGTAGAGGAGGGACAACGAATTGATGGAAGGTAGTACCGGATGGTGCCATCGCTTGGTCTGTTTTGCTGCAGAACTTTCCAACGATCCAGTCCTTGCAATTTGCTCCAGCTTGGATCTTGGAAGCATGCACAATGCGCTCTTGTGCCTTGGGAGAAGCTTCATCGCGGATCTTTTGAAACCGCTCTACACTGGCTGTGAGCATGGTCACCTTGACTCCGCGTTCGGCCAAGTAGAGAGATATGGCACGTCCGAGCTTGGAAGTGGCTCCCGTGACAAAGACTTCCTCGACATTTGGTGGAATCTTCTTGAGTATAGCTGCAGCAGTCAAAGTATTTCCATGGACGACACGAGTGGTCAGGTCGGGATTGTTGTCGACAAAGAGTTTGCCGCCACCATTCAGAGCTTCGTTCTTGTTCAGGGCACCCAATCCTAGAACCCTGACGCCAGCAGCATCAGCTTCCAAGATTGCTTCTTCGATCTTGCTGTTGATCCAGTTCCATTGACTCTTGAAGAAGAATTGGATCGCAAACGCGGGAGTGCACCAAGTCTCCATCTTCAAGGAGCGAAGACGATGCTTATCCGAGATGAATACCTTGCCAAAACTTCTCATGATGAACATGGCAAGGATGCAGAGTGGCCAGAAAGGAGCAAGCCACCACTTGGGCTCGAAAGGTCTCGAAGAGAAAGATCTGAGCATGAATGGAAGATGGAACAAGCTGACGAGGTTGGTTCCATGACCGATAAACACGACATCGGGTGCAGTTTTTGGAGCAGCTTGACCAGTGATTGCCTTTTCGTAGAGAGTATCAGAAGTCTTGTGGACTGTGCCGAACAGGTGGTCGTAGATGGGCATGAAGAGGCAAAAGTTGGCGTGCACACGGCTGTGGTGCAACGAATGGTAGCTTGGGGTGTAGATCAAATACTTCATTCCAGGGATTCTCATGAACCACCGGGGAACAAACTCGAAATTGCAGTGGCCAATGGCGTTCAAGACGTCAAAGCAAAGCAGGTAGATGTAGAACATTGACACGGAAGCTCCGCCTTGGAAGAATGGACCGAGGAACGGAATGGCAAAGTTGGCAGTGTACATGATATGCTCCATGAAAGGATGGACGGATCCACTGATGGGTTCGGTGACAAAGCTTGCGTGGTGATGGGAATGGTAGCGAGAGTACAGGAATTGGTGATGAAGAGCTCTATGAAGCCAGTAGTAGATGAATTCGGTGGGCCCGACGTGCCAGAAAAGCATTTGCCACAAACCAGCAGTGTTGTAGAGAGGAAAGCCGCCGAATCCAAGAGAGGGAATGTGATGAACCGCAGTCATTGCGTAGGCTTGAAGAATAATATAGTCGTCCCAATGGTCTTCTCGATCAATTTGCTCGTAGCTGATTCCTTTGTCTTGAATCTTGGTCCGTTCAGTAATGTTGTGAACTCGGGACAAGCTCACAAAGACTTGCGCAATAATGTAGCGAAGCGCTGCGAGGGCGCAAATGTGAGCCGACCAATTGTCAGCGTCGTCGTTGCCGGAAACGACGGTTGCCAAAAAGGGGACAAAGAGCACATACTTGAAGTTTCCCATGTCTTCCCAAGGGAATTTGGATAAGAATCCTGGTTTCGTTGCCATGGTGCGTCTTGAGAGTGATTGCTGCTGCAAAGAATGACAAACAATTCGGGTTACGAAAAATAGTTTTTATGACAATGCGGGAGGAAGGAAATCGTTTTTGATGGGAGAAGGAAATTGTTTCCACAAAAGAGTGAGAAACTCATATTTCACGATCGCGACGAATTCTCAAGAATATGACGTGCACGAAGTGTACGTACGTGTACCTACAGTACACGTGTACACGTACATTCTGACGTCGTTCGGCCTGGGATTTGGGTAAAATCCCGCGGGGATTCATTCACAGTTTACAGTTTACAGACCACCACGAATATTCAAAATATAATATTACCTGCAAAAAGCTTGTCGTTTCAATAATGTTGGCGTTTCATTTTGTGGATAAAATCCCGCGGGGATTTAGCAAGTACGAAGCTAGATATTCTACCAGTGTGAAATGTGACGTGTGTTTACAAAACGTTGTGAGTCATAGGCAAAAGGCAAATTTGGGCTCTTGTGTAATAAATGGAGATGCACCCAATTTTATCGCATAGATAAGAAAAGGTAACTGTCAATCACACATTGCCAATAGCAATAGGAATCTCATTTCATTTCCCGTGGGATTTCAGTTCTGCGTTGGGGAGTTTCTGACTGCACCCCATAAAAGTCTAGACTGCGAGTGAAACCTTGACCTTAATTACACAACGATTTTGGTTCGCTGCATCACTTATATGCCAGGGATTCGGACTGTTTGATCTCACATTTTCGCCGTCGAAATCCATTCCCAGCAGATAAAATCCCACGAGTTTTGATCATGATCTTGCGTCATCCATACAAAACATACCGAGTCCTACAGGATAAATGTTAAAAGATACTTCTGACGCGGGATATCCCAAAGATTCTGGTCTGGTCAAGTACTGTAGCTCATAATTTCTCACAATTTTGAATTTTGCTTGTTTCAACCACAATCATGAAATTTGCTGCTTTCCTCTTCCACGCCACCATTGCTGTGTCCATCCATGATGCAAGTAGTTTTGCGCCTTCTCTTCGAAAGCATTCCGTCGTCTCCAAGCCATCCAGCCCATTGAACAGTGTGCTCACAAGAACACGCCCGACTCCAGATGTGCAAGTCCTCGATCGCGATGACTTTCCAATCAAAATCATCCCTGGCAGTTCTGTGGTCTCCAAGAACGATGGTTCCCCTCTAAAGATTATCCCTGCCCGTTCTCTGATCTCCAAGAAAGGGTTCTCCAAGGAACTCCAACTCCTCGATGAGTCTCCATTGGATTTCCCGTCTCTTTCTGCACTATCCGAGAATGAGTTATCCAAGGACCTCCAACTACTCGATGAGACTGTGTTGAGCATCCCTTCTCTTTCGGAGATCTCCGAGAAAGTCAGTCGCCCAAGCAAGAAGAAAGTGAGCCTCCATTCTGTGCTCGGCTCCACCGCAATTGGAACTTCCATCATTGCCATCCTGCCGCACCTCGCTCTCAGCCTTCGAGACAACATTACATGCCTCAATCTTGCGGTCGACGCGCCCTTTCATCTCACACAGCTTCACCTTGCCAACTTCCAACTCGTCCTTCTGATGCTCACCGGTATGCTACGTTTGCCCAAGAAAGCTGGCAAGGCTCGAACTTCCATCTTCCAATGCATCGCTTGTGGAATGGCTTCCAACTTCGTCATGGGTCTTTCCAATCTCATGGGCCCTGGAAGTCCGCACCTCATCGATGCTTGGACCTGGCCTGGACGTATTCTCATTGGTGGTACAGGAATCGCAAGTTCCTTGGGCATTGCCAATTTGTATCACGATGTGATCACTGGACCGTTGAAGGGAAGAGAGCCCAATCCACTCTTCGAGAACCGATTGTTGGGTCTGTTCTCTACCACCAAGTACTGTCTCTCGTTTGCGTTTCAGATCGCACTCATGGTGCCCATGTTCGCCCCCAAGGCGACCTTTGATTCCTTCACCGCCCCGTTGCTCCAAGCATGCGGGGCTACCATTGGCACTCTCACAATGGGCAAGTTCATCAACAACTTTTACCTTGCCATGGGAGCTCTTTGTGCCACTTTCCAGTACGAGAAGCGTGCTAGCCGCAAATCGTGCAACATTGCCTTGGCATCGGTGGCTTTCTTCAGTCTTTGGGACATTTACAAGTACTTGTTCCAGTTCGTTCGAGCTGCTGTCCTCCAAGAAGCAGGCCCCAAGTTGGCCTTTGTGAAGTACCTTGGCACTATTGAAAAGTCCTTTCCAGTCATGACCTTGTGGTTCCTCCCCATTGTACTTGCCATTGGTCATGGAGCCATTACCGCCGTTCGTGAAAAACGGTACCACTTGCCAGAGATCGATTGGTGTCATCCACGCCGCCTTCTAAAGCTCGCCGGACTTTAAAATCAGCAGAGCATGAGCTCACGAAGAGCTCGTATCCATAGTTGATCATTTTCAATATTTTAGACAAGGGGCCTTAGATTTACCTCTCTCTCTCTTTCTCTCTCTTGTCAACAGTATTGGTGTGTGGCCTGTAGATCCAATCTTCCCCGTTCCGTCTGTATCCATTCAATCTGTTAAATGATTCCGGCTCCAGTAATATACTTGTCGATGCCACCATTGCTTTCTCGAAGCAGCACTGCCAAGTCAAGATAGACGCAGCCTTCGCAAAAGTCTTCATTGTCGAGAGGATCTAGGAACACCTTGGCCAATATCAAGAGCCCATGGAAGAATAGCGTCAAAATACCAATCATCAGGACAGAAAAGATGCCCATGTCGGAATATCTGCAAACAAAGAGTGGGAAATTTTAATAGTCAGCACTTGTGGTGACGACTCGGTCACTTTTATAAAACATAAACAAGAAAAAATCTTACTTTGCAATGGGAGTGGACAAAAGAAAGGTGTCCACCAAGATTTGAACGAAATGAACATAGGCCAAAGGCATTCTTCCTGCAATGAGATCCGGAACTGTACTTGTCGTTCCACGCACTTTGGAAAATTCCTCCAACAACTTTTTTTGCAAGGTGGCGTATTGTACTCCAATGATTTTCTTGTCCCCCATCGCCTTTTGAGTATCAACGACCATTCGTTGCAAGACGCAAACCTGCTTTTGGGTCGGCCCCACATTGATTGAGTGGAGCCGTCTGCGTTCGTCTTCCGAGACCAATCCCCGAGCGACCATTTGGTCCCAGCCCTTGTCGGTGAGCAAAACGCGAAAGCGGCGGGCCTGTGATGCCCAATGTAACAAATGAAAGAGCTTGAGTTGCTTGCCGATGTCTTGTAGAAATAATTCTGCTTCGGGAGTGTATCTTCCAGTCTTTGGGTTCCTGGAAGCATGCGTGGTCAATAGAAATGGAATGGTATTGAAGCTGCCCTGAATGCTTCGGCCAAGGTCAATAAAAGACTTCCAGAAGCTGTATGCCTGACCTACAAAGAAGGTCAACAAAAAGGTCGTGAAACTCATTAGCGTTGACCAAAGCTTGTCAGCAATGGTAAAAGCAGACACCAAAGATTGGTGGTGGTCTCCCCCCATGTGGTTCATGTTGAAGACTTGGCAATCACCATGTGTCTGATAGCGTACCCAGACACAAAAGGCCGTTGTCCAGGCCATATTCAGTACCACACGAGGCCAAGCATCGTAAATGACAGTCCCGAACCATCGGCGCCACAAAAAGCTGGGCTTGGGTCTGTATTGCTGGATGATGATTCCACCGTCAGTGCTAGTAACTTGATCCAAAACGTCATCAATCTGTTCGATTGAAGTTCTTTCTTCCAGTTCGGCGAGAGAAGGAAACGGATTGAGGTCGACATGGCGTTCCCAAGGGTGCTGGAGAACTCGGGTGTTGGGACTTTCGATGGCTGTTGAAAGGTGAATCATTAATGATCCAATCAATAAGAGCAAGTAGGAAAGGATTAAATGTGATGTCATGTTATGCTGTTTCATTGTTGCAATCGGTTACCACTAAGTGACGTCCGTAGCTATCAGGATGATGACGAATTTGGCAATATGGCAATCAAATGATTGATGATAGCGGTCGCAAATGATGGGATGGGTTCCAGCTTCGTACGGGCGGGTGTCATCACTTCACCATCAAATTCAAAAAAAGATCTTGAGAAGCACGCACGACGTACATACACTCGTAAAGACAGGTCGCTCATTACCCGCTATCAATGATGTACGATACCGTACCTATGCAAGTACTGTAAGATCACGAGTATGGGAAGGTGCAGTATTAGCAGGTACTCACTTAACTATGCAGCTGCCTGGGCGACTCTTACGTTGTGCATAGGTGTATCACGATTAATCTTGCTTATTCTGTTGATAGCACTGCTGTTCTTGTCATCATGACGATACGATGTTTGATCATCATCTTTTATAATAAGGATTTCCATGCGGAGGTTTTGTTTCCCAATCCTCAATATAATCCTAACGCGGAGCGTTGTAGATTCGATACTTTCTCGAATTCAGCTAAAGCTTGCCACCAAGACACTACGAATCCCAGCGGATGTCGGCATTCCAGCATGCGTCACGCAGCCACCAAACAAGAGTGCTGTCCCGACGGGAGGTCGTAGAACGAGGCTGGGACCTTCGACGCGATGGCCACGGGAGTCTTGCGACCAAAAAGCAGTGCCACCGTCTTCCAAGGGCGAAGTGAGGGCCACCAGGATGGTCAAGGATTGGGAATCGGTGTGAGCCAAAAATTCTCCACCAGGAGTGTAAACATTTACTGCTGGTTCCCTGGACGACCATTGGTATTGATGACAGGTTGTTGAATTCTGATCACACGCACTTTGAAATGTCTCCTCCATGGATGATGAAAGAGACGAAAAAAGAATCTTGGATATGTACGGTTGGTCTTGATCAATAGAATTAAGTGCTTTCAGCAGGATGGATTGACAGATGGCACCCGCTTTGGAGCACATCGGATCAACGGATGGAGTTTTGTTGAGTCTCGCTCGTTCTGCAGCTGCAATGGTGGGAAATTCGCAACAGTCCCGTCTTTTCGTCGTCGCCATCATCAGAGTCACCAATTTGCTGCGACTGCCGAACCAAATCGACAAGCTCTTGACAGGTTTCCGAGTCCACCAAATTCTTCAACAACAAGACGGATTCCCCAAACTGAATGCGTTCTCCAACATTGGTTCCTTCCGGTTCTGATGTTTCTGTAGCATGTCGTTGCATGGATACGGGTACAAGAGGAGGGGGAATGACGATTTCCTCCCAGGATACACCATCACTTGAAGTGCTGGATGGAGGACCTGCCGAAAACAACGGATCCTTTGCCGATGTCAAGAAAGGAATAAGCCGCTCTGCATTTGATGATAAGCCTTCAGCAAAGACAATGGCCAGCATGAATATCAGCGTTATCAAGTGATGACAAGTAAATAGCATGATTTGTTCGTGTCATTACTGTATGTTCAGCATGCCATGATCATATTATGAAGATCAGATGCAGGATAAATTCCAATAATGCTATGTGACGTAGTTTGTGACTGTATATTGTGATGATATGCGCGTGATGATGATGTGTTGTGGAAAGCGGAAAGCGGACTGACGATGATGATAATGGTCGATTGAGTCATGTCAGTCAGTCGACTTATATTGGCGGGCTGTTTAGAAAACGAAACGGAATCAACTCGAGTCGCACCGGGCAACCTACACTATACCATAATGTGACGGTTCCAGTAGAACAAGGACCCACACAATGGCAATAATCGGCACTCGCTTGTTTGGTAGGACCGATCGAGTTCCCGGTTTGTTCTACGTTGCAACCAAATTCTGGCATGTCTGTTACATTCCGCTCTATCCAGTGTCGACCTATCTCATCATGGAAGTCAAAGTTTTGGGGTATCGGGCCATCAACATTCCGACTAGCCCAACTTCACTGCTTCTTGCATGGATTCGGGCATTGGGATGGCTGCTTTCTTTTAGCTTTATCGTCTTGATGATTCTACACCTGCCATCCTCAGATGGCAATAATAAGGGCACGAAGGACTCTGGTGAAATGGAAAATGAGGCGTTTGCCTTCTTTCTGGCTTGTTTCTTCGCGTCCAGTGGTTTTGCACTTTTCCTGCAGACTCATAGCGGTCTGAAGAATGCTAGCTACGAACGTGCCACCGAAATTTGCTCTACCTTCATTCCAACAAGAAGGAGAGGTCGTCAAGGCGTTCAGTTTGTGATAGATAAACGATTCGGAATGGACAAGGAATCCAAAAAGAGTTGCCATGGCATTGATCATATGGAGATGGCCATTCTATCATCCAATAAAGTTTTGCCATCCAACAATAATACTGATGATACTTGTGACGGTCTATCATCCAGTGCTAGTGATGTACGATTCGCCAATGTCCGGGGCGACGAGGAGGAGGATCCTTGTTTGCAGGAAGGAACCGACGAGCTTATTACACAGGAAAAAGGAGACCATCCGTCCAACTCTACTTTGCCTACCGCAATAGTGCTGGAACAAATGTAATAACGATTGCTTACTTGCTTGAAATCCTCGTTGTCTGGTGTGTTTCCTGGATGAATCGATATGTTCCATTGTGCAGACAACAGATGACAAAAGGAGATCCACTGATAAGTTCTCATCCTACCAAGGCAATGAAATTATCATAGGCATCAATCATCGGAATCAGGACAATAGGCTTTCGAAATTTTCCAGCACTAGCATATTGAATATCACCGTTTTCATCCGAATCACTCACAAGAATGACAGCAGTAGAGCAGGGATACAATAACATTGTCTCGTGTGTTGTCTTTATACAATCGTCTATTTTGTTTTTATTATTATTTTCGATCCAATATTGTTTCCACCCCCTGAAGCACACACGATGTCATGATCTGGACTGCAAACGAAGCAGCTTCACATGTCGCATGTTGCTATGGAGTGATGGGATACTGTACAGCAAGGATTTCAACTTTGGGTCAAGGTTGTGTAGTCGAATGGAAGCCTCTTCGTATAGATGGAGTGCATCTCCAAGGATTCCAACAATTTGCTCTTTGCCTTGTATGTTGTGCTCGCAGTGCTGCTTTCCGTCGTCAATACCTCCTTCTTCAATAGCAGATAGTGCAAGCATGTGATAGGACAGAGCTAGATTGTAGAGCATTGCAACAAACAAATGCTCGTCTGGACTCTGGCCATCAGAGGTGTCCAAATCCATGGGATTGCGATCGATCACGAAATTGATGTTTTCGTCTGATCGAGGACTATCTACTTCAATCAGCTTTGCTGTGGCCGTATCGCGTTGCATCTCAAGCGATGCTTGGTTCAGCGAGAACCCTTCCATGATAGAATGGATGGCATCCAAGTAATAGCCTGCTCGGATGTACCGAACTGTCGAATGGTGGCGCTCGAATAGTGGTGGAAGCCGGTATTCCAATGATTCCATTTGCATTTGTGATTGCTGAGCCAGTTCCATAGTCTGTCTATGGCTCATTGTGTTTGGCATTGTGTTCATCATCATGATTTGTTAAATCTGCAATATAATTGTTGTGTTGTCAATTCAATGGAAAGCTATAGTTGCGAGGAGAGTTCGTTTCTTGCTTCAACCAGAAAGAAACGAACAAAGTTGCTTTCCCTCATGGATTATATTGCTTGAGACCGAATTTAGTGAAATTGTGTAAGTGGTGGTACCAAAGTCACACAGCACACAACTTCATGGTCGAATCATCATATGTATTCTCCACTTATCATTTTTGTTTCTCCCCATGCAAATTCAACATCGAAGGGTCTTTGAATGACAAAGAATGACGTGTCGATATATAAAAAGCGACCCGTTTGTCTTTTCTGTATGACCTTCAATGACGATAGAACAAATGATTTTCATAAGTGGAAACGAAAAAAGATTCCTGATAGAGGCCACGTCAGGTTTCATTTAAGGCTGAAAGCTCACCACCACCGCCGTTCGGATCCATCTGCTTCAAATCTGTGTCTCACCATCTGCTATCGTGACACCCTCCTGCTAATGCTTTGCAAAAGGGATCAATGGAGAAGTGAACTGCAACAGATGCATTAAATCAGCTGGAAGTGGTGGAAGGACAGGAATTCTTCGCAGGTTCGTGAATACCGTGAAGAAAAGTCAAAAAGAAGACGTGACACTTGTACCACAGAAAGTGTAAACATCCAACCATTTTGCGCAAATAATGTGGGAGAGTAGATCATGGTACGAAGCTCTACTATGGTTGTAAAACCTCCAGAAGGGATCGCAACTATGGGAGCAACGGTAGAAAGGGGAAAAAGAACACGTGGCACTCATACTACAGAGAGTGTAAACATCCAGCCAAGCGATCATACGGTACGTATATTCCGGTATTGGTAAAATTGATTCAACGGAGGAATAAACCACGGCAAAAGCACCGTATTCATCTCTTGGGAGCTGTGGGAACAGGAAGTCTGAAAGATTTCTTTTCAGCTTCAGGAACACTGGTAAAGGAGTCAAAAAGAAGATGTGAGACTCTTACAACACCAGAAAATGTAAATATCCATCCAATCAATCAGACGTACAGTAGGATTGATGCAAATGTGGTAGGTACAGTAGATCGTAGTATCAAACTCTAATATCGCCGTGAAGTCTCTAAGCAAAGACTATGGTTAAAATGTTGGGAAACAAAACCATTCTCCATTCTGCAGCCATGATACATTTTTTTTTTAATTGAACCTCGACACACCTTGGCAACTACTCGAATCAGTTCGATCCACTGAGAACGAGGATCAACTGCGCCAAGACGATCGCGAGCACCACGAAGAACGTAAGTTAGTTGCGATGATACGTCTATACAATCCGCCCAGGCCGAGCCGAGACAAAGATAACGAAACCATCAATGAAAGCTGTGATGATTAAAATGCGCATACCAAATCAAGCATTACTATTCAATTACAAAAACGACTAGCTATGCTTCCAAATCAAGCCTCACAAATCCATCCTTATCACGTTTCATCAGGAAAAATGAGACCATCCGTCCAACTCTACTTTGCCTACCGCAACAGTGCTGGAACAAGCGTAATAATAATAATGCTTGCTTGCTTGCTTGCTTGAACTCCTCGTTGTCTGGTATGTTTCTTTGGTGAATCGATATGTGTCATTGTGCAGACAACAGATGACAAAAGGAGATCCATCGATAAGTTCCCACTTTGCAAAGGCAAGGGCATGGCAAAAGCGACTAATAAATAAAGAAATCAATATCAGAAATGGAATTATCATCGGCATGATCAATCATCATAATCGGGGCAATAAACTTTCCTCAGCATATCACCGTTTTCATCCGAATCACTCACAAGAATGACAGCAGTAGAGCAGGGATACAATAACATTGTCTTGTTTTGTCTTTATACAATCGTCTATTTTGTTTTTATTATTATTTTCGATCCAATATTGTTTCCACCCCCTGAAGCACACACGATGTCATGATCTGGACTGCAGACGAAGCAGCTTCACATGTCGCATGTTGCTATGGAGTGATGGGATACTGTACAGCGAGGATTTCAACTTTGGGTCAAGGTTGTGTAGTCGAATGGAAGCCTCTTCGTATAGATGGAGTGAATCTCCAAGGATTCCAACAATTTGCTCTTTGCCTTGTATGTTGTGCTCGCAGTGCTGCTTTCCGTCGTCAATACCTCCTTCTTCAATAGCAGATAGTGCAAGCATGTGATAGGACAGAGCTAGATTGTAGAGCATTGCAACAAACAAATGCTCGTCTGGACTCTGGCCATCAGAGGTGTCCAAATCCATGGGATTGCGATCGATCACGAAATTGATGTTTTCGTCTGATCGAGGACTATCTACTTCAATCAGCTTTGCTGTGGCCGTATCGCGTTGCATCTCAAGCGATGCTTGGTTCAGCGAGAACCCTTCCATGATAGAATGGATGGCATCCAAGTAATAGCCTGCTCGGATGTACCGAACTGTCGAATGGTGGCGCTCGAATAGTGGTGGAAGCCGGTATTCCAATGATTCCATTTGCATTTGTGATTGCTGAGCCAGTTCCATAGTCTGTCTATGGCTCATTGTGTTTGGCATTGTGTTCATCATCATGATTTGTTAAACCTGCAATATAATCGTTGTGTTGTCAATTCAATGGAAAGCTATAGTTGAGGAGAGTTCGTTTCTTGCTTCAACCAGAAAGAAACGAACAAAGTTGCTTTCCCTCATGGATTATTGCTTGAGACCGAATTTAGTGAAATTGTGTAAGTGGTGGTACGTGTACCAAAGTCACACAGCACACAACTTCAAGGTCGAATAATCATATGTATTCTCCACTTATCATTCACTTACAAATTAAGCATCGAAGAGTCTTTGCATTCGCAACAATGACGTGTCGATATATAAAAAGCGACCTGTTTGTCTTTTCTGTATGACCCACACTGACGAGAGAACAAATGATTTTCATAAGTGGAAATGGAAAAAGATTCCTGACAGAGACCACGTCATATTTCATTTAAGGATGAAAATTAAACATCGCCGCCGTTCTGATCCATCTGCTTGAAGCTATCTGCTGTCGTGACACCCGTGATTATTGGATCAAGGGCAACTGCAACAGATGCAATAAATCAGCTAGCAGCGGTGCGGACTCTTCTTATCTTCGTGAATACCAGCGGAAAAGTCGAAAAGAAGACGTCAAACTCGTACCACAGAAAGTGTAAACATCCAACCAGGGAAGGGATTGAAGCAAACTTGGTGGGAGGGTAGATCATAGTACGGAGCTCTACTACAGTCGTGAAAACCTCTAAGAGGGATGGCAGCTTCGGAGTACGGGTAGAAGAGTGAAAAAGAAGACGAGAAACTCGTACTATTACAGAAAGTGTAACTATCTATCCACTCGAAGCTCTAATATCATCGTGAAACCTCCAGGCAGAAGGGATTGCAGCTTCGGGAGTACCGGTAGAAGGGCCAAAAAGAACACGTGACACTCGTACTACAGAGAGTGTCCACGTGCAGGCAAGCGATCCTGTGTAGTAGGATAAATACAACGGAGTAACGGAGAAAAAACCCCCGGCACAAGCATTTATCCACCGTGGGAGCTGCGGGAGTAGTTTGCAGCTTCAGGAATACCAGTACTTACTTGAAAAGCCAAAAAGAAGACTTGAAACTTGTACCGTACTACATAGTAAAGTGTAACCATCCCAGGAGCACACCATCGTGGTGTAACCTCAAGCATGGCGGATCGCACTTCGGGAATAACGGTAGAACAGTCAAAAGAAGACGCGGAAGACGTACCAGAGAAAGCGTAAACATCGACCCAAGCGATCATACGAAGTAGTATTGAGAATACAGCGGAGAGATAAACCATGATACAAGCATTTATCACGTGGGAGCTGCAGGAGTATTTTGCAGCTTCAGGAATACCGGTGCTATGGGATAGAAAAGCCTAAAGAGACGTAAAACTTGTTGTTAGAGAAATGATTGATTCATCGTAGATCATAGTATCACGTTCTACTATTGCAGTGAAACCTCTACTAAGCAAAGACTATGATCGAAATTCTGAGAATCGCACCCATTCTCTATTCTATAATCTATTTCAAAAATTTGACCCTACCGACCTTGGCAGCTCCAAGAAGATCGCGAGCACAACGAAGAATGTAAGCCAGTTGGGATGATGATAGGTCTACAGTCCAGGCCGGGCCGAGACAAAGATATGGAAACTACCAGTGTGATGGTCAAGAATGCGCATGCCGAATCAAGCATTACTATTCAGTTACTAAAACGACTAGCTATGCTTCCAAATCCAGCCTCACAAATCGATCCTCTGAGATCGTCGAGTGGCCAATGAATCTAATGCCAGTGAGTCCAGTCATCATCAAGAGGATACTTGTAGTTGTCATCATCTGGACAGAAGCGGCAAGAAATACCATTTGGAAGTTTGACCTCCTTCATCTTGCGCCCTTCGTCAGCTTCCACAGGAGAAGACTCGCCAACATCCTTCAGATCACGGTGCCAATGAGTCCAATCATCATCAAGTGGGTACTTGTAGTTGTCATCATCAGGACAGAAACGGCAAGAAATGTCGTTGGGGAGCAACTTCTCCTTCAAGATGCGATCGTGGGCATTGACGTCGCCACTCTTGACGGCATCGATCAACATGGAGGCTTCCTTGTTGGCTTCCACAGCAGCATCTTGAAGAGCGCGCTTGTGCTCGTCCTTGGCTTGCTTGGAGGCAGCGTGTTGGAGGAAGTGGGCTTCGTAGTGAGCGGCCTTGGCGGTAGCCTTGAGCTTGTCAGTGCTGGTGAGCTCACGCTCGGCATCAGCGGCTTGAGAGTCGGCCTTGGCATCAAGGTTACGGTGCCAGTGGGTCCAGTCGTCGTCAAGTGGGTACTTGTAATTGTCATCATCAGGACAGAAACGGCAAGAAATGTCGTTGGGGAGCATCTTTTCCTTCAAGATACGGTCATGGGCATCGGCATCCCCACCGTTGACAGCATCGACCAACATGGAGGCTTCCTTGTCGGCTTCCACAGCGGCAGCTTGGAGAGCACGCTTGTGCTCGTCCTTGGATTGCTTGGAAGCAGCATGCTCCAGAAAGTGGGCTTCGTAATGAGCAACCTTGGCAGTAGCCTTGAGCTTATCAGTGCTGGTGAGCTCACGCTCGGTATTGGCACGAGAGTTGGCCTTCTCATCAAGGCCACGGTGCCAATGAGTCCAGTCGTCGTCAAGAGGATACTTGTAGTTGTCATCGTCAGGACAGAAGCGACAGGAGATTCCATTCGGAAGGGTTGGGACAGAAGCGGTGTTGGCTTGACCACGAAGGCCAATAGCGGCAGCAGCTTCAGAGACAGCAGCAGAGCTTGCGAGGAGGGCAACAGCAAGGGTAGAGAACATCATGGTATCAACGGATGAATTGTTTTTGGATGAATGAATTTATTGAATTCGAAATGGAATGCAAAGTAATTGTGAAAAACGTTGAGAAATCCAAATTATGAGGATTGCCAGGAGAAACCTGAATTCTGACCTGTGGTCGTAAAGTTGTTCTGGAAGTCGGTAGAAGCTAGGGCAATCCCAGATGGATGAGGAGGACGCAAGTACTGATGTCAGTAGAAAGCAACGAAACCTTCGCATAAAGTCTTTGAGTCAAAGTGTGATTATCTCTTGGGTTTCTAAACGACAAAACCTTCTCAAAAGACAAATTGGCTGAGATGTTCCTAAGTGCGGCATGATGGTGAGAAAACTGAATCATGCCTCGCACATAATGAAAGCTTTTGTTGGAAACGTCCTAGCCCAGGCGATGGACCAATCGTTGTTGAGAATAGCTAGATTGGTTGGAGAATGTCTACCGGTATGCGAAGGTTTTGCGCCAAAGAGTCAAATACTCTCGGGAATGGGTCAAGTCTTACCCTTCCCCCAGTTTGTACCCTACTCGCCATGCTATTCCCCCAATGTCGCTGTTGACGCACGTACGTGATCGAAGCTGACGCACGCCCATCAAGAATTTATCGCTCGAAATTCGAAATGGACATCAGCATCAGTTCATAGAAGAAGCTCCACACCAGTCCCCCTATACTAGGTCTGCACCAACGCTAGCATTAAGCTTTCAAAGTTTTTCCATAGATCCGTATGCAAGATAGAAGAATAGAAACTCATATGACGAAAAGAAGACTAAAGACAACCGGAAAATGAATTTCAAATTGATCCTGTTTCTACTGGTTGAATGCACCAGAATTCACACCGATGCTCTGTCGTTTCCCGATCCATCCCTGCCAGGGTCTCGTCGAGGACCTTATTCCGACTATTCGAATAGACCACCATCCTATAATGATGTGCCGACGCCCTACAACGATGGATATGACCTCCCACCTCGCTACAATGGAGTGTATGATATGCCACCATACTACAATGGTATGCAGCCATTCAATTACAATGATGGACAGGGAATGACACCCGCTTACAGCAATGGTCTCGACACACAACCATCCTACGACAGCCAAGCCGGAATACAGCCATCCTCGAATAGGCAAATTGCTGCTATTCCACTATCGGCTGATGTTCCTTTATCGGACATGACTGCTTACAGCAATGGTCTCGATACGCGGGCGCAACCATCCTACAACAGCCGAGCCGGAATGCAGTCATCCTCGAATAGTCAAATTGCTGCTATTCCACTATCGGCTGATGTTCCATTATCGGACATGACTGCTTACCGCAATGGCATCGATACGCAACCATCCTACAACTGCCAAGCCGGGATAGTAGATTCATCCTCCACTAGTCAAGTTCCTGCTATTCCATTGTCAGACATGACTGCTGCTAAAGCCGACACCAATGGAGTCGATGTTGCTTCCAGAACTGACTTTTTTGCAACCCATTTAAGCCCAATGGACAATAATCCACTGTTGCATCAAGAGAATTGTTTGCCCAAATTCTCTCGCATTCGGGCCCAGCACATTGCTCCAGCGCTAGAAAAGAAAATAGAAACCATGAAACTGGAATTCGAACTTTTCGAATCTTATCTGAACATGAAAGCGTCATCGGTTGCACCCAACACCGGAATTATGAATAGCAAGGATGATTCTGAGAAACTTGAGCTGTCCTGTATGTTGGATCAGCTAGACAGCATCAAACATATCCTGGATCATACTTGGACCATTGTTTCTCATTTGCATGCCGTGAAGAACGACAATGACCTCCGTAAGACTTACGAACAGTATCAGAGGGTAGTACTGAAAGCAAGCTCTCAGTTCTATCAGTCGGAAGCCTTGTTTGATGCACTGCAAAAGCAACTAGAGGAGCAGGTCAAATCCAATGAAAAGCAACAGAAGGAGCTATCCAATAATATCAAGGAAAACCGTGCCATTACGCCTGTCGACTCCATCATTACAGATAAAGTGTATGAGCAACAGCAAGAACAGCGAGCGCTGGAAAGCATATTGCGATCCATGAAAGAAGGAGGCGTCGGGATGAAGTCGAAAGAAGACCAGGACCGTTTCAATGAAATTCAGTTGCGACTGGCATCGTTGGCCACCAAATTTTCCCACAACATCTTGGACGAGACCCAAGCCTTGTTCATGACTATTAGCGATCAGAGTTTAATGGACGGCGTTCCAGAATCAATATTACTTCAATGGAACAATGCATACCGAAAAGAAATGGCAAGACTGGGGTACATTGGAATCAGCGACACTCGGAACCCGAATGATTCTACCAGCTTTAATGGTTGGAGTAGCAATGGACCAGTATCCTACGAAGAGCAGCAATACGAAGAAGAAATGAGGAATTTGGGATGGAAGACAGGACCGTGGAGAGTGACCATGGACCAATCGTCCTATCTCTCCGCCATGAAGCACATTCGGGACCGACCGTTGCGACAGCAGATATACATGGCCCATCTGCAACGAGCATCTGAGAAATCTCCCGACAAGAACAATATTCCAGTCATTGAGGAGATATTACAACTCAGAAAGGAGATGGCAAAGCTACTTGGGTATGATAGCTATGCCGAACTGAGTCTGTCATCGAAAATGGCATCCTCGACCGACGCCATTACCAAGCTGTCGGATTTTGTACTAGCGAAAGCCTTACCAGCGGCAAAAAAGGAATTGGAAGAGGTTACAAAGTTTGCGCATGCAAGTGGTGGACTGATGGAAACAGACGCAAGTGGATGTCGCGTCCCGGTCCCCTTGGAGCCCTGGGACATTTCCTACTGGACGGAACGATTGAAGGAATCCAAATTTGATCTTACAGAAGAAGAGCTACGGCCCTACTTTGCCCATCCGAATGTGATTCATGGCCTATTTCAACTGGTCAATCGTCTGTTTGACGTGACCATCAAGGAAGATGTGGCCGACAAGTGGCACCCCGATGTCTCCTTTTACAATCTGTATGACAATGCCAGCGGGAAGCATATTGCCAGTTTTTACCTTGATCCATATTTTCGGCCACTAAACAAGCGAGGTGGAGCTTGGATGTCAAGTTGTGTTGCCAAATCAAGAGCTTTGAGGAATGACCTCCCAGTGGCATATGTATCGTACAATGTCCACCCACCTGCCGAACGACAACAACAACAACAAGGAGGGAGACCATCCTTGCTGACCTTTCGGGAAGTCGAAACTGTGTTTCACGAATTTGGCCATGCCCTGCAGCATCTGTTGACTACTGCCTCTGTCGGTGAAGTGTCAGGAATCAATGGGATTGAGGTATGTGACATTGCGAATGAATGAATGAATGAATGGATGACTTATTTGATGTCATTGATTGAACGACGATGATTTTTGTTCTATGATATTTTCTTCTTGTCTGGTACTTACATAGCCTCTTGCTTCTTCGTTTCATTATTTTATATTGAATTTCACTATCATCATCTTCATCAACATGCGAATAGTGGGATGCCGTGGAAATCCCTTCCCAATTCATGGAGCGATGGTGTTACGATCGTGACACGCTCTATTCGTTTGCTCGACACTGGCAAAGTCACCAGCCTCTACCGGAAGCAATGTACGAAAAGCTGCTCCAGCAAAAGGTGTTTGGTGCTGGAATGAAGACGTGCAAACAATTGTATTACGGACAGCTAGACCTCGCACTGCACGGCACTACGAGTGCCATTTCTACCTTTGACGAGAACGACGAGACGATTCAAAGTCAATACTTTTTGAAACAGCCAAAGACGACCATATTTGATGTCCAGCGAAAGGTTGCCGAAAAGTATTTGCCTCCCTCCATGATGCCTTTGTTGAAAGAAGATCGCTACCTTTGTTCCTTTAGTCATATTTTTGCGGGTGGATATTCGGCTGGATACTATTCGTATCTTTGGGCCGACTTGATGAGCGCTGACGCCTTTGGCGCCTTTGAAGCCGTTTTGAATGATTCTCCTAGTACTACCGGTACGCAAGGTACTAATAATAACAACAACAACAACAACAACAACAAAGAAGACGAACTCAAGGTCATTGGTAAACGCTTTCGGGATACCTTTTTGAGTTTGGGAGGAGGAATCCCACCCGATCAAGTCTTTGAGATCTTTCGCGGTCGTACGCCAACGGCAACCGCATTTTTGGAACAAAGTGGGCTTCAAGAATAATATGTATATATATATATAGTTGCGACACTATCTGTTTGGAGGAAGAGGAGGCCACGACATTGTTGTAACATAGTAGACTTATCAATAGTCGTATAATACTTATATTGTAGTTAGGCACTGCTTTTATTGGTAATGTTGAATCTTCAGATGATATCATTACCTAATAGCATTGCAGAAAATGTATCACTATGTATGATCTGTTATGTAAATATTCGTCTAGCTACATCATGTTGAAGTATTGCAATTGTAGTTCCAATTGCCATCATTGTCTTCAACATGGTCAATACTCAAAAAGAAATGTTAATCCGTCTTCTTTTCTTCCATCGAGGTCGAATCGCTTCTCCTCTTGTTGGCAGGAGCATCCGATGGCGGTGGCAACACCGCATCTTCCATGGATGGCATGATGGGTTGATAATGATACAAGGAGGGTGCTCCCCCCGTGTGCAAAAAGACGACATTCGATCCTTCCGGAAAGGCGCCTTGACGCACCAAATCAATCAATCCCGCTGCCGCCTTGCCGGTATACACAGGATCCAGCAAGATTCCTTCGAGACGGGCAAACATGGTGACGGCTTCTTCCATGCCAGCCGTGGGCAGAGAATATCCAGGCCCAACGTAGTCGTCGAGCACGACCACGGCGTCGTGTGGCAATGTTGCAGTACTACTACTACTACTACTAGCATCCATTCCATTCTTCTTGAGCAAAAAGGAATAAGTCTTTTGGGCCAATCCATAAATGTGTTCGGTTTGATGATCCTTGGGATGGCGCGTGGAAATGCCAATCACATTGGTATTGGGGTCCGAGGAGAATCCCAAGGACATGCCCGCATGAGTACCACCCGAGCCAGAGGCACACACGACCGTGTTGACATGAATGTCTTGGGCGGCAGCTTGTTTCTGCAATATTAGAGAAAGGAACGGAAAGAACAATGAATAAAGAAAATGGTCAGATGACAATATTCAAACATGGCAGCACTAATATATATATATATACATATATACATATATCAACATTGACAATAGAAATAAATCGTGTGTGTCGTACCTGAATTTCTTGAGCACAACCCACATAGGCAGTCGCTCCCAATTCATTACTGGCCCCACCAGGCACACAGTAGACCTTCTTTCCTTGTTTGCGTAGTTCTTCCGCCAAGGCCTCAACCGCCTTGGGGGCTTCTCCCAAACCAACCTTGGTGATGGATTTGGCGCCCAACAATCGAAAGAGGTAATGATTGCCACCGGCATTGGGATGATACGAACCTTCCACGCGTTCTTCCAAAACCAAGCAACAATCCAAGCCTTCCTTGTTGCAGGCACTCAATGTCAAACGACAGTGATTGGATTGGACGGCTCCACAGGTGACAATGGTATCGGCGCCTTCCTGAATGGCTTCGGCCAGAACAAATTCCAATTTGCGGGTCTTGTTGCCACCCCCCGTCAATCCCAACATGTCGTCGCGTTTGATAAACAAGTTGACCTTGTTGCCCAAGGCTTTGGACAACTGCGGCATGGCCTCCAATGGCGTATCATGCGGTGTGTAAATGCGTCGGTCCAGCTTAGAAATGTCCAACTTGGGAGTCACGACAGATTTGGTGGTGGTAGTGGAAGAAGCTGGGCTCATGATGAAGGATTGTCTGATGGATGGATGGATTGAATGATTGATTAGAATGGATGGAATGGATAAACTGTTGGACTGAACCAAATCAAAGGCGCAACAACAACAAAAAAAGATATGAGAACCAGATGAGGGACGTGGAGTTACTGTATTAGGCCTGATAAGACCATGGTTTTCGTCGTGAATTCCGAGGTATCTTTTTAGGAATTCCGATTTGGTACGGTAGGGGAGTACGGACCTCGTACAATGGCCAACTCCGTAAATCTCCCAAATTCTCATTCCTTTTCGGAACAAATCGGAGGATCGGATTTCAAATGTTTGGCCTATCCAATACCATCGCATACGACCACGTCATCGCAGCACCATCAGTTCGCTTTCTTCATTTTCTCATTGATTCAATCGACCAAGATGAGTCAGTAATCGACCCGACCGATCCTCCTGTTGCATTTCACCGGTAGAAGACGTTATCTTCTACGGGTATTCAACGTACAATGTGGTACATCGACGAGAAATGGGACTGGAGAACTCGGATGTAGCATTTTTGAACGTTGAACACCGTAGACGAGGCATTTTTCGGAAGGGACCGGCGCGAAGAAACAAAAAAACGATGTGGAATAACGCCTGACTAGATCGACCCAAATGTCCCGCTGAATACCCCGCTCTAGATTTTTCAAAATTCCTCCCCCCGCCATTTCTTATGTTTCAAACCGTTTTGACTCCATACGTATTTACGAGCCGGCCATCGGAAGGTCCGACCGGATGCAACGCGTAAACACTGGTACTCATGTTACACAGAAAAATATCATCGAGCCAAATTCATCGCATCGCAAACAAGGAGATGGAGAACAAGTTGTTTTTGCGAAATTAGCAAGACTTGCAGTATTGAAGTGACCTAACTGTAACTGTCAGAGCACCTTGTCACATTCATTCAATCCCGACCCGAACAGAGAGCATCATTGAGAAGGCAAACACACAAAAACGGAATACTTGCATCGCTAAACAGAAGTTATCAACACACACGCTTGCTTGCAATACGCACAAGACAAGACAATACATTCCAATACAATACATTGTTAGTCTATTGTTACGATAACAAAAATACCAGAATTCACACATACACAACAAAGTTAAAGACAAAGACAGGAACAAACAAAGCAGTATGGAATCCTCCTCATCACCACAAGCCACACCCAGGCTCTCAGTGAGTCCAAAATCGACAGAAGCCACGGCACAAACGGGGGGAGTGCTGAGACCCAACAACTCGAACACATCTTCTGGCAACAATAGCAATTCCAATGCCAACAATAACAGCAACAACAATAGCAACAACGCCAACAACAGCAAACCAGCCGTTTCTTCCCCCATTGGACCATCGCCCACCATATTGAAGGAACCTCTCATTATCGACCTCGACCCCAAGACGTTTCAGCAACCATCCGTTCCAGCCAGTGACACGTCGAGAGAAGGACTCAAAAAACAAGTGGAACGTCGCAGAATGACTTTGACGCTACCGGAACGCAACTTTTTGGATCATTTGTGTGTGCACGGAAACGAAGTGGAAGTCCAATTGGCCTACGAACGCTTGGGAGACGAAGATTTGTTTTTTGATTGGCAAACTCCCCGCCATCTAAAAGCGAGTGAAAATCGGGCACCGGAAGAAGTGTTTGATGACAATCAAGAATCATCATCACGTTATACTGAGGATCATACAGAGGGAGATGATACAAACGATGGTGATCTAGCAACACCACGACCCGAAACCATGAGGGAGCGAACCCTATCCGTAGGCAGTCAACGTCGTCTCCAGATTCTAGAGGATCGCAAATCTCACAAATCACCCCTGTGGCAAGCTCATGAATCCGGGATTGCCGTCACTCACGCTGCCTCCAAAAAGTCCATTTTCAAACGAACGTCTTCGGCCGTTTCCATCTTGAGCAATGGTTCTGCCGCAACACCCCAAATGATTCGGGATTCTTCGAGATTTTCCTTTGCCAGCACCGCTACAGGTGCCAGCGCTGCAGCTGGTGGTGAACCAATGGAGATGATTTTTAGACGGATCGATGCTAGCAATAGCAATAAAATGAGAGCGGCATCGCCATTGCAAAAGGCACGATACCAACGATCTCATTCCTTGACATTTGGCAGCACAAACATGCATCAACAATATCAACAACAACAACAACAACAATATCATCCTTCCGTTCCACCACCCCGTGGATTTCTTCAACAACGGCGAGCCAGTACTTCCTCCCGCAAGAGCGTTACCTTTTCGTCTCAAACACCACCCATGACGAGGCGCAAATCCGCTTCTGCTTTTTTGCGACGATCCAATTCGGATGGCAAATTGGCCTTGAGTCAGTCGGGACGACCACCCAGTGGACGTCCACCCTTGGCACAACGGTCCGAGAGCATGGCCAGTGTTCCAAGCATTCATCATGCCTCTCCGCTAAGATCCGAATCCATTGGCAGCATTCCAAGCATTCATCATGCCAATGCCATTCGATCGCCATCCATTGGCAGCATTCCAAGCATTCGACATGGAACTGCCATACGATCGCCATCGAACGCTACGGAGAGTAGTAATGGGATTCCCAGCATTCGACATGCCAATGCCTTGCGATCCCAATCCATTTCTAGCATTCCCAGCATTCATCATGCCACCGCCTTGAGATCACCATCCATTTCTAGCATTCCAAGCATTCATCATGCCAATGCGATACGATCTGATTCTGTTACTACTGCTACTGGTGGTGCTTCCATGCATCATCAGCATTATCCCATGTCCAGAGTGGAACTCTTTCAAGACGACAGTCATGTGGTTTCTGGAACCTTTCCTCCTGTTGTGGATTTGGAGGCTTTGGATCATTCCTTAATGGATGACACGGACAATGAGGATGATCCATTGTCTCCTGGGGGATCTACCCACTCACGAAAGAAGGTCTTTGATCATCAGAATTCATTGTTGGCATCTACCAATGGAAATAAGATGTTGGATCATCAGAATTCATTGCTGGCATCTACAAGACGGGCCGAGACAGAAAGATCACAAGAACTCTTGCCAGCCTACTCTGCAACTCCGGACATTGCTTCCGCATGGTTGAGCCAACAAAAGGGTCACTTTTTGTCGAAACCGTTCGAGTTTCAGTCGCAAGATTCCTTTCCACCGGCCATTCAAATTCCATCTACCATTACTGACAAGACGGATCGTTCCACCATGTCATCTAAATCAGACGAAGCTGCCTTTGTCATTGATAAAAAGGCTGTGTTGGTCCGACGCACCTCTCGCAACAGTCAATACGATGGAGAAGGCATGGAAGTTACCGAAATGCCCGAAATGGAATACGATGATAGCGACCCCAGGGCATATCCAATGTGGGAAAATATGAGCAGCATACGTCAATGCACTAGTTTTGATGATGAAACCATGTCCTTGTACAGTCATCGACAGAATAACTTTGATGAAGTCTTTCGAAGAAGCATTCGAAGGACCTTTTCCGATGAGGAAGTGGTAGCCGCCAATATGATGGTTGGTGATGGATGTGAGTAACATTATGTCAAATGACAAGTTGCATGGCATGCGTGCATTGGAAATCATATCAATCTGACTTCTTTTTCTTCCTTTTCTTTTCTTTTCACACGAACAGCAGCCAATGTCACCATGTTTCGAGAAATTTCCAACATGACCATGTCCAAACGAGAAGTCGTCAACGATGATGATTCGGATGATGACGATGGTGCATCCTGGGATTTGCAATCTCAATCGGGGGAAGATCAGCGATTCGATTCGTGGAATATTGTCAAGGACGAATACGTCAATGGGTATGGTGGCGGTGGTTCGTTGGACTTTATGATTTTGGGAACCTGCGCGGATGATTTGTCGGCATCTCCTCATGTGTTGAGTCCACCCATGATGGAGAGCTTGGCGGCATTCTTGCCCCATTCACAGAGTACCGAAAACTTCTTCCTTCGATACTCGCTGGTCCGAGATGGTGCCTCCATGTTGACCTTTTTGAAGCGTTCGAGAGGCGTTCAGTATGGTATTCTCGCATTGGAGACTGTGGATGGCGAAGTATTTGGTTGCTTTACCGGGCAGCCATGGCGAAAGAGTCCCAGTTACTTTGGTACTGGCGAATCTTTTTTGTGGAAGATGAGACGCTCTCGTCTAGAAGCCACAAATGACATTTTGGAACAAGCCCAACTCGAATCTGAGATTGACGTGTACCCGCACACTGGAGACAATCAATACTACCAGCTTTGCACACATGATCGAATAGCAGTCGGTGGTGGAACACCAAGTGGAGAAAAGAAGACCTCCGATCCTCCCTTTAATCCACACGAATGGGGATTTGGACTTGATATTCAAGGCGACTTGCTGGTTGGCACGTCGAGTCCATGTGCGACATTTGATTCACCATCGTTGTCCAAAGTTCATTCCGACGGGTCTCTATTCGAAATTGTCAATCTTGAGCTATGGGCGTTGACACCTTGCACAAGTGTACAAGAAGCCGAGCATTTGGAGCTTGGCAAACTGTTCTTGGAACGGCAATAGAATTGCAATGATATCAAAAAACAAGATAATCTAATGCTAGGACTAAAGAGTTATATGATAATTGAGCATGCAATAAATTTTCTCTGTTGACACTCTGATTGATGACCAACGAAAGGCACTATTGCACCCCTTGAGTATTACTTGGCGCACTAGGAGGTAGGTGATGTAGTTCGTCCAAGTTATTGCGAACCATTCACCCTTCGTCATGATCATTGCTGTTTTTACTTGAAGATGGAAAAAGTCACCAAGCTTTCCAAGCGAGGCATTTCTGCCTTGAAGGTAATGTCCAAAAAGATAGTTTCGGGGTTAGGCTTAAGCTCATATTCTTGATACTGTTCTAATATCATGACTTCAAGTAGCGCTTTGCCCTCCTTTTCACTATTTTAGCACTCACTGGATATTCGTGATCTTCGGTTCGTATCATGATTCTATAACCCACTACTGGATAAAGTACCTCGCGTTGACTTGCGCTCAAATTCTCCTCAGTACTCTCGTAGATCCTTGCGGCACTCATTCTAACGCTCACTGGACACCTCACGCTCTTCCCTTCTCAATCAACCTCGTACCGAGGGGACGAGGCCCACTGGATATCTGCCTCAGTCTTCACACAGCAGTGCCGATAGAAGTTTCTTTCTTTGTTTCCGTTTCTGACCCAGTTACGGTTCCACTATTTTCTTGCCGAATCATTTTTTAAAAAGCAGTTCATGAATCTCGTCCAATGTTTTTGGTATCGCTCTCGCAACAGAGTTACCCTTGATTTTAGTGGGAGCAAACTTGAAGATATTCCATAACTTGAAGGTAGTTCACTAAACCGTCCAACCGGGGGATTGTACTCCAAATTATTAGATATGTAAACATAGAGTAGATGACGGCAAATTGTTCTTGGGGATGATTGGACTTGAAGCTAGCATCATTTTCTACTATATTATAAAAATATATTGAAATAAATGATCACACAAAAGGAACAAGAATTGAGTTATCCCGTCGATGCGACGTCGACGTTTCAGATTTTTGTATACACGTGATTCCTATATATGTGATTAGCGCTTATTACTGAGTTTCTCCGTCATACCTTCCGAGGTTCAACATTCAAGTTCGACGTTTCAGATTTTTATACACGTGATTCCTATATATGTGATTAGCGCTTATTACTGAGTTTCTCCGTCATACCTTCCGAGGTTCAACATTCAAGTTCAAACAAGGGTTCAAGGCCAAGGAGCGTCCTCACTATTTCCAGAAACTTGAGCAAATTCTGCACTCGTCTTACAAATCGATTTGACAGTACCACAACAACAAAAATGATGGAAGTCAACCTCCCTCAGCATTCTCAGACTTCAGAAGAATACCTAGAATTACGACTGCCACCGTTACAAGAGAGCCACAATGCAACGGTCAGGTATATTCGAGCGGGATTTTACTTGGATGCCATTCATTCCGTCTTGGAAGGATTTGCGAAGTGCAATGTCCCAAAAGATATGCAACACGATCGAACCAGTATCTCCGTTGATGCTGTTGCTGTTTCGAGTGGAAACATAGTGCTGGACCGAAATCCAATGGATCCTCACAATGATGGTGACGACACTTATTCCGAAGAGCTCTTGGTCTTGGCAATGATCTACAATCTTGCGCTATCCTATCATTTGTACGCGCTTACCACCATTAGCAGTACTTCACAACACACAGGCACAGAACATGATAGACAAGTAAGGGAACAACTGCCAATGATTTGCTATGACTCCTTTCATCTATACGAAGAGTCAAGAATACGGTTGCGGCATCTTCGTCCAGCCCTAAAGGCATTTCTTTACAGCGTACCGGCAATAGAGAACAACATGCAACATGTGTCTTCTTTGTTGCAGCAACGATAACCAATAAATGCCAGTGATTTAGCGCTCTGATGGTTTTCTTCTCTAGCAGCAGTACGAAGGATAGTCAAAAAGAATTCCTCTTTTGCAGCATCGGTATCTTGTCCTACGATGAAGGTATTGCTACACTGCTGCAGTTGCTGGTATTTGGGCGTCCGATCTTCTACTATAGATTCGGCGGGCAATGCTTTGTTGAAGCTCGGGCTCGGCATAGTATCAAGTGCACGCGATGAGGAATCCAATTAGTCAATCCAAGGTACACCGTACCATTAGTATCAGGTGCTACAGTACCTCTACAAACTTTCCCCTCAAATCTATGCGAGTGCCTACGGATGATTGCCTATTGGTTTTAGGTAGGTACTAGCTGGTCTCCAGTTTGGTCTGATCACGTTGCGGTCCTCGGCCGTAGGTGGGAAAAGGAGAAGGATGGGAGAGAGATCTCCAATGAGCAAGCGACAGTCGCAAAACAGGTTGCTTTGGATATGAACAACAAAAAAGGCAGGTCAATTTTCAAACCGCATTCTTCGGCATTCTCACAATTCCAATCAAACAGTACCAGTTACTCCGTGGGCCTGGGTCTATCTTACTTTCCATTCATGATCAAGTTCGAATTCGATGCTTGTGGTCGACTGAAATATCCTCCAAATTATCGCGTATCAATCGTAGGTAGGAACAGAATAGGCAAGTACTGTAGCTACCTACAGTAGTATACAGCGCACCGTTTTGTTTGATTTGTTGACGGCAAACACCTCTACCTGCCTTCTGCTGGAACGGCCGGGAAATAGAAATTTAGCATACAATTCTTGGGAGTAAATATTGATTTTCCCGGCAGTTCCTGTGTGGACAGATGCCCAAAATATGAGTTGTCATTTGGTTCCATTGACTGACAATTTACCCCTATTTGAATAGTGACGGCAAATTGTTCTTTGTCGACTGAACTTGAAGACTGAATCTGTTCATTTGGAAATATTTTGGGAGAATGCAAACTGTGAACAAGACGAGATTGTTTAGTTACCCCGAAAATGACGTGTTTCTTGTGTTTCATATGTGTTTTGCTCCCGTTCGGTTTTGTGAGTGGTGGATTCACTCATGCCACGCACTTGAACTATCTCATGCCACGCACTTGAACCTTAAACGTTCGACATTTCGATTCAGTCCGAGGAAGAAAGTGCCAAAGCATGTCCTCACTATTCTACACTCCTTTCAAATATCAGTAAAAGTAACAGTAACAACAACAATGGCAGAAGTCAGCCTCCCTCAGCATTCCCAAACTCTAGGATACCTAGAATCGCGACTGCCACCGTTGCAAGAGTACCACGATACAACAGTCCGTTACATTCGAGCCGGATTTTACTTGGATGCCATTCATTCCGTCTTGGAAGGATTTGCGAAGTGCAATGTCCCAACAGAGATGCAACACAATCGAACCAGTATCTCCATTGATACTGTTGCTGTTTCCAGTGAAAGCACATTGATGGACCGAAATCCAATGGACCCTCATGTGGGCAGTAGGGACAATTGTTCCGAAGAGCTCTTGGTCTTGGCAATGATCTACAATCTGGCTCTATCCTATCATTTGTACGCGCTGACCACCACTACGAGTAGTCCACAATACACGGACACAGAACATGATAGACAAGTAAGGGAGCAAATGCCAATGATCTGCTCCGACTCTTTTCATCTATACGAAGAGTCAAGAATACGGTTGCGGCATCTTCGTCCAGCCCTAAAGGCATCTCTTTACAGCGTACCGGCAATGGAGAACAACATGCAACATGTGTCTTCTTTGTTGCAACAGAAATCGAGGTGACAGCGGCAGGACCACGATTTTGATGATTGGTAGCTATTCTATGATAATGATTCTAATAAAGAGTACGATTATTGTATATAGATTTCCTTGTAATTTCCATCTACTGCTGGGTGTGTGTATTTGTGCGTCCCCGAATCATCATCTTCTACAGTACTCCTCTCGGACGTCGGCCTTTTTCTACCACGCACCACTGATACTCTTCCAAATAGTCCAACTAGTCAACTTCTGTAAGTTTATCTATGACCAAAATGACTGAATGCATCCAATGAATCACATGAATCAATCAATCAATTATGCAAATATACCGTCCAGGTCTTGGTACCAGGTACCGTACCAGGAGCCCAAAGAATTGCTACCGGGACCTACCGGTACAGTACTCGTACTGTAAAATTGGAAGTGTTGGAAAGAGATTATTGTTTCACTGGTCGTGGTTGCAAGCGCTACCACCAAATTTTAGCTAGTATTTTCAAACCGCAACCCAAGAACCGCACAATGTCCGACGAACCACCACAACCGCCAAAAATAGTTAAATGAAACTATGTGTAATCGTGTCGTGGCGTCCGATGACCCGGTTGTGCACTGAAACGCTTCCACGTAGACGGATGGTACTTTTCAACGAGATTTGGATTTTGAATGAGAATGGTTCCTAAATGATTCAAATTACAGAACGAGCGCGAGCCAACGGCTGCGCCATAAATACTTCGGGTTTTGAATTATAGCATTTAACTAGTTATTTAGCGAAATGCGTGACAAGAGGGGAATCTTCCCTCGCGAGATGCCTTCAACGGTAAATACGTAGGAAGTGTACGTGAGAATCGGCACGCTAATTAGCGAGAATCAGCTCTCTTCGCTGCCTATGAGTCACGTAGACAAGTACCAAGTAAGACCAATCGAAAAAAAGCAGGCGCCCCATCGAACATTACAAATATGAGTAACGCTCTTCTTGTTCGATAATCCATCTTGCAGAAGAGAAGAAACACAAAGAGTATCATTACTATTGAAAGAGGGAGATTATAGAATACCATATATCGTAGTAGCACCCCTCACAAAGTGTCTCACAAAGTGTACGCAACAAGATGGACGCTTTTTGTGGAATTGAAATCGTTGGAGATGCCATGGCCTATGAAACGAACAAAGTCGCCAAATACCACGAATATCAAGAATATCCCACACTAGAAGAGTCTACCGTTGGCGAAGACGAGTCTCTGGGTTATGACCACCATCATCAACCTCAAAACGAGTACAATCCAGTCCATGAGCGCCCTGAAATTCCATCAGAAGAGGTAGGAAGCGGCAAAGAAGGACGATACGAAGATGGCGATGATGATGATGATGATGAGGAACAAGAAAATACCTTCTCTCGGTTTGTAGTTTGCTATCACCGACCTGATGATGCTACTGTGCCCTCTGCTCCTACGAAACAGCATCGACAACACGAAGATCCCTATGACGATGAATACGAAAGACCCAGTCGTTGGGGCTCTTCGACTGCTGCCTTGTGTTCTTCTGGAGGAGGTGGTTGTCCAACAGACTCTCCTCGATCGACAGTCAAACGATTGTCCATACGCAATACGCGAGATATCATCGAGAGATCTGGTTCCAAACTCATGTTGTGTCATCCCCAAGATTATCCCGAAGACGCTCCCAATCTATTGGAAGACTGCGACTTTGAGATATTGGCACCTCAAGACACCCTGGACGAAGGCCAAGCCGAAGAAGTCCAAGTGCTCAATCCCGACATTATGGAAGACCTACAGAGTCATTTGCCTCTGTCCAAGAAGGGAGAGTCCTTTTGGCTGCAATACTCACTCATTCGAGACGGCGCCAGCATGGATTCCCTGCTGTACAAGATTCGAAATACGGATCACTGCGTTCTCGCCATTGAAACTGTGGATGGGGATGTGTTTGGAGCCTACACTACCAAACGATGGCGGTATCACGATGACTTTTTTGGAAATCGTGATGCCTTCTTGTGGCGCAAGAATCCAGACCCCAAAGACGGAGTTGAAGACGTCCAATGTTATCACTTTTCACATCTCAACCAAGATGTTCAATTGTGTACCCACGATCGATTGGCCGTGGGGGGAGGGATTCGCAAATTTGATCCCGAATATGGGTTTGGGATTTCGCTCGATCGCGATCTGTTGTCGGGGACGACTAGCAAGAGCATGACCTTTTTGAATCCTCCACTTTCAAGCAAGCACGCCGATGGATCGGCCTTTGAAGTTCGCAACATTGAAGTATGGGCATTGACTCCCTGTCTTTCGTTAGAAGATGCCCAACGAATTGCCGACCGGGTACAAAACAATCCGATATGGGCGTAATGGAGTGATTGTTTAATATGATCATGATGGTTGGGAGGTCTTACTGGGGAAAGATCCATCTTGTTGCTACTACACCTACCGTATGTTACGGATACACGAGTACTTACATTCACTGTATATCTATCCATATCTTTATAATATAAATAAAAACTACACATATTTTAACTAGTTGTGATTCATTCATGCATTGATATAGGCGCAGGCTGTTTGGTGGAACGAGAACAAATGATAGAACGCAGTCGTCCGTTTCACGTACGGTAAAGTTTGGTCGCAAAGTTGGTTGATTGTAATGTTTCAATCTCAGTACCAGACAGGCCAATCTGGCAATGTCATAGTAAAGGATATTGAGATGGATGAAAGGCGCCGCTCGTCCCTTTATTGTAATGTTGGCTTCAGTCCGGCGCAAATTCTTCCTGCTTTCCGTTTGGCCTTGGCAGCCTTCATCTTGAGCTTGGTGAGAATGGAACGTGCTGGTTTGGAGATGCGTTGCAGGTTGCTGAGGGTGCTCGACACAATAACAATCGTCTCCACCTTGGAACGCAACTCGCGAAGGATGCACTTGAAGAGAAAGTGTTGGAGGGCGCGCTGATGAGACAATGCGCCAGTGTATCTGCCTAAAATGTTCCCCGAGAGATTGAAATCCCTTCCTCGTCTGGGATAGAAGTTCTCTTTTGCGAAAGAATGGGGCAAAGCGGACTCGGTTTGGTGTTTGGAATAGTGCTGCTCCAAACCAAGTCCGGTTGTTCTTGCGATGAGACGACCCTCCTGAACGACGAAGAATGGAAACAGGAGGCTGGTGTCGGTTGCTGTTCCGTTGCTTGCAAATAAGTCTCTTCTGAAAGATGACGTTACTGGCTCAATGGAAAATGGCGTTCTGTTTGGTGGATTGTTAGAGCATTCATTCTGATACTACTGGATGTACGGAGGATCGTCGTTTCTCAAGCTGCGGTGGACGTCTCTCATCTCTACTGTGTATATTGCGTACCGGTATTGCGTCGCGGTCATTATTTGTTCGCGATGAAAATACCGAAACCCGAAACGATAGTACGGTAGCACGCGTATTCGACGTACAGTAGAGCTTTCGTAGAATAATGGGGAGGGGAATATACCGTACGGTACCAGGTACCAGCCTCGGGAGAAACGACGATGATACTGCCGCAGACAATGTGAGGAGACACGATGATACCGGCACTGGTACGCCTGTGGAAGTTGCGACTTTACTTGTATAAACAAGACCATCGCCTTTTGTGTATATAGGCAGTCATGGCCATCACCCCTGTATCGCTTCATGAAAAGGATAGCTGTGGAGTGGTAACAACAATGTATCGTTTCACCACGACCACACCTTCTGTCAGATTCAAATTGCGAATTAAATATTTTTTGATATTGTGTATTTATGTTTAAAAAATTAAAATACCCGAAGTAGCAACGCTTCATTGGATACGCATGGATGAATTATTACACTGTACTCTTTATAAGAAGTGCCAGGCTCTCTACTCTTTAGAAAGACCAAAGGCTTGGTTGGAGCTGCCCGATTTTTTCATTGATCTCGTGCTACTCTTCTTCTCTACCTGCATTGCGAGGAATTTTTCCATCAAATCATCGCTGTTTCCTGATTTCTTCTTTCGTCGACTTCTCACTTTTCTTTGTCCGCTGCCACTCAACTTGTTTCGACTGTCAATTCGGTCGAAGTAGGATTCTACTTGATTGAGGTCCTCAATTTCTTTAACATCTTCTTCTGAAACGGCAGCTGCTGCAGCCGCAGCGGCCTCGGCTGCATCAGCGCCAGTTGAATCACGTTTATTCTCCAGTTTAGCAAAATAACTGTCGATCAAAGCTTGTACATTAGCTGGATCGTTGTCTGACGTTTCATTTTTTGTGAAAGTTGCATTTTCATCATCTTCTAAAAGGAGGTCCTCTTGAATGGAACCCACTGACAGAAGATCCTTGATAGAACTGAAAGAATCTCCAAATCCATGCGCTTGTGATTGTCGATCGCCTAGAGCAGCATCCATCGAGCCATCGTCATCGTTACCTGCTTTTGATGGCTTCAGGAATGTCTCAAGATCTCCTTCATCTATAATCAAGTCTTTTTCTTCTGTCATAATGTCAGTTTCTGGTTCCGTAGCGATGATTACTGCGGGAACACAAGGAAGATACAAGGTGTCAATCGACGGTCGTGTGTTGTGCTTTTATTTAAAAAATAAATGGATGCGTGCAGCTGAAAATACACTCTGTCATGGTTCTTACCTGCCCGCGGTCTCATTATCTGGTCTTTTTTTGCTTGTGCTGGTAGGTCCTGATTCAATTATGTCGTCATCGGACTAACCCGAAAAGTTAGTTTCAAAAGTCACTCTTCGGGAGATCTATTAGTGGTCGTCGACGTTGTCGCGGTCATTTTCTGGTGCCACTTTGCAACCGCACGTCCAGACGACGGCAAGGGTGGTTGTGAACAATGTGTTTCGAATTGTGACTGCGGCTTTGATGGCGGCACTGAGCCATTCGCCATGCGACACGCACTTCAAAACATTGGTTTTGTCACCATGACATGACACATGACACATGACACACTTCGTTCACACCACTTGTTGAACTTGCTGACACTTGCTCAAACGCCGCGTCCGATCAAGGAGGCTGACGACGACAACAACCGCTATTTCGTTGTGGTCACAATATTATGCCACCAGGGCGTTTGCTGTTGTCTAATCTTCTACTACATTCATTTATTTTATTTTCTCCTGTCATGGCAATTCACAAGCGAAAAAAGGTGGTCCTCCAACCTTGGGAGCACCACATTGATCCGAATCCTTTTCCTTCCATCTCCGCTCTGGAGGAAACCACGTCGAACGAAGAGCTTGATGCCGTCTTGGATCAGATCACAGGAAAAGAAGGCGGGATTATCATCCAGCAGTACAAACCACATGCCAGCTGGTTATGGTCTCAGTTCTATGGAACCGTCATCTACAGTTCCTGGGCCAAAGCGTTGCAACACATGGCCATTGCTTCACTTTTTTGTGTTTGGGTTCGCTATCAGACACACGGCGACTTTCATGTCTTAACACTCGAAGGCATGGGTGATCACTGGTTGGCGAATGCCTTTACTATTGTCGAGAAGATGTGGGCGGTACTCATGGGTTTGACAACATTTTTGTTGACCTTTTTCGTTGGTCAGGCTTGGACGTTTTGGAAATCCTTTATTGACGTCAGTCGCAATATCCAAGGTCGATTTAATTCCATTCAAATGTTGCTGGCCTCACATGCGGCTAGAGACGAAAATGGCAATTATACTCCTGAAGCGGAAGAGTTCTTGAGAGATATGGGGAAGCGTCTGAAACTGTTTCACACCCTACACTGGGCATCTCAAGCCCTTCGCTTTCGTCCTCTATTGACCGATCAAGGATGGGATCACATGGTAGCTCGAGGTCTTTTGACCGAAAAAGAGCGGCAACGACTGCATAAACTGAGACTCTCATCAACGCAAAAACACGTTGGGGTCTTTCAGAGCATGATGGTCCTAGCTCTAAAAGGCATGAAGGATAAGAAAATTATTGGCATTCAGACGTCATTCCTGGAAAAGAAGATCACGGAAGAGTTTTGTACGCTTCGCGGAACCTCTGCGACTATTTCAGGTCTTGTCGCTGGAAGGATGCCATTGGCCTATGTTCATTTCGTTCAGATCCTGGTTGACACCTTTGTGATGCTCACGCCTATCGCAAAGTAAGTCGTGGTGCCCTTGCCAAGTGTCGACCCAGAATTTTCGGAGCTCACATTTTTTTTTTGTCGCTCGTACCTGTAGATACAAGGACCTGGGTATCTTTTCGGTGCTCATGATTGGAATCTTGACTTTCTTCTACCATGGGCTTTTGGTACTCGCCAAGGTTTTCATGGATCCACTCGACAACGAGCATTATAAGAAAGGCTGCGTCTATCTTGACTTGGCAGTGCTGCTTCGGGAAAGTAATGGCGGAATTGATAATTGGATTGCCGGTGGCGAGACAATTAATGGGTACGAGTAGGGTATTTTTCTTTTCGGGCCCGTTTCATGAGGAAGAGGATTCTTCATGTAGACTGAAATTTGCCGCTAATCCTTATATCAAATATGAATATGCTTAGACACGATATTTTTCGTAGTTTCTTCCTTCTTTGAAACCTCGTCCCCTGTAACTTGTCATGTCCACCTGCGACAGTATAGTTCTCTACTGTACGAACAGGCATCGCTCATGTATATATCGCAACAAAAGTATATCGTAAATCGTACTGAGTCAGAGGGTAATGAAACTCGTGATTGATTCATGCAGTCACGAAAGCGCAGAAAGATCGCGCAGACATCACCAAACATCAATAATAAAATACAAAATGATGAGAGAGAGGACGACGTTCTCCTCACCCTCCAAATATAGTCTCACCGTACACTGATGAGATCAACGCGTCTACTCTCGTCTCTTTTTCTGGGCTCTATACTATATTTAGTACTCCTACCGTTTTCATCCGCATGGGCAATTCCAAGAAGAAGTCGAGTGGTCCCCCAATCACAGGAACGTTTCATTGATCCCAATCCTTTCCCTCCCAAACTTTCAGAGCTCGAGGAAACCACGTCGATCCATGAGATTGATCATGTCTTGGATCGAATCACGGGGACGGAAGGGGGCGTCATTATTCCGCCGTACAAACCCGACGGTGCCTGGCTGTGGACACAATTTTATGGGACTATCATCTACAGTTCCTGGCCCCTTGCATTGTTGAATATGGCTTGGGCAACAATTTTTTGCATATGGGTTCGGCATCGAACTCATCGCGATTTTGCTATTTTTGCACTTGATACCGTGGGAGACCAGTCTTTGCTGAAGTCTTTTGCCATTTTCGAAAAGATATGGACAGTGTTGATGAGTTTGACAACTTTTTTGTTGACCTTTTTCAATGGCCAGTCTTGGACATATTGGCAGTCTTTTATTAACAATAGCCGCCTCATCCAAGGTCGATTTAACTCCATTTCAATGTTGCTGACCTCGCACGCAGCAAGGGACGAAAAGACCGGTACCTATACTCCTGAAGCGGAAACTTTCTTGAGAGACATGGCACAGCGTCTGAAACTGTTTCACACACTACACTGGGCATCACAATCTCGTCGCTTCTACCCCCTTTTGACTAAAAAAGGATGGGATCGCATGGTGGATCGAGGTCTCTTGACTCAACGAGAGCGGAAGCGACTACAAGCATTGAACCTTTCTCCGGATCAAAAACAGGTCGGTGTGCTGCAGAGTATGGTGGTGAAATGTCAAAAAGGAATGAGAGACAAGAAAGTGACTGGTATACGGACCTATTCCTTGGAAAAGAAAGTGCTAGAAGAGTTTTGTACGCTCCGAGGAATCTCAGCGGGCATTGCAGATCTCGTGGCAGGTAAGCAATGACTTTTGATCTCTGATGACAAACCACTATTTCATCTCTGACTCAAAGCTTTCCCCTTCTTCTGAAAATCAACAGGCAGGATGCCGTTAGCCTATGTTCACTTTGTAGAAGTGCTAGTAGATTCGTTCCTGATTTGCGCTCCCATTGCCAAGTAAGTTGAAATGTTGGATACTATACTAGTCAACAGGTTGTTGGAATCGTAAATCTGACTGTATTCGCATGTTATCGCTACAGATATTCCGAGTTGGGTATCTTTTCAGTGTTATTGACTGGAGTCCTGTCTTTCTTCTACCATGGACTGCTGGTACTCGCCAAGGTATTCCTGGATCCACTGGATAATGAGCGTTATAAAGTCGGGTGTGTCTATCTTGACTTGGCAGTGTTATTGCGAGAAAGTAACGTTGGAATCGACAAGTATATTGATGCAGCGGAAACCATTTAGAACTGGCAGGCAGGGTATTTGGTTGTGCTTGACGAAGTTCCATTCCTGGGCGCCAGCACTAGCAAAAGGATGGATTGATTGATTGATCCATTCATCCTTCATGATGACAACTACGGAAATGCGCCACTGACCCGTATAAATATGCATGGGCATGGACTATCTTCTAGTTTCCTTCTTCAGATCCAGTCATCATAACGTTCTTTGTTTCCCACGTTCAAAGAGTTGATAGCTCGTGATTCATTTTCAGTCACGATGGTTCAAAAGATCTTCCAACATCAACAAAAAATATCCGCACTCGTCCTGTTCTCATTATAATATATCATCGCAACGCCATCGCATTGGTTGTCCGGAATCCAGATCGACAGCACACAATCGAGTCCAAAGTCTCACCACAAAGCAAATGAGATCAGGCCATCTGCTCTCGCCTCTTTTTCTGGGCTCTACAATATGTTCAGTACTACTACCGCTCTCATCCGCCTTGACAGTCCAACCAAGTAAAAGTCGGGTGGTCCTCGAACCATGGGAACGTTTCGTTGATCCGAATCCTTTCCCTCCCCTTGCTGAACTCCAGGAAACCATGCACATTGAAGAGATTGATCAGGTTTTAGATCAAATCACGGGCACGGAAGGTGGCATAATTATCCAGCCCTACAAGCCCGACGGTAGCTGGCTTTGGACGCAATTTTATGGTACAATCATATATAGTGCTTGGCCTCGCGCTGTACTAAACATGGCCTGGGCAACAACTTTCTGTGTCTGGGCTCGGTATGAGACTCATGGTGACTTTGATGTCTTTGCACTTGACGCCGCTGGCGTGGGAGACCAAGTTCGAGACCAGTCAGTGTTGGCTTCCTTTGCCATTTTCGAAAAGATATGGTCGGTTCTCATGGATTTGACGACCTTTCTGTTGACCTTTTTTGTCAGTCAGTCTTGGACATATTGGCAGAACTTTATTGGCGTTAGTCGTGGTATCCAAGGTCGATTTAATTCCATTCAAATGTTGCTGACCTCGCATGCAGCCAGGGATGGCAAGACGGGTACCTACACTCCTGAAGCTGAAGCTTTCTTGAGAGACATGGCACAGCGTTTGAAACTGTTTCACACACTACATTGGGCATCTCAATCTCGTCGATTTTACCCCCTTTTGACTAATAAAGGATGGGATCGCATGGTGGTCCGAGGGCTTTTGAGTGATGAAGAGCGGCAACGACTTCATGAATTGAAACTGTCTCCGACCCAAAAACACGTGGGTGTACTTCAGAGTATGGTAGTGAGAAGTCAAAAGGCAATGGGAGACAAGAAAGTAACTTGTACACAAGCTTACTTCGAAGAGAAAGTATTAGAGGAGTTTTGTACGCTGCGAGGGACCTCGGGGACCATCGCAGATCTTGTGGCAGGTAAGCAACAACGAGGCACTCTGATGAGAATCCACTACTTGTTATGTATATCTGACTCATATGTTCCCCCTTCTTTTGAAATCGACAGGTAGAATGCCGTTGGCCTATGTTCACTTTGTAGAATTACTAGTGGATTCGTTTTTGGTCTTGGCACCCATTGCCAAGTAAGTTCTTGAGGCGTTTGATGATTAGTTATTCTGTTGGAATCATCGTAAATCTTACTACAATCGGGGTTTGCTTACAGGTATTCCGAATTGGGTATCTATTCCGTATTGTTGATTGGTGTCTTGACTTTCTTTTACCATGGATTATTGGTACTCGCCAAGGTATTCTTGGATCCGTTAGACAATGAGCAATATAAAGAAGGGGTCGTCTATCTTGACTTGGCAGTGCTGCTTCGAGAAAGCAATGGCGGAATCGAGAAGTACATTGATGCCGCTGAAACGATTTAAAGCTTAAAAGGAGAATTGCTACAGTACGGATATTGGGATATGGCGGTACTGCAAATTTAGAGGAATAGGAAGTACAGCGGTTCAATGTACAAGATACTCTATAGAGTCATTATGTAATATAATCCAACAAGAGAAGAATGAATTCATCCTCGCTTCGACAGTCGGAGGGAACATAATTTTCAAACTACTTCCAAAACTGTTGCGGTGGGCAAAGGCGGTCTGGTTGGTCGGTCTCGGTGTGGCTTTTTTTGCTTTGCAAGATCCCCAGGCAAAGTATCCGAGAACTGTGCTGTGGCGGAGGAGGCAACCGCCATTTCCATATGATCCATGTCACCATCTTCTTCCGCAATCATGGCACTAGCCATGACCACCACATCCATTCCAAAATGTTGATCCACTAGGCGCTGAAGTCCTTGACTCCCTCCAGGCATCATCGTCGAGCAGATTTCCGTAGCACGTCCGTAGCTGGCATTCCTTAGAAGTGAATGAAATTGCAAAAAGAGTGCAACACCGCAGAATAAAAAGAAGCAGCCCAAAAATACGGCAAAATTTTCCATTTGCAGTGTGTAGTCCGTACCATTCTTGCTTTCAGAAGAGGGCGCATAGGAAACCGTCATCAATGCAAAAGCAAAGGCAATGATCCACCCAAATGCCCTTAGCCACGCCACAATCAATGAGTCGGAACTCATTGGAACGCTGATACCTCTGGGACCCAACCCCCTTGCTTCAATGACCAGATACGTCGATAATGGACAGAGCGGAACAAAATTGATGTGAAAGAATTTAGTGGCAACATAAAACAAACCAGGAACTCGATCGGTCTGGCCAAACATCCTGGTACCAAAGATGAACATTCTCCCTATGGCAATGCAATGACAATGATGTCCTTTTCTATTCTTGTATATGTGGTAGTAATCAGAAGGTGGAAAGGAACGATCTGACGAGTTTACAACACGCTGAAGAAATATATTTTTCAAGAAGGATGATGCCTGCGGCTTCGAAACTGCGCAATAATGCAGAATTTTGAAGCGTGCGTCAAAGATCTGAAAACAATCATATGGTATCTGAGATCTGAGTAATAATGCCATATTTGACTCCATTGACTAAAAGTCGACTAACTTAGTCCACATGAACAATCTCATCCAAAAATATATTTTGTCGCATACGCATTATATTGATTCATCAGCCTGATAACGCAGAACGTATATCGAATTGAATATATCTCAATGGTGCACGAATGCTCTTTGGGTCCTCTGCTACGAGTGCAGCCAAGATAAGAAAGCCTACAAGCAGCAGGAAACGAAATAAAAGTTTCTTGCAGCTTTCAATCTTATGGAGACGATCAAGAAAATGCATTCAATATGGCATGTTTGTAGCACTGTTTCTTTGGATTTCAACAGGAGGATTTCTTGTGTGGAGGAAGCCCAAGAGTGTTGACCCTCTGCCTACGACACCGTTTGATGACAATAGGAAGCAAACTACTCCACTTCGAATGGCTTCAAATCAGAATGAAGCCGTCAGTGGCATTGTCTACGTCCATGTTGGAAAGACAGGAGGTGAATGGATCAAGACTCAACTCAAGATGGTTTGCAAGACAAGGCGCAATCGGAATATTCGCGCTGTCTGTCTTCAGAAAAAGTACCCAACTTTTCTATCCAAACTGGCAGTTGGCTACATTCATACGTCCACCATGTACATTGATGCTGACGTTCAAAAACCACGGCAGACCATTCCACGGACCAAATCCATTCGAGATGCCTCTGGGGCATTCTCCCACTATTTGTTTTCTATTCGCCACCCGCTTCGCCGCTTAGTCTCATGGTATACCTACAACCATCCAAAGTCCTGCGATGAGCGAGAACCACATAGTCCTTCCTGCAAGACTTCCGCCTGGAAAACATCGTTTTACGACTGTTTTCCGAGGTTACAGGACTTGGCCAATCACATCCAACCAGCAGATCGTACGGATATGCAAGGTGACGACTGCACCAAAACTTTTTGGAATGGCTGGTATGCCCGTGGAGACAATGTGGAACCGAAAGATTCCAATCATTTGCACTGGAACTATCAGGTATGTATTGCTGAATTTGAACGAATCATCATATTGGAATTAGTATTATGACTCTCGTTCTGGTAGGTACTACTTGGGTTTTGTCTGACGCTTGTTCCCTTTTCATATCCAGTATTACTGGAACGAGACAATGGTTCAAACACCAAATAAGAAGCTATTAGTCATTCGTCTCGAATCTATCGAAAAGGATCTAGTGTCGTTGGAAGTCTGCTTGGGAAACGACCCAATGGCGGCATCCAAGATATTTTGGCACCCTCCCGATTCCTTTCATTTTGTTCGAGGAGGCGCCCCCTCGCAATTGGACAAGACTGGTACCCACAGCTTGTGTTGCCTCCTTTTTCAAGAGATGACCCTTTACCGAGAACTACTACAACAAGCCGGCAATCCATTGGAAAAGAAAGAACAAAGCTTGCAACAGGTTCATGATTTGTGTCAATTCTCGAATTGGGACGAAATGAAATTGGAGTGCAGCATGAAATAAATGCGATGCAGAAGTTGACAAACGATACAAGAAGACAAGTTCTGTATTGATCATTCAGAATTCGCTATTTTACAACGTGTGTTCTAATGATGAAAAAAGGAGCGTGACCTCGCTCGTCAGCAAAAAGGCATAAGGTGCAATTTTCAATGCCAGTGAGTCCAGTCATCATCAAGAGGATACTTGTAGTTGTCATCATCTGGACAGAAGCGGCAAGAAATACCATTGGGAAGTTTGACCTCCTTCATCTTGCGCCCTTCGTCAGCTTCCACAGGGGCAGACTCGACAACATCCTTCAGATCACGGTGCCAATGAGTCCAATCATCATCAAGTGGGTACTTGTAGTTGTCATCATCAGGACAGAAACGGCAAGAAATGTCGTTGGGGAGCAATTTCTCCTTCAAGATGCGATCGTGGGCATTGACGTCGCCACTCTTGACGGCATCGATCAACATGGAGGCTTCCTTGTTGGCTTCCACAGCAGCATCTTGAAGAGCGCGCTTGTGCTCGTCCTTGGCTTGCTTGGAGGCAGCGTGTTGGAGGAAGTGGGCTTCGTAGTGAGCGGCCTTGGCGGTAGCCTTGAGCTTGTCAGTGCTGGTGAGCTCACGCTCGGCATCAGCGGCTTGAGAGTCGGCCTTGGCATCAAGGTTACGGTGCCAGTGGGTCCAGTCGTCGTCAAGTGGGTACTTGTAATTGTCATCATCAGGACAGAAACGGCAAGAAATGTCGTTGGGGAGCATCTTTTCCTTCAAGATACGGTCATGGGCATCGGCATCCCCACCGTTGACAGCATCGACCAACATGGAGGCTTCCTTGTCGGCTTCCACAGCGGCAGCTTGGAGAGCACGCTTGTGCTCGTCCTTGGATTGCTTGGAAGCAGCATGCTCCAGAAAGTGGGCTTCGTAATGAGCAACCTTGGCAGTAGCCTTGAGCTTATCAGTGCTGGTGAGCTCACGCTCGGTATTGGCACGAGAGTTGGCCTTCTCATCAAGGCCACGGTGCCAATGAGTCCAGTCGTCGTCAAGAGGATACTTGTAGTTGTCATCGTCAGGACAGAAGCGACAGGAGATTCCATTCGGAAGGGTTGGGACAGAAGCGGTGTTGGCTTGACCACGAAGGCCAATAGCGGCAGCAGCTTCAGAGACAGCAGCAGAGCTTGCGAGGAGGGCAACAGCAAGGGTAGAGAACATCATGGTATCAACGGATGAATTGTTTTTGGATGAATGAATTTATTGAATTCGAAATGGAATGCAAAGTAATTGTGAAAAACGTTGAGAAATCCAAATTATGAGGATTGCCAGGAGAAACCTGAATTCTGACCTGTGGTCGTAAAGTTGTTCTGGAAGTCGGTAGAAGCTAGGGCAATCCCAGATGGATGAGGAGGACACAAGTACTGATCTCAGTAGAAAGCAACGAAACCTTCGCATAAAAGTTTTTGGGTCAAAGCGTGATTGTCTCTTGGGTTCCTAAACGACAAAACCTTCTCAAAAGATAAATTGAGATGTTCCTAAGTGTAGCATGATGGTGAGGAAACTGAATCATGCCTCGCACATAATGAAATCTTTCGTTGGAAGCGTCCTAGCCTAGGCGATGGACCAATCGTTGTTCAGAATAGCTAGATTAGCTGGAGAATGTCAATGCGAAGGTTTTGCACTGGAGATATAAGAGTCAATAATACTTCGGAATGTACGATATTAGTCCTTTATTTCCACCAATTGTATCCCCCGAATTGCTACACCTCCTCTCCCGAACAGAAAAAAAATCGTTTCTAAATTTTTCGACACCCATCGCCAACCTCATTTTTCTTGAAAGGGAACCTTTTGCGATGATGCATGACAACAGAGCACTTGCTCCATCAACACGATGACAGTCTCCTTACGTCTGCAAGTATGCAGTATTGTTGTATTTATAGCCTCCTATACTTCATCATTCCATCACAATAGCCTGAAGCCACGCTACCAACTTGGACCCAGCATCTTTCAACCACCTTTCAACAAGAATCACCAGTATGATGGCATCCTTCTTAGGTCATCAACTTTGGAACCTGAAGCAGCTCAGGTATATGGGATAACAGCAAGTGGTGAACCTTGTAAGCGATGTCAGAAGCTTGGAGAGTTTTGCTGGCAGCACAAATGGCAAGAAACTGACAAATCATCAGAGAACTCAATGGGTATTTTCTCCGATTCCAAAACGACACTTGCTCTGTGCTTGAGTAGTTGTGCCAAGAGAAAAGCATGCGTCTACGCAATCATGGGTCTCTTGACTGTACTGACGACGATGAGTCTTGCCTTTCGGAACTATGTACCAAGGTCAAGTGTCACTCAATCTATCAAAACGGTCTCCACACAAGTTTTGAAGCAACACAATGTCACTGCTTCCATTCTGAGGCTACTGCCGCTGGGTGCTTTTGCATTCGGGCTCGCCTTTCTTAAGTTTCTGATGGGACGCAGAGTTGATACGGTGGATCTGCTCCGAACTGTCGACAGTACTGTGCAAAAAGTTCGATACGTCGGGGATCTACCATCATTTCAGACACCGTTGTCGCGATTTGAACCTGAACCTGTAGCTTCCTCCAGCACTGGATCGAGACAAGCAATGAAAGTGCCAACAAGGCAAAAGATTTTTTATGGCCGTCCCGCGTCTCAGCTCATGGCAAGAAACAATGACGATAGTGACTCGGAAAGTATGGACAAGAACAATGACACTGGAGACTTCACAACAATGGACGCCATCAAGGGTGCCATCCCACTACTAGTTCTTGTAGTACTGGCTTCTAAGTTTGAGACCTTCCTTCATCTCTCTCAGGTCTTGAAGGCCAACGTTAACCCAACTTACATAAGAGACACGATGGTTCCAATTTTGGACAGACTGAACGGCGCTGGCACAAAAGGACAAGTGATATATACATTATCTCTGGTGTTGTGGACCATGACCGTGGGAGTCACAACGCCAATAGAAACAGCTGCTGGTATAGCGTTTGGTACAAAAAAAGGAATCGTATGCAATGCACTCGGAAAGACCGGTGGCGCAGTCCTAAGTTTTGTTCTCGGACGCTATTTTCTGTACAAATATGTCCGAAGCAAACTTAAAGATAACGAGCTTCTCGGCCTCGTTGAAGAATCAATTGAAGAGAACCCACTGGGAGTGTCTTTGATGATGAGATTTGCTCCATTGCCGGAATTTGCAAAGAATTTTGGCCTGTCCATTCTGAAAGTACCAGCACGGTGGTTTGCAGTCGCCGTCCTACTGCATGGAGTTCCATTCACTTGTTTATGGACATCCGTTGGTGCCGAGACCGCATCGGTAATGAGAGGCGGAGCTCCAAGCGCTACACTCAAAATACTCATGACAGGTGTTGCATGGTTTGGTAAGTCAGATGTGACGGGTAGATGTGGACTGGTGAAGAACTGCTGACGAATTCTTTTTCTATTGTGTAGGGCTTATTTCTCCAACAGTGATTGGACTTTGGATCAACAGTCTAAGGAAGAAACGTATTGAAAGAGAAGAGGGAAATGCGGCTTAAATCAATCCATTATTCTACAGCAACCAAATGAGTCTCTGTGACCATGCCAAGATTAACTGACTGACTCAGGCAGCTTCGGCATCATCAACTTTCAAAGAGGGCGGGTCCTTGGCATCTTCAGTAGCTTCGTAGGCTTCAAGAGGAGGCAAGTGGTTCATGATACAGCGGTTCTTGACATATGCCCAGTAGGAGGTTCCACATAGGATGATTGCACCCAAGATGGTGCAAATAACAATCAAAGTAACGTCAAGTTTGTCGAGACCATGACTGTGTTGTTCGATGGTTGCCGACGCATCTCCCGTGGATGCCTGTTGGGGCTGCCCGCCGGATCCATAGCAAGGCTCAGCTCCCTCGACGTATTTGTCTTGCTTGGTGATGTACAGTCCTCCAACGTCTTCGCACTTGATACCTAGGCACTCATAGGTAGACTCCAGAGCATTCTTCACAGTTTCAAAGGATGCGTCATGACCAGTGCGAAGATTGTCGTAAACAGCATAGGCAGCTTGTGGGTCACAGGAATCGATCTGAGGCAAAATGGCAGCAGCAACAGTGGCAGCTCCAGCACTGATCTTTTGGGCAGCGTGCTTCTCCTTGAGTAGAGCTTCGGGCTTGACGTCATTGATGTGGGCATGCCACAAGGCATCTTGAATCAGAGGGATGAGCATGAGGCGAGAGATGCGGTCTTTGATTTCGTTGGCATCAGAACACTTGCTAAGGGTCAACAATTCCTGACCGGCATCGAAAAGGTCGAACATTTCCTTATTGACATGGGACACGCCATGTTGGCCATCGCAAGTATTGAAGGAAACGCATCGTTTCTCAGCTAGCCGATGGAGAAATCGGCTATCGTCAGAACCAATGGTGTCGGGACCAGCCAAAGAACCGGCGTACCATCCAACAGCAAGATCCCAAGAGTGGACACTTTCGTCATTGCAATGATCCTTGACTTGGCAGGTGGATTGACAGGAAACAATGGCATGGTCGAGTTGGAACTGAATCGACATCCAAAGATTCAAAAGAATGGCCGCTTTGGACACGATATCTGAAGAAGAATGTAAATGACAAAGCGAAAGTTTCAGATTTGCAATTGAAGCGCACGACCATGAACAGAAATCCAACTTACCAGCGCGAGCTTCGAATCCATAATGCTCAAAGTTCCCATTGCTATCAGCCAAATCAGTTCTTCCTCCATTGAATGCAGCTTGAATCCAATGATCGGCGTAGGTGAAGTTTCCGTAGTAGTCGACGTATCGAGCGTACAAACGGAAGGGACAGTCTCCGTCGTTGCAAACATACATTTGCTGCTTTGCATGAGTGCTCAGCTTCTGCAGAGACATACGATTCTGATTGTCCTCCTCTGGATTGTAATTGTATGGAAAAGCAATACCATCACGATCCTTTAGAAATACACTTCCGGATGATTTGAAACATCCTTGAGTTTGAGGATTCCAAGATGCTCCAACCGAACAGTCTCGAGTCGAGGCATTGTAAATGACGGCAAGCTGCAACGACCCAATCTTGTGATCACCAATCACAGTTCCGGTGACAGTGTCTTGATTTGGAGTTTCGCCGGCAACAAGATCCCCATTTTTCAGTTCAATCTCGAGTGGAGCCAAGAGAGTTAGAATGGCAAATGGCTTGGTGTGGGCACCTTCTTCATAGATGCGCTTGGCCTTGACAAAAGATTCCTCGGTTCCATCTTTGAGATGGCGACCCATTTCGAAGTGATCAAGGTCAAGCTATAGAACAAAGAAAGTGAAAGAAAGGAGGTGAGATCGATTGCTGTAAAATCGTCGTTGAATGGAAAGGCTCGCCAATGCTTACATTTGAAAGAACCAGAGGGGACAAAGGCTGATATCCCAAGATCTTTGGCCTCTCCTTGTCCTCGGTAGAGAACCCAAGGGATGCTGGGAAAGCGGCAGTCAAAAGGAGAAGCAAAGAAAGGAAAGGCGGAGACTTCATCGTTGTCGAAATTTTCCAATTCCAGAAATTATGAGATGATTGTCTGTCTTGGCAGTCTTGGTGCAAAACCTTCGCACAACTTTTTTGATTTCGACCAAAAAGAGCCCGCAAAGCATTCGCTCGATGATGGATCGAAAAGCGACTGACTCGTTCGACCCGCGATTCAATCATTTTATAAAAACTGACGACTATATATCCGAAGTATCCATGAATTCATTCCGCTACTATAGCAGCCAGCTGTCAGAATCAAAGAATTTCCTCAGGAATTTGGTGCATTGTTGAAACGCTTGTTGCTGTGGTTGGTCGCCCCGGCGCACTTCTTCCATTTTTTGCCAATCCATTTGCCTTGTCCACAATGGAATCCGTTAGACCAAAGAATTCATGAATCATGATAACTACTTTCAAGTCTTTGTTGCTCTTGTGTTCGCTCCGTTGTAGCAACAACTCAACCCAATTGGAGGGAGTGGCAACGTGTGCAAGGATCTCGACTCCAGATTCCTTCCGCGACGGAATTCTGACATTTGTTAGATCTTCCAATGATGCTGAGGACTGCAGCGCAGATGGTGGACTCAGCAAATGCTCCAAAACATGAGCAATCGAAGAACTTGTCTGAAAAGCCGCGCTGGATATCTGTTTTGCCGAGAAGGACAAGCCATTCACCCTACCGGTAGTACCAGATCCATCTAGACCGAACACGATTACGTCTTTCAGACAGAATAATCGGAAGTCTGTCTTATATGATTGACAAAGAAGAGCAGTTATAACGAAGCACAGGAGGTGGATTTTCTCCGATGGTCGAATCTCGGATCGTCATCGTCTATTGATTTTTTATGGAGGAACGACTATAACAGACGACGAACAATGAATGAATCAATCGAATGAATCCTAACCCTATAAAATTATAAACTAGAGTAAATGTACCGTATTGTTATTCTAGTCTAGTATATAGTAATGCCATTAATCTACCTCAAGTTGTCTAGAAATGCACACCCAGGAAAGTTTACAGATCTTGCATACTTTGTAGCATAGTTCTTTTCCATCCTCTTGACGTTCTTCTGCCAAGCTCGTCGAGGATCCTCCTTGCTGGATGATGGTGTTGCATCCGTTATTGGAATGTACATTGGGAGGGTTTGGTTGCTCTTTGGTAGCAACAAACCAACGATTCGACTGTTTCCTAAGTTTCCATATCCAGTTGATAGAGCCAATGTGCCATTCGGAAAGAGGGCAAACTTGCCAAATGGAATATGAACGTAGCTTTGGGTTCTCGATGGTCGGTGGTACGCTCTCACCATCGCACCTTCCACACAAAGTGGCAAACAAAAGAAATAGACTGGTAGGTCAGCATCTGGTTGATGATGTAGCTCACCATGTATATCTACAACGGTAGTTCGTTCGTATCCTGGTATGAACTCGTATTCACCAATAGTCCCATTCAGCAACCCCTGCTGCTTCAGACAATCAATTGCGATTGCTCCAACTGTAAAGAGTCCTTGAAGTGCAGCTGATGAGAGCATTGGGCTCCTCAACCACCGGTCATCCACAACATTATCCGATTCTGCATCATCCACACCCCAGTGGAACATGAAAAGTTCACACGTATTTGAGGTTTGCTTCGGGTTCGCGAGTGACCGACGACTGCAATGTTTGCAACTGTTCTCGAATTCGCAATTATTGAACTGAGTCAGAAGCAAAACCATGATGGACAATGGAATATTTGCCATGACGACATCTTTTTCGACTTGCTCACCACTCGATGATGAATCATTCTTGTCTCCCTCATACACAACTTTGCAGACCAGTTTGCCGCTGCTCTTGGAGTGAACGTTCATGTTCTTCAAAACTGGACGTGACGACAGCTTTTCAAAGTGCTTCTTCCAGTAATCTCCGGTGGCATTGTTTTTCCATTTCATATTATTATCGTTCTATTCCTCGCTTGTGATTTCTTCCGTTAGGTTCTATTTGCACTCTTTTCTATTGACATCATACGAGTATATAATCAATATGTCTTCTCGTTCACATAGGATCATTTTGAATGTTGTGTTCGGGTTCCTCAAAAGGCTTACGTTCCTTTTCGGCCGACTCAATTGACCAAATGTTCGACTCAGTCGACTTTATATTTCTCCTTCACGGCACCACGTTATGTCTGCTTTTCGCACCGTTTGCAGACCCTGCCTTTCCTAGAAAATTTGGGGGGTTCAGGTGGCTATCTTGGGGGTACCTGGTACCCTGTACATTTTTATATTTGTCTCATGTCAAAACACTGACGCTGCCGTTTGATACAGTAGTCCAACAGGTCTTTTCCGAGCTACCCCGACAGTACTGGTAGTTTGCTCCGGTACTGTAGCTCCCGTATTTCTGAAGCACTTTCTCCCACTTACAATCAACTTTACTCTTGTTACAATAATGGAGCATACCTGTGACTGAGGAACGAAATACAGACGGCGTCATATCACGATCATTACAGAGTGCTTCCGGTCGGTACCGGTACCGCTCCAAATCTGGCAGAAATTGAATCATGTGAGTCGTATATGGGACTCGATTTGCAAGCCACTCTGAACTCTTGATCATACATACAAGTCATTCTTCCGCCCTTTTCACACTGTACCGCACCTACAGTACGTACTTCGATGGCACATTTTCTAAAAAACGCGCGCGAAGGCTGATAGTCCCACGATGGTAGTACCTGGTACGTATCTAGTACGGTACTCCAGCCGTGCGTTGCCGCTTATTCCATGCATTGATTACGACCAGAGGTACCGGTACGAAAGCGGTTGACTCAAAAGTTCTGGTTTCGCATCAAGTATGTACCTACGTGTACACGTATTTGCAATTGACAAATCGAAACCAAAAATGAGAACAAATGTTTTCAATCATATAACGACAACAAAAGACAGGTTTCGTTGATTATGGTGATCTTAACAAATTGCACAGAAACACCTGAAATGATTGGACAGTTCGCAAATAGGAGCCATTCAAACAGAAAAACGTTTAGAACCACAAGAGCTCCGCGGCACTCAAAAGATTGTCTGATTAGGATCCGATTAGAACTTCTGGTCATTCTACTTGAAGTGGGTTTCCTCCTGTGCGTCAACCGAACGAGTAATCTATATAATGTGTTTGGCTCATCTTCTGGGCTCTTAATTGGAAACATGAAGAGCGTTGTGGTATCCGAAAAACTGCATACCGCTACAGAAGGACGTTTGGGTGGCTCTTGACAATAGGCAATTCCGTCCGGGAACATTCATTCGTTTTGGTATTTTGCAAGAACTCTTAACTTTTCTTGTCATAATTTCTGAGAGTACATACGTACCATGATGATGATGACGACTCCCATCTCTGAGTTACCAGTAGCACCAAGCAAAGAGACTCTGGATGCACTGGTTCATGCTACGGCACGCCAGTTAAGTGTTGAAGAATCCATATCCGCGCAAGAGGACATCTTTGGGGTCGCTCGAAAACAGCCAGATCAGGAGAGAAATGACGAACTTCCAGCCACGCTTCAAATGCTGGAAGCCCGTTTGAAATCTACAAAGAAAGGGACTGCATATGAAGTGGCAGAGAGAATAGATTCCTCGTACTGCACAAACCATGGTTTTCGTCTCATGTTCCTCCGGGCCAACAAGTACAACGCAAAGAAAGCGGCCCACCAAATGATTTCATTCTTTGATCAGAAACTGAACCTCTTTGGCCGAGATAAAATTACAAAAGACATTACCTTTGACGATTTGGATGAAGATGATAAAAAATGTCTTGAACAAGGCAGTACTCAAGCGGTGAGTACTTCGAAAAGACACATTCTCACGTGCTTTCCGGGACTTCGAAAGTTCAACACCGGTACCATCGCAAACGAGTTGCGAGCACGGTATTACATCATAATGAGTCTCTTGCAGTTCAAGAACGCTCAAATTGATGGGATCAACGTTGTCAACTATGCAGTGGGCGCTCTGAAGGATCAGACCTCTGGAACCGGCTTTGTGGCACTGACTCGTCTTCTTCTAAGCCTTCCAGTCCACATTGCTGCTGCTCACCATTGTTGCGATGACGTAGCCCAGTACCTTTTGCTGAGCGGTGCTCTTCGCCTCGGCTCTGCTTCTAACTTGGCTCGACTCATGGTGCATTACGGCAGTCACACAGAGGTTGCCTACAAGCTAGGAGCCTATGGCATCCAACAGTCCTCCTTGCCTCTGAATCCCGTCACCCACGAAGTCGTGTTGGATAACCATCATGCTTGGATACGCACACGCCAAGTCATGGATGCTGTCCAGAGTGTACCGCGAGATTTCTCCATGGCCCGCCCATCCCTGGTTGGGAGTCAAGGGGGGTTTGAAATGCCGTCCCATTTGATGCCGTCTCAGAAGAAATCAGGTGGTGTCGACACTGCCACCCCCAACAAGGACATTCACCCACGCCGAGATGATGTCTTGTTTGGACAAGAAAACAAGGGCCATCCCGGAAATATGAAGATGCATCAGCTGATGGATCACTTGCAAAAACAATATGAGGCTGCGGACAAGCAAGGCAAGATGAAGATATCTTTGGTGGTTGTATTCAGTATGAAGGGAACAGGTTCCCGATTTTTGGATTACGACGATGCAACTTTCCAATGGCAGGTTGTCTCGGACACTGTGGCTCGAAACAGAGTAGCCAAGGCCATTCGTAATCGACGAAGGTACAAAGCCAAGCAAGAATCCAAGTAATTCATCTTGCATGTACATAGAATATGATGAACACTACGGTTGTTGGGCCATCTACTCGCTACAGCAGCCAACCAACCAGCAAGCAAACAAATCCCTTTTCAGAACGATTTTTGAATGAGAATCCAAAACATGTACACAATAATCAGGATTATATAATAAATAGCAATTTTACTTTTTATATTGTATTTTATTATTTTAAAATATTACATCAGATTTCTACAACATGGATTGTGGTGCCCGCTTTCCCTTGAATTCTACATGGCACTCCGTCTTCATCAGATCGTACCATTCCCACAAGCGTTGCAATGCGCTTTCGTCTCTTAGCTCGGGACAGCAAGGTAAGACTTCCGAATCATTGGTACCACCTGCGAGTAGTCGGGCCACTTGTGCGTAGACGGAAATGTCAGCGGCCGTCGGTCGGTCCGTGTCCGGTAGCAAGTACTTTTGATGTGGAGTTTCCAACTGTTGCTGAAAGTACACCAATTCGGCAATCATTCTCTTGCGCATGGCTGGCTCATCGTCCAAAGTGGATACATCAATGTCTGGTATTGCCTTGACAATGGCTTCTCGTTTCTCTGCATTCATTGACCTTGTGAGCATCGTAACGATACCATTCCCAATAAAAGACGGAACGAACCAGGGCATAACTGCATTTCGAATGGATGGTTGGATGCTCTTGCTGTATCCCGTGGGATCCACATTGTTGTAGTACCAGACCATGGCAGCCAAGGTATGATCACTGGCTCGTTCGGATAGTTCCTTGGCCTTCTCGTTGGGGTAGAGTCCAGCATTTTCGACATTGTCATCAATCCAATGAAGAATATCTTCTGAATCGGTAACTACCGTAGGATTTTCTCCATCTCCGACTTTCATTTGGGGTACCAGGAATCCACCACCGGGAAGGACCTTCTCTCGAGCTTCTCGTCCAAGTGGAACAAAGGTGACGTAATGAGGAACATCACGAGATTGAAGTGCAGCCAATGCCTTGAAGACGAATTGACTGCCATTAATGGCGTATATGACGATTGGCTTTGGGATGGAAGGTGGCATTATATTCTATGTTTGTCTCAGTTTTATTGGTATTGTGTTGTTGTTGTGAGAACGACGATAATAGTTGTATTCTTTTTGTTGATGTGGATACGCTCGCCACGACTCGCACGATCAGAATGCAATCACGAGTCATGCGGGACTCTCTGCCAACATTTAAAACATGCTGAATCAATCCTTGCTTAAATCAATAAGAATGAATGAAACAATCAATCAATCAATCTCAAAATCATCCATTGTAGACTTTAAGATACAGTCCTATTTCTCTCAGTGTAATGGTTTTAGTTCTAAAACAAGGTATTGTTTTGTTGTAAGGATGAATTGAGTCACAAAAACACCTTGTCGGTTCTCGGGATGCGAATAATATGATTGATTCTACCTCCGGGTTTATTGAGAGGTCATAATTGACAGATCCGATTAGAAATTTTGGCGGGTCTTTTGATGAAAAGCTCGTAAAAGAAAATAGAATGAACCCTACATATACTACGTTTCCAAGAAGATAGAATAGCAATAGTAATACAAAATTTTTGTCATCATGGCAGATGCCTATCATCCGTATATTCCAGACGAATTACCCTTGAATATACCCAACAACAAGAGAAGAGAAAAATCAATCGAAGCATCCAGTTATGAAGCCACAAGACCTAGTACCATCGCAGCCTTGAACGAAAGTCTTCTATCTTCGATGGTGGATGACAGCGCCACTTCTTCTGCTTACTTTGACGACGTTGTGGGATATAGCCTGGGAAGTTTGGGGGACATTGACGGCGGCGCAAATAATAATAAAACTACTGCTACTATTAGGCCAACTGTATATGATGATGAATACGGACTCGCCCAAACAAGCAATCACAGAGCCCACAGAGGCGAATCGTCCCCTTGGAATGATGGTACACTGGATGACAATGATGATAATGATGACGATTATGCTCAATCTGAAGAACTGGTTCAAGAAAGTGCCTTTTCCTCTAATCGAGGAGAACTTTCCGGTCCAGCAATCGTCTCTCCGCTCGGAAAGGATGATCACCAGCGAGATAGTTTTGCAGATACGGATGAAGGGCTTCCATTTGAAGATGGCAATCATGATGGGAGCGATTCCGACAACGATGTCAAAGACGGGCCAGATGCCTTGGAATCTCATGTCCTGGGACTGAATGATCTCATGACGCTACAATCGCAGCGAAAATACAATTGGAAAACAAGCAGTGGTGAGATTGAAGAATATGCTTCCGAAATGGAACTCTTTGATGATGACGACGACGTTGACGACGGGGATGATGGTATTGCGGAGGATGATGTGGTGGATACCAAATCGAAACCAAAACGAATATCCCTGTCGTTGGGAACCTTTGATGCTGAAGTCGACAGCGTGGATGCGTCCGACAACGAAGATGATGATGAAACGAAAACACCTCACAAACCAAAAAGCAGCAGCCGTAGTCTCCAATCCAATAATCCAGAAGAGCCAGTGCCAACTGACATTGAATCTATCAAAGAAATGAATAAGGAAGACTATTGGAATTTGTTCAACAAAATTCTTCACATGCCCACTGATTTTGAGTTTGTCCCCGAGGACCCTTTGGAATTCATCAAACGACGCGATGCTGCTCGATATGCCGCTCGACAGGAAGCTCGACAACCACCAAAACCAAAACGACAACGAGCTAGGAGACGAAAATCGTCGGGTGGTGGTAGTAGCACAGCTCCAGTCCGTTGTCGTTCGACCGAAGTCTTTGAACCACCCAACATGAAAGAACGTCCACGACCACCCCGGCGGAGTTCGTCCTTTAGTGGAACGACCGCCACCACCACTGCTGCTGCTGCTGCTGCTGCCACTGTTCGAGAGCGTGAATCATCGATTGGTCATCCCACTCATGGTGGTAACCACATGTTGTCCAAACTACCCTTTATGCACAATGTCAAGTTTCATCGCCCCAAAAAGCCAGAATTTGTGGCCGTAATGCAACACAGCACCCACCTGTTTGGAAAGAAGGCGAGAGAAGCGACCCTTTCCTTTTCATCCAAGTTTGGTCACCATCCTCATCCTCATCATCATGATCATCCCAAAAAGATTGAGAATCGGCCATATAATGGATAATAAAAGTTTGAATGATGTTATGTTGGGGAAACTGGATGGGACTGACTGACTGTTCGATGTAAAAAAATATCCATGCATGTGTTGTGGTATTGAATGATGTTGAGAAAACTGCATGGGGATATATGGGGGCATGTACTATATACATGGGGGCAGCACACGCAAAACTTAGCTGCGGACAACAACTAGCCACTACAATGGCAGAAGGGAAAGGGAGTCAGTCAACAAATGTCCATCTCGTGTGATAAGCCAGGAATCCTTTTTAATAAATTAATAGAAATAAACTATACCTGCTACCTGGTCCTAATCCTAGGTGTAGACACCAGTGCCATTTTATATATTACTTTGGTTCTCCTACCGCGTATGGTATATCTGGTCGGTACCTGGTACCAGGATACCGGTACCTTTTCAAGCAAGCATCTTTCTTTACCAGATACTGCGCTACCAGGTACGGTACCAGGTACGGTAACAGGTACCGTACACTAACGCGGGTACTGTACTCGTTTTTGCAAACTTCTGATTTGAGATTCCGTCAGTGCACAATGTGCGATCATCACACAAACGTCTTGCTTCCCGACCGCGGCCAACAACATCCGGAACGGCGGAAGAACCCTTGGTAGGAAGACCACGCAATTTCAGCCGGTGAAGGAACGGACTAGACCTTCGTTGAAATTAAAATATATATGACATGGTGGCGCTTGAGGGATCACTGCCGTTACTCACGGCCAATATTGTCGGTCTTGTTCCCTAATCGGAAAAACACCATATGGTTCACGGATAGACGTCAATGTCACAGCTGGATCGCTGGTACATTCACAACGTATACCCGTACCAGGTACCCGGCGGGGGCAGTTGGTGCCCAACTTTGACGTTCAGCATCTAGTCGGAGATCGTTAAGTATGTCACCAGCAATGCCACAAAACAGCGCGTGCAACCACACCAGACAATACAACTTCCGTATTTTCAACGGCATGGCCGGAACTCGCATAAAAACAAAAATCCGGAAATCGTGAATCTTCCATCTTTGCAAAGGAGACTCTACTGATATCCAAAATACGTAAACTGTATCCTTGACAGCCTATTAGTTTCAATCCACTAGCTCTTATATATACATATACAACTACTAACGACAAACAATGGGCCTCAATACCAAACGAATCACCGCTTCCACTTCCTCCACACGACACTTGGGATTCTTCAATGAGCGAATGATCACCGGAGTCGTGAAAAAAGAGTTTGAAGGAGAGACTCTTGGCATTGCCTTTCGTGATGAGAAGGGCGGTGTTGTCTTGGGGAGACTCAATTCTCGCTTTGAGAAAGAGACCGACCTAGTCTCTGGACTCAAGGTTCTTCACATCAATGGAACTCCTGTGGAATCCGCAACCCACGGTGCCACATTGGTGCGATCCGCGCCCGCTGGTTGCAGCATCAACGTGGCCGTCGATGCCATGTCCATCAAGGTTACCAAGAAGTGGCGATCGGACAAGACCGGGCTCTTGTTGGAAGGCTCTGCGGACGGAGTCCGAATCAGTCAGGTCAATGACAAGGGGTACTTTCCAACACTCCAACCGGGACAAAAACTGGTGGCCATCAACGGGCTTCCGGTCCAAAATCTCAAGCATGCGGTCAACATGCTCACCAACAACAAGACCCTCCACATTGTCGTTGTCACGGATGATGACGATACCATGTACTCTTCATCTTCCAGATCTCTTGGTTCTTACTCTCCTTCCAGTTCGGTCATGGATGAAGTGGAACTATTGGAACCCATTCATTTCCAAATGCAAGACTTGGAAGAAGAAGAAGTTGTGGCTGCGGTTGTTGTTGCTGCGCAGTAAAAGAAACCTCGCTCGTTGGAGAGAGCTCTTTACCTTTTGCGCGGGCGCACAACCCTGCCTATTTTACTTTCTCTCTCTCTCTCTTCTCTTTCTTTTGCAAACACACTTACGTCCCCAACTCACTTGAAAACAGTGCATTGTTGGTCGAGACGCTTCCTACACAAGAGAGAAATGGCTCTCTTGTGGGAAGTTACCAAATATATGTTGCCATTTTACTTTTAGCTTTTTTACGTGATAGATTTTGTCGTGGGGTTTCACAATTAATTTTAATATTCATGCTAGTTACAATTGACTTTGTTGATGATTATTCTAGTCCTACCTACAGTAGAAAGCTCTGATGAATGGATTCTTCGAGTCATTCAGACTGAAGGCCCACCTGGTGCTTCAAAGCAAGTCTCTTGTTCTGGTTCATTGATCCGGTATATATATTATACCAATACATTCATTTGGAAATCTAGGATCATGTAAAGTATTCAAAATTAATCGTTAGGGCAGATAAAGAAGCCCATGTATCAATCTGCCACCAAAAGCATCTTTGCATATATTATATTATATTATAAAAGTGTACAAAATAATAGTAATAATAAAAAGCAGGGCACCAAGTGATGGGAGAGTTGTTGGTGGATTGGTTCAGTTTTATAATTCTTAAAACAATAACAACAACAACCGAGAGAGATAATATCATGGAATGTAGCTCAAGTGTACATGTACTGATTCTGTACAAGCATTCTTCTCTTTTCCGAATGGTCTGGATCACCTTCGTACCCCCCCCCCCTCTTCCATGAGATGTATTGTTGACAACAGTCGTGGTGTTCTTAGTAGGTGGTGGTGTCAAAAGAAGTCTTGACACTTTCGTGGGTGTCACATATAAAACAGTGTCAACTTTTTACATTGGTTTGATCACGGGAAAAGAAACACGAGTCAATAGGAAAATAGTACATAGTAGTAGTAGGTACATGACTGCAGTGGATCGATTGGATGCAGGACCGCAACATGGTGTCGTGCAACGATACAATTCAATCCCACTACCGGGGCATACTATACACTGTACTACTCAATGAATAGAAGTGAAGTCTCCATTATCCGGAGACTTACCGGTAGTAGGTATCCAGCAAGAAGCTACAGAGCAGAAGAATGGTGTCATGGTGCACAATTCTGCCAGTTGTCATCGTGGTGACACCAGCAGCTGTTCATCATTAGGAAGATAACATCGCGAATTTTTGAAAATAGATGATGGGTCTGGGTCGTGTGGGTTTTGAGAGTCCTCCTATTTTACACATAAGTTTCATTGTGACTGGCTGGCGCCATCCGAAGTGACATTAAGTATAGCTAGAAATGCCGACCACTATCCGACGCAAGTACGTTGCGGACATTGGACGTTTGAGTTACTAGGATAACATTAATCGTGAGGTTGGGAAGATGCATGTGTTTGAAAAATATTGTTCCTAAGTAAACTTTCATTAGTACCAGCATAAAGCGACAGTTTACTGCTCAAACGCGACAGTTGCATTGGACCTCATTCATGTGAATCGGAAAGCACACGTTTTTCACTAGGAATGGCGAAAACTTGAGTAACCTCAACTGCTCACCAAACATCTATCATATTGTTGCCGTCGTGTGCACCTCATTACACATATCGGAAACGTCTTCATTCTCATGAAAACTCCACCTTCTACGGCACCCACAAATTCGCAACATCTTCAGCGATAACACAAATAATTCCGAGATTGGAATCCGAGACTTCTCTATTGTCTCATATATTCATATATAGGACTATTCTCCAAGCAATGACGAGAGTAGTAGTTTCCAAAAAGATGATGATACCAACATGGATCGTCATCTTTTCGTTCCTACTATCCCTACTCTGTTCTCCTGCCTCTGCTTCCTTTGCAGTGGTCGAGACTTTGGAAGCCGAGGAAGCGGTGTTGAACAATGTCGAGCTAACGACTCAACACAATGGGTACAATGGAAATGCCTACGCGGATTTCCGAGGCCTCGGTGCTCACATGGCATGGCAACTACAGGTTCCAACTTCGGGACAGTACAAGATTTCGATTCGCTATGCCAGCGCCGACTCTCGTCCCATTGATCTGCTCGTCGATGACGTCAAGACGGGCACCTTTGCGATTACCGAAACCAGTCGTTGGAACATTTGGTACACGGAAACTGTCACGGTCTTTCTCAATCAAGGTACTCGACAACTCAAGTTGCTTGCATCCGAAAGCAAGGGCCCGAATGTCGATCGAATGATGTTGGAATTGTCCAATGATACTACTGGTGTACCTCCTCCAAGCAACTCGAACAGTAATAATCAGATTTACGAAGCCGAAGATGCCCGATTCAACAAGGTCAAAATCCTGAGCCGCCACGATGGATTTCAAGGCGATGGATACGCAGACTTTTCCGGACAAGGGGCCTATGTCGAATGGACTGTGGACGTTCCAGCCTCTGGTACCTACATGATTACTACTCGCTATGCCAGCGGAAACTCTCGTCCATTGGATGTCATTGTCGATGGTCAAAAGGTCGATGGTCTTGCTATTGCTGGCACGGGTGGTTGGAGCAATTGGTTTACCGAAGATGCCGAAGTATTCATGACGCAAGGAACCCATACCATTCGACTTTTGGCTTCGTCAAGCACTGGTCCAAACATTGATTACATTGAAGTGATTGCATCCGAGATTATGGAAATCCCTCTGACTGATCCACCGGTGGCGAGTCCCACCGTGGTGGTGAACGCACCCACTGCCACACTGAGTACTGTGTTTTATCAGCCAGAAGATGCAGAATCCAATGCCGTTGTCATTCAAGACAACAATGATGGGTACGAAGATAACAATGGATTTGCCGACTACCTTGGGAATGGTTCCTACTTGAAATGGACGGTTCAAGCACCAGTGTCTGCCACCTATGAAGTCGAGTGCCGATACTCTGCCCGAGTTGCAAGGCCTGCATTTTTGGTGGTCGATGGCCAAGAAATTGATGAATTTGCCTTTTCCAAGACCAACTCGTGGGACAATTGGGCCATCGAGTCGAAAGAATTGTACTTGAGTGCTGGAAGCCATACGATTATGATACTTGCTGACCAATCGACTGGTCCCAATCTTGATTGGATGTCGCTACGTCCCAAGACTACGCTTCCACCCACCACACCGCAACCGACTCCTGGACCCACACCAGGTCCGACTCGCCAACCTACTCCGCCACCAACAAGGCCTCCCACCAGAAGTCCTACCAGGATGCCGACCAAGAATCCAACACCAAGACCCACTGCTTTTGGATTTAGCAAATACCAGCCAGAAGATGCCAAAGCTAGCGACGTTGAAATTGTATTCGATCAAGACAACTACGAAGACAACAATGGATATGCTGACTTTTTGGGAACGGGTTCCTATTTGCTGTGGTCCATCACGGCTCCGATTTCTACCTACTATGAGATTACCATTCGATATTCTTCCAAGAATTCTCGCTCATTGGATCTAATGGTTGATGGGGACTTTGCCGATGAGTTTACCATTCCTGCTACCAGTTCCTGGGACGATTGGGATGTCGAATCCAAACAAGTCTATCTATCTGCCGGAGATCACGGAATTATGCTCATGGCAGTAGCAAGCACTGGTCCAAACGTTGATTGGATGTCAATACGAGCAATGACCTCCATGCCTGTAGGAGTGCCACCACCTCCACCACCACCCACACCACCACCGACCAGGCCACCAACTCCAGGTCCATCACCGGGACCAACCAGGCCACCCACCCGTCCACCAACAAGACCTCCCACCAGACCCCCAACCAAGGCACCAGTGAATGTCAGACAGCCTACGGTTTTGCCTCCATCTGACTTTGGTGCTGTCACGGTCTTGAGCACGGGACAACGACTTGAGCGAGGAGAGTTTGTGTCGTCTCCATCCGGAGCTTACAAGGTTGGAATTACCAATGGTGGCAATTTTGTAATGCAAGATCGCCAATCTCGAACCCTCTTTGAATCAGGCACTAGTGATGGCTACCGTTTGTTCATGCAAAGTGATGGCAACATGATCTTGCGGTCGCAAGGTGGTGGTGCTCGATGGGTCAGCAGAACGTACGATAATCGTGGGGCATCGTTTACTCTTGACGATGGTGGTCAAATGTCGATTGTTTCTGCCATTCATGGTGCAGTTGTATGGCTTGCTGGAGAACCTCGAGGAATCTACAATGGCCCTCCCAACAGCGGTGTCGCCTATCCAGCTCGCGGAATCTTTTACTATCCGGTACGTTTTCATCTTTTTGAATAAGGCATCGTCTTTGGAACTTGACAAACTTGTTCTCACATGATGCCATTCTTTTCTTATTCAAAAACAGTGGTATCCACAAACATGGACGGTGAATGGACAGCTTGCACACTACGAGCCTAGCATTGGGTACTACAGTTCGAGCGATCCTTTTGTTGTGGAAAACCATTTGGATTCTTTGGACTATGCCAAAATTGATGTCAGTATTGCCAGTTGGTGGGGAATTGATACCAACTTGGAACGAGCTAGACTGTTGCTTCGCATGGATCGCACCATTGAGAGAGGTCTGGATTTGAAGTGGACCATTTACTACGAAGATGAAATGGCACTTGACCCTTCCCCGGCTCAACTCCGTGAAGACTTGGAATACTTGAAGAAATGGTTTGCTTGGCATCCTGCCTGGGCACACGTTGATGGAAAGCCTGTCATCTTTATTTGGAATGAAGCTCAGTGCGAAGTCGTCCGACGCTGGATGGAGGCTAGCAATGGAGAGTGGTATGTCATTACCAAACTCTTTGGTAACTATCGAGAATGTCCAGTTCAGCCGGACCATTGGCATCAGTACGGTATCGGTGATGGCACTCTTGAATACGAAGGTGTTTCATTCACTATTGGGCCTGGATTCTGGAGAGCTGACAAGCCTACGCCCAAGAAACCTCGCGTGAGCAAGGACGTATGGTGTTCCTTTGTCCAAGATATGGCCAGCAGTGGTCAACCATGGCAATTGATTGTGTCCTTCAACGAAGCTGGAGAAGGTACCATGATTGAATCCTCTCCTAGCTGGGCTAGTTCCTCTGGCTACGGGGATTTCTTGGATTGTCTTCACGATTATCCAACTCTCTAGGGAAGCAAGAGTGTACCTGATACAAAGAGTACGAGATACTACACTTTCCTGTAGGCAATAGGGCCATAGACTGTGTAAAGTTTGTAACTTATTAGAACTTTCAAATTTAGAAGAAACAATACAGTACACGTACAGTATCTATATTATGGCTGTATCGTCGGCTGGAAGCAAATCTGCACAATGCAATCTTGTCAGGTAAACGGCCATTGACCAGTAGTACAGTATCATGTCTAGAGCATTCGCTTGCCACAGTAGGTCATATTCGTGAGAATCCAGTTCACTGGATGCCTTGTTATTCATTACCTTTCCGGATGGCACTACATGGGCTTGGGAAAAGTCCTTCCACCCCAGAATCTTGGTGACGGGTTGTGGATGCTTGGATAACTCTTCCATGATAATGACCAAATCAAACTTCGACAGAGTCCGTATCGCTGTCTCGAATGGTTCTTTCCAATCCTCCTTTGCTTGCAAGAGTGCTGGATCAGGAGTCGGTGATTTCAAGTATCTTTCCGCATGTAGGTTGGACTCTGGCATGGGCAAGGTTCCTCCGGAGAACTTCCAGGTGGCAAAGTCAAAGCGTCCGACGTTGGCAGTAAAATCGGGATTCATAATCGTCCAGTGCTTGGCCCTTTGAGCGTATCGTGTAATCCATTGTTCAATGGTAGGCTTCTTCTCTGCTGGATTGTGCAGGATCCCCCAAAACTTGTGAGCAGACATGAGACGGTTGATTGGATGCCGCAATGATGTAACAAAGACCAATTGCAAATTTGGGTCAAATTCAAACTCGTCCATGTACTTGAGATTGAAGGGCTCCCATTCATTAGACACGAGACGATTAGTCGTTGTTTGAAAATACTCTTTCAGCTCGTCAATTGGCCAAGCACCAACACGGGCATCTGGTTCGTTTGGTTTCGAAGGCATGCAATAATAGTTGGGGACAAGTCGTCGTGCCATGTTTGCTTGGGCCAATTTGCAAAAGGACGTCCCTCCTGCCTTGCTCAAATGCTCATAGTAGACAGCTGCAATAGGGCCACCAGTATTCTTTTTCCTCAATTGTTTTGCTTGCAACTCTTTTTGATACAGGTGTGGTGCTTCTAGTGATTTCTGAGGAGGAAGCCAGGATAGCTGAGTTCCTTCAGCCCACGGACATTTGCCTTCTTGCAATTCGTCCAGGTGAAATGGGTTCTTTTGTCGGAGTTCCGCTTCAGCATCTTCTCCCCCTTCGAGTACATGTTGCAACTCAGAAAATGGCATGTCGGCAAGTCCCATCAGCGATTCCACAATCGAGTCAATGGATGGTGCCTCTAAATGTTTCTGCTGAATTTGTTTGTGACTTTGTGCAAGCTCTGCTGGACTGTTGGGGACATGGATTTCATTAGCTGCTTTATCAGACTGAAATAATTCATTGTTATGCATAATCACATTGGAAAAGGATGATATCCAAAGGAGAAGCAGAATCAGCAATACCAGACCACCAAATATAATGGACGTGGCAGAAATACCATTTTTTCCACTACGATTCGCTGCCTTCCGGCGCCTTGGAAACGGCTGAGATTCGGCTACTTTTCTTAGTTCCTTTTCCTCTGCAGAAGGAACGTGTGGCCTTGCCCGCATCATTTTCACTTCAGATCTGTCGATACAACGATGCTGATGACGATGACAATAATGTTGTTGATGATGATGTTATGGTCATTTTGACGAATTTTGAATTTGAATGACTTGTAGTCGAAGGAGTCCATTGTCTACTTGAACCTGGTAGGCTACTGCAGAAGGACATTGGAGCTTTGTGGCTAGGTATGGGGAAGTTCAGCAAAAGACAAGGAGGAACGTTTGGAATGACTCCCCAGAAAACTGTGATGTTACTCTTGAGACTCACTCATTGGCTCCCGAATTCAGCAGCAGGAGGTTCGTCGTCTCCAAAACTACCTGTATTGTCTTCTAATTCAGCAGTTCCTCCATCACTTCGTCTCGAACCGTCGAACATGATCCTAGTCGACTTCGGTGCTACCTTACTCCTACGGGTTATCCGCATAGAAGCGTGTGCAGCTTCCGGTCTGACGGGTAAAATGACTTTGCCATGCACTGCTCGGCGAAAGGCCCATAATCTGCTCTCCTGTGGGAAATGCCGCCGACTTTTGATATATTGAGGCCTCACGTAAATAAGGCAGTTCACAAAGCCTTGTAGTGGTAGTAGAAGCGACTGTAGCACAAGTAAGGGATAGTACTTGTAGGGCAACTCCATCTCTTCTGCGTATGTAACTGACGTTCCCGAATAAAGATCAATGCGCCGGACATCTCCCACCGTGAAATTCAGTCTATAGGTCACCACATTGCACAGCAGAAAGCCACCTACAAAAAGAATAGCCTGATCCCGTATGTGATTGAGATTCCGCTCATCTCTTTTTCGTTTAGCTGCCTCTCTTCTTTTCTTGGAATCTTCTCCTAGTTGAGTTTCTCCGTCGTCTCCTCGTACGATGGTCTCACTCCTCTCGGCAGCCTCTTCAGCGTCGTCGTTAGTGCTTGCATGCGCGTCCGCGTCCTTCATTTGTTTCCGTGCATGACGCCAATTGACAATGCTGCTGATAATCAGGAAGAAGAAAGTGAAGACATAAGATCCTCTGCCGAGGATGTTCGAAAAGGTTGACTTGGCACAAGGAATCCTTTCCCCAGCGTCATCAAAAGGACATTCATCGATCCAACATCCAAGTGATACCTGTCTCTCGCCATATACGTCCAAGAATAGACCTGCAAATGAGGTTAGCAATGCCCATCCGACAGGCACAATGTGCATTTTAGTTTCATAGCTTTGGATGATTTTTTGGTCCGATAAACCGAACCGAATGATCAACACAAAGTACCAGCACAGCATAGCTTGATACAGCATGACGGCTGTCCCAAACTGATTCATAGCCCCTATAGCTTTGCAGCTTGCTGTTTTGGTGCGAGAAGCATGTTAGTTCCAAAAAGCTACCAACAGTCGCGGGCGAGTCAGTCAATCATCCTTTCTCATCTGAAACTCACCATCGTTTCCAAAAGCCCAAACTTTGGTGGACGTCTCTTTCGGATAGAGTAATGATCCCGTCATGTTCGTCATGGTATAGAATATACTGCAAACATTCATTCCAGTCAGCAAAGCTTGATACGGAGACCATGATTGAGCCTTTCGCATGCGAAATGCCATTTGAATGACAACCCAACTTCCCATTATGCCTAGTATACCAGATGGGATTGGCAACAGTGCGAGAAGCGCTTCCTGTCCATCTGTTAGACTCTTGTAGCTCAATGAGGGAGGTGCTGTTTCTGCTTCGAACTCCATGACTACCACTACAAGTATGATGATGATATGGTTGCGTGCGACGAAGATTTTTGGAAAATTGTACCCGTGGAAATTGCCCGCATCAACCGCCTCTGATACTAGATTTGTGACCTGTAGTGAAATGACCAACTCATAAATCTAAAGCTTTTTTATCGTGCAAATGATGTTCTTCGTTCAATTTTGACAAGACGCACGCGTAGTACAAATATTGAAACATGGCGACTGAGGCACTTTTTTTAAAATCGCGTTTCTGTCGAACTTAGGGATCACATAAAATGAACAAAAATGGGTCCTGGGTCCTGGGAGCATTATATGTCTTTATATATGTCTTTATGACCTACCTGTACAGTACCGGTGGATCGCAAGTCATCCACATTTGCTTCTTCGTTTGTTCTGAATACCGCAGTAGAGCAGTCTGCTGTTCTGCTATTACATTATCTTGGTGCAACTCATTCGAAAGGCCTTGGAACCATCAATCAGAACAAGGTATCAAGCATTATCGTCAAGAACTCCTCTCCAGTAGAAACGAGAAGGACAACCATGGGGGTTATCGACGAATGTCCGCTTATTGCAACGACATCATAGTACTCTATGAAAGAAGAGGAATACAAAAAAGTGAAACAATACTGTAAGGTTATTAGTAGGAGCTACCTGGATGCCGCAATACTGTGTCCAAAAATCGCCTGAGCTTCATCATTGGGCATATCCCATAAATAGCCAATACGTCGCAGCAGCATTTTACTACGTGGCTCGTTACAATACCGTACTGTCCTGCATAGCTATAGTGCAGGAAAGATGCTTTAGATGCTGCTTTACTTTATTGATTGGAATCGTTCTTCATAGGTACTACCTTCGTCTTTGCCTATGTCGCATATCTTCTGGTTTCTCCTGGTTTTACTTCCGTGACATCTACTCTGCAACCGTGGTTCTCATGTTTTATGCTAATATCCTTTTTCAAAAGAATTTAACTGGGGTGAAGTGATGGTGACATACCGTGAGAAATCCGTTACTTGACATCCACATTCTCATATTTTTTATGGGAGCCCTACTCTTTGGGTCGTTTATGATTTCTTCAGCCTTCTTGTATATTCTGCTGGCCTCAATGATTTTTCCGGTTTTTGAGATTGCAACCGCTAGCTTGTGGTAAGCATCTGCGACTAGATACATGGGCTGTCCCCTGCGCGCTCCTTCCATCCGAAGCCTCAACAGCTGAAAGTAGACGTGTGCTGCAAAATAGTATTCTTGGATCCCATGATGAAGGAACAATTCACCCATTCGCTCCAACCGTGTATCAGCCTGGCTCTGCCCAAACATTCCACCAGCAGATCCAAAGATATCTCCTTGGGTCCGCATCCCGGAATCAATTGCCTTTAGATCGGCCAAGTGTGTCTCCAAATCGGAGGTGTCTCCCTGAAAGAATGTACGGAAATACTCATAGTGCTTGTGGGAATCGAGCTCCTTGCTCAATGCCTTGGTAGCAGCATGATGGATTTGGATTTCACAGATATGCTTGAAGCCTTGTGGTGCTTCAATTTGAAAGGCCAAATTGAAATCACGGTATCCTGTCAAGGTCGGATTCTGAAACCGATTCTTGGCCTTGACAATGAAAATGCGAGGGTCTTGCATAATCAGGTCCAAGCATTTCGTAATTTGTTCCGAATGGCCACAGCTTATACTTCCTCGAACAATATCATACAACCAGGAGACACCTGTCGCAGGGAGTCTTCGCCCATAATCATCTTTTGCCTTTTCAGTTGCGCGGTCCATCCCTTTCAATGGGGCAAATTCGACATACATGTCATCTTTTTGTTCTGGAAGAAAGTCTTTGACTTGCTTCACAATGCCCTCGATCATCTCTTTGTAAATAGGCTCGACAATCGCTGCTGCAGCATAGAGTTCCTCGGCATACATGACTGGATCTCCATCCACAGTCTGCTGTTGAAACTCTGACTTGTATTCATTGTCCACCACCTGAATCCCATTTGAATCTTCTTTTAGTTCCAGTTTGGCAATCGAATGAAGTTCATCCACTTCGGTGTATTTGGCATCCATTAGGTCGCGGCAATCCAAATAGGCACGCAACGTCTTGAGGAAGGCTGATGTGGGTCCTAGCTCCTTGATACGAAAGCCAGTCTCTCGTTCCAAGTTATCCAAGGCGAACGCTAGCTTTTGATCTCCAAGATTGAGGGCGCTGAAGGGGGCAGAATGAAACATATTGTGTGACTGCTAGTAGGATCGGGCTATGTATCGGAGATGAATGGAGATGATGATACGACAGCCGATCTAAGGACGTACCAGTGAGTGGTAAGAAGTAGTGGGTGTCAAAAAAGGGTCATGGAATGAATTTCTGCGCGATATATAGATCTTCGTGTTTCTTCTCCGGGTCCCCTATCTTCAGTTTCTCTTGTGAAGTGAGATTCTTCTCCCGCCGCACTACTGTAATTTCAGTTCAATCCTATTCGCAACGTTGAGGGTTGTAGATAAATATACCTATTGACCAATAGTCTATTTTACTGTACAGTTGGGTGGGACGGCTATCTATGTTGAAAACACCAACACCACCATTTCGAAATTGCAATAGTAATAAATCTCATACAAAGGACTAAAAACCACCAGCCCCCTCCCTACCTACCATCATCCTCTCGCCTTCCAAAGCTTTTTACAATGCAATCCAATCCAAATGACTATACTTACACTTCTAATCTAATGCACTGTTTGTAGGAATTTGGCAATTTGTTGGGAATCCAATGCCGTCGATTCCATCAATGCCTTGGTCACTAAATCTGGAGTCATGTCAGTCTTCTTAAGGTAGCCGACACTTCGCTGATCCAATGCAAAGAAGGCTGCTACGATTTCATGTTTGATACATTTCGAGCTCTCCAAAAGTTTGGCAAATTGACAAAAGGTAATTCCATAAGTTCCAGCCGGTAGTTTCTTGGCAATTTTCATGGCAAACTTAGCATAGTCCCGATACGGACAAACACAGCTATCATCATTGTCATCACTCTCACTCGATGATTCGGCCACCGTCTCATCCACGGTTTCGGCTATACTGCTGTTGCTGTTGCTGGAGCTGGTCATACTTTTAGTAGTGGAGGTTGCCACAGTGGACAATGTAATGGTACTTGGAGACTGATGAAAGTGACCGACGTTTTTCAGACTTTCGTCCATGGTATCAGCCGGATTCGACTCGAGAGTCTTGCCAATAATCTTGGCGGGAGCTCCTACCGCCGTGGCTCCGGCAGGAAGCGGCCTCAGTACAATGCTTCCAGCCCCGATCTTGACCCGATCGCCAATCTGGATATTTCCCAAGACACTGGCACCTGCACCAATCAACACATTGCGTCCAACCTTGGGATGTCGATCTCCAGTTTCCTTGCCGTTCCCACCCAAAGTAACTCCATGCAAAAGCGTACATCCATCTCCCAAGTGACAAGTTTCTCCAATGACAATGCCTGTGCCGTGATCTAGCAAAATGCCAGCTCCGATACAGGCGCCAGGATGAATGTCCAATCCAAAAATGGCCGATGCCTGGGATTGAAGAAAAAGCGCCGTCATGCTTCGTTTTACTTTGGAAGCAGCGACCCATTTTTGATGAGCGACTCGATGGACGACCAATGCCGAAAAACCCTTGTAGAATAGCACCACTTCCAATAGAGTCTCACAGGCAGGATCTCGATCAATGACTGCCTGGGCATCCTTCCGAACCGCTTCCTTGATGGAATACTGACCCATTTCTAAATTCTGATCGTCTCTGAAAGCCTTTTGAAATATTCCTTTTAAAGCGTGTGGACAAAAGACACCGTCCATGGTCGGCGTGGGTTCTTTCAAGAGCATCCGATAGCAAACAGTGGCGGCAACGGCATCTTCAAAGGTTTGGACCCAGGGTGCCAGGACTGTATGTTTCAATAAAGAACACAACTCGGGTTCATTTTCAACCGTTTCATGAGCTTCCCGAAAGATTCGTTCTGTGAAGTCATCCTTTTCTGCATTATTGCCATTGCCATTGCCATAATTGGTACTGACGACAGCAGGCATCTCTGATATTTCGGCTGGCATCTGTCAATGTTTTTCCAAACTCTCTTGTTTTGGTTATGTTTGCTTCAGTTTCTGTAAAACACAGTTCAGTCGGTCCTGCCTGCTTCAGGTGAAATGATTTCTGTGGGCAGCTAACTAGAGTGCAATTTGGTGCAGGTATTTTGAAAACATGGTTAGTGGGGAGAAAAAGTGGGGAATGGATTTTTTGTCGTTGCGTACAATTCAGACGTTATATATGTGCTGTAGTGGTTTTCGGCCTATGTTCAATGTAATAGAGTGAAGGAACATCAATTTCCAGCAGCGTTTCCAAATCGGAATTCAAATCTGAGAGTTTCTCAGATTTGTTCGCAAAAGGTTTTTTTTAAAAAAATAGTGTTCGATCGAAAGTAGCAACCTGTACGAAGATATTGCATCGAAGAAAAATTAGAATACTCAGTTATTCCTTCATTGTTCTATATTGACATTATTGCGGCTCTTGGTGTACTGTGGTACATGCGAAGAGTCCTCCTTACTAGGAGATAGCTAGAAAGCTACTTCTAGAAGTAAGAACAAGGTTGGGTTTCGACCGGCTGTCGTCATGCAGCGGGCGCCATTAGTGAATTTGCGTCCAGGTTGGCAAGGAAGCCTCGCACGTGCTTAAGCTGCACACTGCATCCGCGATCGACGAACAGCATCATCAAAGAGAATAGAAAGTCAAGGCATTCTTTCGACATCGCCTGGTTGCCAACAGCCTTGTGAATAACCGCAGTATTGTTGATGGAATCCCCCAGATATAGTACTGCTCAAAAATCTTGTAGAAAACATATTTGAGAATGGATTTGGCAATATTGGAACTGACCTTTCTTCCATAGGCATACTTGGCCAGGGATCTGGCAATGTCTCCTATTCCTTTCAGGATCTTTCTGCTCTCCTTGTCTCAATTGTTTAGGGACTTATTGCATCCAGCATTCTTGTTGAACACCAAAAAACGAGGTAGTATGTGTCTTTTGCAAGATGAAAAAGTTCCAATCATTGCAAGGTATTTGGATCCATAACTATGATAAGCATACACTTGCGGTACTAGGTGCTGTCCTGGAATCAACAATCCAAATTGGTTTAGAGCTTGGAACTGTGAAATTTTGGGATATGAAGCCAAGTACTCCTGATAAACGAATCCAGAACTGTAGCCCATAGCATAATGAAGTAGCTCATGTCAGAACCTGAACTGTGCTCTTATAACATTGTGTTTCTGGCCTCCCTTGAGTTTGACGCGGGATTGACGCAACTGCACCTGTTTGACGCGGGATTGACGCAATTTCTTGAGTTTGCGTAAATTTGACGCAGATTTGCGTTAATTTGACGCGGGGCGTGCCCGTTTTTGCGTCAAATTGACGCACGGGGTATGCCCGATTTCCACAGTGCGCCCGCGCTAAAATGGAAACGGACACTTAACGTTTTCCAATAAAACCATTTTTAACTATTAACGGACATTTAAATTGCGTGCGTTGCACGTTGTGGTGCGTTCCTGTAGAAATGTTAATTTTCTATAGTAGCAGAGACACGAAGTTATCGTATAATAGTATCGGTACTTTTGAGCTCAGGCAAACACCCACTTTGAGCTCAGGCAAACACCCGCTTGGAGACTCTTGCTCGTTCCTCACCACTCACTCACCACTCCCATCGTGTTGTGGACGGGCGCACCGACTGACTCGTATGGTACCGACCTTCCGGTATGGTACGAACTAGGAAATAATCCAAAATTGGATACCACCTGGACTGTGGTGAAGTCAATTTTTTAGTAAAAAGTGGACTGACTTTAAAAATCGAATCATCCTCCCGATAGCTTTATCTAGGTACTATAACGCGAAGATTTGCAATGTATGAAAATATAAAGGATAGGGTCTGCAAATGGTAAGAAAACCAGACATAAGATGCTGTAAAGGCAAAGATGTCATTGTTGCGAGTGCGGAAGGCCTCAAGTTTCGTAGACGAACACTGGGTGACGTTCATTGTGAAACGAAACGACGTAAACAATAGTCTGAATTGTTTTGGCGAATGAAAGAAAGGGTCAAGTACCGAGTGAGGGTTTCACCGGTGGCACTCGCGCTGATTGAACAGAAATGCTACTTTCTTAGGTCGTCTCCTGCATATGTATCGATGAAAGACGGAGGTCTCCTGTGACGCGCATCACAAGATGCCGAAAGAGACAATTGAGTCGCAAAAATGCGACTGAAGAATTTGTCCTGTAACCTAGTACAAGCTTTTCAATCTGCTTCCTTTCCCTAGCAATGCTATATTCACCACGGCTACTTTCTGGAAAGCAGCATTGTTCCGAGAGCTGAGGACGAGCCATCGCCTAGAAAGGCTTGCGTTCGGATGATCATATGTCGCTCACTCAAGGCCAAGCTTGTCAATGCCATGAAAGACAGTGATTTCATTGCTATGACATCAATATTCCAGGACGCTTATGTTGCATACTATATTCTTTGGGCTCATAAATCATCATCATAATCATCACGATGTGTAGTCATCATGCCAAACTCACCGCCGACGGATTCATTCCTCTGATGAAGAAGTTGATAAATCGTCTCCAATCGTTCTGGTCGAACAATTAGGAACACGTTCACTCGAAGGAGTCAAATAGGTTCAATTCTATGATTCGCTAATCTATTAGACAAAGGTGAGGGACCTGGTCCCAAAAGGCTGGAACTATATACAGATTTTGCGACGAGCAAGTCATCAGTGAGCACCAACAGCAAAAAGCGTCTACTACATTGTTGAAGTTTTTGAAACGGAGGATGCTCGATGCAACAAACGATTGCTCGTCCCAATTTCCAAAGAACACGGGGCATGGACGGGACTGTCGTCTCTGTCTCGGGATTAAACGGTATCTCATTTTTTTCAGCAGTCTTTTTCATAAGGAGATTTTGAAGTAAAAGTGTTTCTATCACTGAAATAGCGGGGGGCGTCGTAATTGTCACAGTCGTATCTGTGTTGCTTAGGAGGTGGGGCTTCTTATTCTTTATCCCTCTGTGATGATAATGACTGTCTCATTCTTCCAGAGCGATGAAGCATCATCGACAAAGCCCCCATCTACTAGCGAGCAGTTTCAGAACGTAGTTTTATCCGATCCCAATGAAGTTCCACACTTCTTCCGCATCTTGCATCGACGGGGATGATGGTGATTCGCCTTGCGTCAACATGGTCTCGGATACAGCTTCATCATCGTCACATCTCATGGTATCCAAAGATGATGATGATGCTTCCAGACGACTCTTCTTGACAATTCTCTCTACGGATGATGATGTATACTCCATCTGTTGAAATGATGTTTGCTGTAAATCTCCCTGGTAGGCTCGTTTCCGAGCAGCGGACTGGAAAGAATGTGCACCATCATGCTCTTTTTGATTGCGTTGAAATGCCATCATCAATTGTTGATGATCTTGCGCCTGTCGTGTGTTCCACACAGATTCAGAACAATGCCTCTTGACAGGAAGGCTTTGATGCATTGGAGATGTAGGTATCGCAGTCTGATTGGCATTCAGCGCTGAAACAGTAGCAGTCATTGAGGTAGTGGTATGCTGGTTCGGCGTGGCGCGATGGTTGTATCGTTTGTTGGGTGTTGTTGCTTCACTCTTTTCATCCCATGGTTGTGGCAGTGCCGCTGAAGAAAATATCGGTATTGTGTGCATTGAAAGTGCAGCTTCCAGTCTGATGAATTGATTGCGAACCAAAGGACAAGAGGTCATTGATGATGAGATGCCGACGAATCGACGAAGAATCTCATCGTCGTCATCACGTCATCGTCATCGCTCCCGCCGCGCAATATGAATTGGCGATAACGCGCGAGTGACAGACTGTCAAACTTCAACTGAACCTCCAATCACAATTGCAATGGTAGATATCTATCACGTACAGTACCGTAACCTTCCAGCATAACGTATTTATACAATTCTTCCTTTAGCTAGCGTTAGCTATTCTATCTATATTCCTACTAGGCTATGAAAAGTAGACGTTCAATCTCCTTCCAGCCTCCAAGATGGTGTCATCGCCTTTGCAAAAGGCAAACCGTAAGGTATCCTTGGCCAAATGAATATTGGATTCCGAGTAAAAGGCTGACGGTGGAATGGCCGTCACTCCAACTTCTTGGGTCAACCACCGACTCAGTGCCCAGTCTCGTGGCATTTGAGCAGAAGGCATGGCTTCGGAAGGCTGCTTCGCAATCGTTTCATATGGAAAGTCAATCTGACTAGTGTCTGCCATGATGAAGAATCCTCCCGGTGGCGTGATCGAATTCATTCCTGCCCCCTGAAGTGCCTTTGTCAGCAAGCCCCTCTTCCGTTCATATTCATTAGCTAACCATTCGTAGTAATTATCGAATCCCTGATAGGGTTCCTTGGCTTGTTGCAGGGAAAGCGCAATTGCATCTTGAGTGGGTGTCGCGGAAGAAAAGTTTACCCACTGTTGAATGGCCGTGACTGCCTTTACCAGATGAGGCGGTCCAATGGCCCAACCCACTTTCCAACCCGTACAGGAAAATGTTTTGCCAGAAGAGGACATGGTCAATGTGCGGTCCCACAGAATGCCGTCATCAATACTGGCGATGCTCAAGTGTGGTTCCTCTTTCGTATCAAAGACAATGTGTTCGTAAACTTCATCCGAAATGACAATAAGATTTGGATGCTCCAAGACAGTTTGTGCAATCTCTCGTAGTTCCTTCAAACTGAACATTTTGCCGGTTGGATTGTGCGGCGTGTTTAGAATCAAAACCTTGGTCTTGTCAGTTATCTTGCTGCGAAGCTCGTCCATGTCCAGGGTAAAGACATCCGAGGCGGTTCCTTTACTTGTTAGATCAGGTCGCAGTGGACAATAGACACAAGTTCCACCAGCCATGTTGACTTGGGAAGAGTAAATGTCAAACGCGGGTTCCAACAGCAAAACTTCATCACCCTTGTCAATCAGTCCTTGCAAGGCACAATACAAAACATTTGTGACACCAGAGGCCGTGGCAATTTGAGTGGCTGGATTGATTTCTCGATTCCATTTTTTGGAATACCCTTCTGCCAAAACATTGGCCAATGGTAGGTGCGCATAGGAACGGGCATATTGATTGGCATTTCTGTTGAACTTGGGGTCCGTTGCTTGTCTCATGGCATCAATGCAAAAATCAGGAGGATTCCAATCGGGAAAGCCTTGCCCCAAATTGATGGACTCGTATTCTTGAGCCAAGGGTGAAAACTCATGCCAGACGGTAGGCGCGTCCAATCCATCCAGTCGTGACGCAAAGACATTGGCATCATTGCGCAATGCTGTCAGTGGAAGCCGATGATGACGATTCATAGGTTGGCTTTGTCTGATGACGAAAGCACCGACATGATGATATTTGGATGTGACAGTGAGAAATAGTATGGTGATTGATAACCAAGAAGGACAGTTGCCGAGGCAATGACTTGTGGTACGTCGCCCTCCTTTTGGCATGGTAAGACAATGACTATTTTGCGATGTTATATTGTCAGACAGATTATCGGTACGAATATGTCATGCGTAAAGGAGGGAGGGTAGAATGAAAGTGAGGGAGAAGGCAGAATTTCTACCGTTTTTTTTTCTTCAAGTCTGGTCGTTATACCGTATAACTGATGACCTCCTCTACGGTACTCGTACCAGGTACGCTGTACGTAGTTGGGTGCAACTTCCGTGTCTCACTAGCGCAGAAATTAAGCGAAGCAAAATTATTTGTGACTGGCGGAGGGTCACATCTACCAAAAAAGAGAGTTTCTTAGTTTTATAGGCATTGTTATTGAGTTGACAACAACATCACAGAATGGAAGAATCAAATCACTCTGAAAGGAAGAGGTCATCAAGAAGGAACCGATCCAGGGGATCCAGACGATCAAGGACGCCAGATGACGACGATGCCTTGTCGAGACCCTCAGGGCATAGCCAATCTAGCGGTAGACGTCGTCGTCGCCATAAATCTCGCAGCAGTGAACGCAGCTTGACTAGCGCTGATACAGATACTCCCCTCGAAGCTGAAACCATTGCGGCCGAAGTTGTTGAAGCTCCTCCCGCTATGCCACCAGCGAAAGACGAGGAACAAGCCGTATTTGGGGGCGTCGTGCAAGTCACTGAATCGGATGAACAAACCACAATCGACGAGAACCACACTGACAAATTCGCGAGGAAAAAGAGACGACTCATTTGCTTCTTCAGTCTTCTAATGATCGCGGGACTTGCTATGGCAGTGATCTATCGGATGCGTAAAGTGCGCATGAATTCGAGCACGCTTACACCGTAGAAAACACAACAGTACAAGTACCAGGGGAAATGATGGTGATGGTACCGGCAATGGAAACATTAATGTTTCCGGCTCAGTTTGCGCCTGTGGTATGCCAACACAACCGCCAATCGTGCCGATAGTCTTTCCACTGCTCCCCGATTTCAAGTCTACGATGATTCTCCCAACATGGACGATTGTGACAAAGTAGTCTGGACTGGAAGAAATTGATGGCAAGCCATTCCATTTCAATTGGATTCTGATGTCGCCATCACGAATCCAACTATATCCGAAGCATGATCACCTCCCTTTCAAGAGGGACTTGATCCTTTCTATTCCAACTTTGTATGTTTGCCTAATAATGACGATGCATCATGCTGCGTATACTAGACTAAGTTATATCGATCAATCATCCAAACGAGTAGTAGTATTTGTAGTTTATGTTTATCATCGGATCCTTTAACTCTCAAGTGCACGGTGACTTTGTTGCAATCTGCGGCTTGAAGCGATTGATGTCGAATGTGTATTACATCAAAGGTACTTCTGTAGTGTTTGCGGTCAGAACATAACACACAGAACACAGATCGTTGTATTTTATATAGACGTAATACAGCCAGCCCTCTTACATGTAGTTGACGGTTTTCCTCGCATGGCACTACGATGACAACCACAAATTTCGCTGGTACTTCCGCCCCGTCAGCGTTGCCATCATTGTTGATTTCGTTGCTTCTTTGGACGACTCCAACAACACAAGCTTGGAAACAATGCCAAGGAGGGGGCATATGCCCAGAATTTGCGACTTGTTGCCCCTCCTCGGTCCCTGGAAGCCCCCCTGCTTGCATTTCGACACGGCATGGAAAAGATCCATTAAATGCTACGGGCCAATGTTGTGATGAAACCACCGCCTGTCCATATGGTTTTGCTTGTGCGGTTCGGACTTCAGATGATGAAATAGTAAGTCTTCAGGAACAGCCTTACTGCAAGATTGACAAGCAAAATCCACCGACGGACTTGTTCCATGATCAACCACGGTACGAGATGTGTCGGATACCAGATCCATCCATGATTATTATGCATGGCTTTCCCATTGTACCACACGCACAAGAGCAACCGAATCAACATGATCATCAAAATGAGCTACGCGGCCACCACCACCCATTGAAATCGGATACTTATTTTCAACTCGCCTACTATTCTAGTCATGGGGATTTGTTCCAATTTGATGGCGATAAGATTCAGAAGGTATTGATCATGATTCATGGATCGGGACGGACTGCCGAAGACTACTTTTGTGTGGCGCTGTCATTGGTACCAGAAGGCGAACGGGACAGTGTCTTGGTGATTGCCCCAAAGTTTTTGGCACCGGTGGATCTCAACAATAGCACTGACATCAAAAACAAAAACTTTTTGATTTGGCAAGAGGACGAGGCTCCTCCGAAATATCCCATGGCACATAGCTGGCGGTACGGCGCAGATGCTTTGAATGCTCCTGTCAGTAGTTATGAGGCAATTGATCGATTAGTGGAATACCTCACCGCTACCATGAATCAGCGACAAATTTTCCCCAATCTGAAACTAGTGACTGTTGCTGGACATTCGGCAGGCGGTCAAGTCGTTCATCGTTGGGCATTGCTTTCCAAGATTATCACGTCCTCGCAACAAAACGTGGAGATTCGGACCGTGGCGGCCAATCCTCGATCCTATTGCTACTTGAATGGCAAACGAATGATAATATACAAGAATAAAGAAAGCACCAACAAAACTCGTTTTGACTATCCATCGGCCAAAGAACTGGAGCATTGCCCTGACTATGACCAATGGAATTGGGGATTGCAAGATGGTGGTACCTTGGATCCAGTGGTTCCTTACAAGGTTCGTCGATTGAAGGAGATGACGCCAAAGGAATTGGCAGACAAATATGTGCGCCAGAAAGTCTTTTATTTGACGGGAGAATACGATGTCATTAAACAAAAAGACCATTGTGCTACCTATGAACTGCAGGGGAAGACTCGACACGAGAGAGCCCTCCACTACTTTGGAGCTCTGAAAGCCTACGTGAAAGAGAATAATGGAACCATTGCTGATGATTTGAATCACGAACTACACACCATTCCAGAATCACCGCACGATCATCTGCTGATGTAAGTCTATTTCGAATTGGATTGGATTCACATTGTTGGTGGACTTGCAATGTGCTCACTTTCAATTTTTCCCGGTTTAGGTTTCAAAGTGCTGCTGGACGAGAAGCTATTTTTGGTGATATTGAAATACTGACTACAAAATGATGTGTATTTAGTACAATTTTGACTTCTGCTGGTATGAACTTTATAAAATGCTGTAGCTGGCAACGAATAGTCAACCTGCGAGCTGCAAATAGAAGTCGGATTTGTTGGATTAGTTGGACCGGCTGCGATGGACCAAAGGGTTGGACGAGTGAAAAAAACATAAACTTGCGAATGCGCGTGAAAGAAAAAATGATGATGGCACACAATTGTCACGAGCAATGACATGACACCACTGCACAAAACCTCAATCTGTGGACAATCTCAGAGCACTTATGCTATCTTTATTGCCTTCTGATTGCAAGGTGAAGTCAGCAGCCTGTAGATTCATCTTCTTCCTGATTTTCTTTATTGCCAATGTCAAAGGTTGGAAGCAATGCGACGGCGGTGGCGTTTGTCCAGATTTTGCTACTTGTTGCCCCTCCGCAACACCTGGAGTTTCCTCCTGCATTTCCATGCGGTATAACAAAGATCCTGATGACGCTACCGGTGAATGCTGTGACGAAGCAACTGGCTGTCCTTATGGATTTTCCTGTGCTGTCAGACCCGAAAATCCCAAAGTAAGACATGAGATGAGGCATTTTCACTTTCGTCAAAGGCGCAAATCCGAAAAGCATTGGTGATGATTCATGGATCGTTACGCAACGCTGATGATTATTTCTGCGTGGCTCACTCACTCATACCAGAAAAGGATCGAGGCAGTGTCTTGATTCTTGCACCGCGGTTTTTGGCTCCCTCTGATATGAAACACAAACGAAAGAACCAGCATCAGTTTCAAAATCAAACCACAACTGAATTTCTTTACTGGCAGAATAGTGAGAAACAACCAAAGTATGCAATCAGTCATAGTTGGCGTTATGGTGCGGATGCTTTGAATGCCCCCGTTAGTAGCTACGAAGCTGTGGACAGATTGGTCGAGCATTTAGTCTCTTTTACGGCGCCAGGAACAGACACTCGTTGCTTTTCGAATCTACGACAAGTGTCAATTGTTGGACATTCCGCTGGTGGTCAATTGGTTCAGCGATGGGCCTTGCTTTCGAATGCATTCAAGATGATTCGTCCTTCTTCTTGGACTACTGCTACTACTACTACTGCTATCAATGATGATCCTGGCTATTCTATGGACATTCGGGCCGTGGTAGCGAATCCCCGATCCTATTGCTACTTGAACGAAAAACGAATGGTGGTGGTGATGGACGGCAATAGTAATAAGGTAGAAGCACATTGGGAGGTTCCGGCTGCCTCTCAAATCAAAAAGTGTCCCGACTACAACCAGTGGACCTGGGGGCTCGAGCGTGGTGGTGCGTTGGACGAGGTAGTTCCGTACAAGGCGCGGAGAATCAAGAGCGGGTCCGACGAAGAAGTCGCCCATCGGTATGCGAATCGCAAGGTCTTCTATCTGACTGGGGAATATGGCGACACGGATCAAGACGACTTGTGTGCAACACGTGACTTTCAAGGTCATAATCGACATGAGAGGGCCCTTTACTATGTTGCGGCCCTGAATGCCTACTTTGGTAGTGGTAACTCTACTCCTGGAAGCTCCAATAACTCGGTGCTAAGGCATGAATTGCACACCATTCCCGAAACGCCACATGACCACATACTGATGTAAGTATCATTATCCACCAGAGGAAGAGGCAATCCACAGTACTATAGACTCTTTCCAGTCTCTCTCATCCTCTACTTTTTGTTCCGCAGGTTTCAAAGTGTTGCCGGTCGACGTGCCATCATGGAGCTAATCGAATAACAGCAGCAAGTTTATTAGATGAACTAGGCAGTTATCCGAAGTATAATGTGTAGTTTTGTCTTCTAGAGTTTCAGTGAGCCACCAAATCAATTCAATTCAAATTATTGATGGTATTTCAAACTCGACAATGAATACTTTGGAATACATTGTTTTGATCGTGGATGTGATTGCGCGAGCATCGACGGGCCTTGCATCTTCCGTTGGCGCTCGGACGAGTCGAACTCAACCCAACACCTCAAAATATACCGGTATCCAAAAAATAAATACAACTATAATGGTAAGGGTCATCCTGATTCCTCACGATGAATCCAAAGATATCGAAGCACATTCCATCACTGTAGACAATACCGGTTCCATCGTAGCTTCCATCAAGCAACTGATACACGACAGGGATTACTTGGAAACCCCTCTACTTAGGCCTCGAAATGAGACTGCTGGATTGTATGCATACTTCAACAATCCTACTGATGCAGGAGAGGAAAAGAGCCAACTGGCAAATGTTCGAGCTACGAGACTTGCAATGGCATGTGGACTTTTGTCACTTCGATTCTTTGGCAATGTCCTCTTGGTTCGAGGTTTTGGATTTCGTTGGGAGGATTTATCATTGAACGAGATTGACGGAGCGACTGTCATCTCTCCCGACTTGAGAGATTGTATACAAAAGGAAGTAGTTTCTATAAAACACAACACAAATATGTCATCGGAGCGAATCGCAAAATGGCTAGCAGATGCGGCACAGAATAATTATCATGACAAGGCTGCGTTGGCAAAAGTGGCGAGGGCAATGGATACAGAATATGTGGATGAGGATGATGATGATGATGATGATGATGATGAAATCGACAGTGACGAGAAAGGCGAAAAAGACATCAATAGCGACGATGGTGGACAAAAAGTTGCGGATCCATCTACTGCTGCAAACACTGGCGAGTCGACGACCGAATTTATTGCCAAAAGTCCGCTGTGCCTGCACTGTCGATCAAAACTTGCTCCGATACTTTGTGCAGATTGTGACGGTGCCTACTTTTGTTGCACAGAAGAAAAGAACTGTCGGAAAACAGGGTGGTCTCATTCCTGCCTTTGTCCAACCTGGAAAGTCTACACATCACACCGAGAGGAACTATCACATTTTCCATTCTTTGGGGAGTGGCAAAAGGAGCTGACGACCCGTCCCTTTCAAACCCAGGAAAAGCCATATGCCATCTTCCTCAGGTCATCACTAGGTATACAGGAAGACTGCTCATCATGGTGGACAACCGAGACTTATGGATGGGGCGGTGGCGAGAGTGATAGTGCCAAGAAAGTGAATGCCTCCTTGCGAAAGTCCTATGCCGAAGGGTTTCATCCCATTCAAGAGATTCCACCAGAACGACAAATCTCCAACGAGGATGCCCAACGCGCCAATCTGACACGGAATAGCCTTGGCTTTGTCAACCTTACTTCCTGGGAGGACTATTACTTGCTTCGTGGAATTTCCACCAAGACCAGTCCAGTGGCGTTACTTTGTACATTTCCATTGACAGTCTACTACTCGATTTTGAAATATGGAGAGGTGCCAGTGACAGTGGCTCGAATGCTGAAAAGAAGACTGAGGATACATCTGGTACGTCTACATCATTCCTTTGAACTTCGATATATGGTGAGCATGCAAAAAAGTCATCTGATGATGATTCTTCCCAAACAAGGTTGGAGCCGAAAAGGAGATGAATTTTCTGGACCTATTCAAGGAAGTGATTTACCTGCTTCCAACCGATATCGAGGTAAGTTCGGAATACATGCCTGTGTATCAACTTGTTAACGATTCATTCCCATCCACCCTTTTATAAATATCCTAGCTGGAGCTGGTGTTTGTCGTTCGGCAGGATATGCTTCCTTCGAATTGTGGAAAAAGGGCGGATGGATCATACTCACTCCAAATAGATCTGGCACCAGGACTGACGATATTCATCACAAGTGGTACATATGGAGACTCACTGGACCCTAAATTTGACTGTGGCTCTGGTGCACCTGATATGGTCCTCGCGCTAAATGCTGGACTATATGCTTATGAAAGCTGGAGGAGCGTCGTCACATTTTTGTACGAAAATACTGGTGTCGTCGGTGTATTCAGCGACTACAATGAGTACAGTGGTGTCAATTGCGCGTCGATGGGAGGTTCCAAAAGTCGAGATAGTTTATGTATCAACCCATTCCGACAGCCACTGGCAATGCCCGTCTATTCCATGAACCTGCCTCAGTTTTCGAACGGTTTCCTTTATGCCTTCAACAAGCAAGACTTGGACTTTTAGGTGTCATCTGATCGATATAGCTAGCTGTCAATTCATTTCGCTTGCCAGTGGTATGTCATTCGGCGGCATGAATCTACTTAACTCCCCTCGAGCGGCACGGGGTGATAGCAATCTAATTATTGATTCATCAGTCCTTTCTAAATCGCAAACCAACCCTTCGATGTCTGCCTGTCACCGCTTGCATTTTCCATCCTTCAAAACCGCAAACCAAACATCTCACGATCGATGGAACGTCATCGTCATCACTTCCATTGCATCATCATCGATGGCAAAAGTCCATTTTATTGAAACCCAACAAGGTCCTGCATGGGTGATTGATGATGCGATTCCAGAATCGAAGTTGCAGTGTATCGATGCCTTCCGAGAAACACTTGAATTGAATAGTAAAAGGCCAACTGTAGATCGTCGTTTCTTTGCGGATGAAATCGGAACAAGACCAATGGCGACAGCACTTGAAGATGCGTTGAACAGCATGATGATAAGTGGAAAGTTCCACGTCTTTCAGTACCAGCGATTTTTGGAGTATCGGAAAGAAGGTGCTTCATTGGATCCCCACACAGATGGCACGAAAATTTGCGATAACACGAACTACAAGTCGACTCATACGTTACTGTTGTATTTGTCAGACTGCAAAGAGGGAGGAGAGACATTGATCTTGAACCAATGCTCTTGGGATGCCACTGTTTTATACCCGACAAAGCCACAGCGTGGAAGAATCCTCTTATTCCCGCATGCTTGTCCTCACGCGGGAAATGTGGTGAAAGATGTCCCAAAAATCTGTCTTCGAGCCGAGGTTTCCCACATGCTGGCACTTTGATTGAAGCCTATCAACCGGGCTAGCTAAGACAAAGTTCAATCTATCGCAGTGTATTGCAAAATCCGATCATGCATCAATCCAGAGTCAATCAAGAAAGCGATGCGTATACCAGCATTGGTGACATAAAAGGGTAATCTAATGGGAGTTTACGCAAAGAATAAAAAATATGCAGTCTGAGTATGGAGTACAGAATCGCTACTGCCATGGACTTGGAAGTTCGTTCACTGCCTTGTGGAGCTTGAATGCCTCTTGTGACCAACCGATGGCATCCTATTTGAGCGAACACAAGGGTTATCAAAGCTAACTGAACCGTCCTCCACAATGTCAAGCGCAGAAGAAATGGTATCAACGAGAAGCCCTTGACGGTCACCAATGGTCTCTTCCAATGAAGTATCCGAGAATAGCGTTGGGGATGAAGATTCTGCGTATGCCCTCGATAGCAAGGATACCAGTGACGGAGCTCCGCCAGAAGGAGGAAGGATTCCCAACCTTCTTTCGCCCGCTCTATACTGATCACTAGGCCAATTGGCGCATGTTTCGTTGTTGCTGTTGTTTCGATTCATGGTTGATGTCTTTCAAAAGTTGTTGTCAGAATGAGGACAATTGTTTTGTGATTGGGTTGGTGGTTCTTGGTGGATAGGATCCTTCGAAGCAACCTGTTGCTGGCATCATTCGCTTAATCCAGTATGAGGCTGATCAGACAGCATATGTACTTCGAATCGTGAAACTCGCCACGAGCGATTGTACAACGACGAGTATACCTACCGGTACAGCACTATCGAAATATCATCCGCTTCCTCATGTGCTGATCAGATATCATGTACTGCAAAATATGTCAGGGGCGAAATGGCCAGAACTATTTTATACGTGTGCTAAAGAAACGCTATCAACAATTCGTTTCAAACTTGGTGGGTTGAAAAATACCAACCTTTTACTTTTTGGATAGTATCAGCGGAGGTATGCATGGTAGGAGGACAAATGTCGGAAGGAGCCATTTCGCAACTTCCTGCCAGGTAGTAGGTAGTGTATGTGGTACCGTACGAAGTTAAAAGACACACTACCAACCGTTCGTTTTGCGTTCCTTGGTTGACTACAATTCGTTTTGTGCTAGTTGGTTATGGCTGGGTACCAGTACTAAAGAAGTAGTACCAACAGTTCGTCTTCTGCTTGCTGGAAGTAATGACACCCTTCTACCATGGGGCCGATCAGAGAGCACACCGGAGGGAGCTAGTATAAAACTTCTTATCGGTATCCGGTAGTAGCTCTTACTATGTTGCACGAATTTACCAAATCTTCGTTTTGTGTTCATCCGTTGGCAGACCATCCTTTTACTATGGCCCTGATCAGAACGAGCTTTTACAAGGCTACAGCAGGCTCACAAAATGTCAGGCACAGATGTCTGTTTTCATTAAGTATCATTATATAAAATGTATGGCAACCACATCCAGCTCCAGTACAGTGCGGGTACCTGGCACTGCACTGGTACAGGTATGGTGAAACTCTGATAAAATTTACTCCCGTTCGCCCCTACTCCCCTTCGCCCCTTCGCATGTGAGCGAATGATTCTTTTTTTGGTAATAAAAGTTTTGTAATCGTGCCAAATGTTTCCGCATGCGATGATTGTGATTATTGATTGATTATTGATTGGTTGCAGATGACCACAGTACGTTTCTGATATATATATCATCCAATGGTCGGAACGGAAGCAAACAATCAACTTCAGCAACAAAATTCTATATTGATGGGAATAAATGACAGGACCAATATCTTACTGTGGCGCACTATTTGCCTACAGTCTCGCTGAACAGAAGGCTTCTAAGTTCTTCAAGCGGTATTCAGCATAAATGTTGCGGAGCTGGACCGCTGCAAAATGACTCGAAACAAAAATAGCCACTTAACACTTATTTGCAGTTTCGCAGAGAAGAGAGTTTCTCAAGTTCAAAGTGCGGTAATGAAAATCTTCCGTCACTTTAATTACAAATGGATCATCATGATAGGCGTAGGCCCGAGAAGACAGCTGTTGGCCATCGTATCAGAAAAGCTATTCTTTCTAAGAATGTGATTGGCTAGGAGGTTGATTTTAGATTTCATCATTTTGTGACCATTATGTAAACTGACATTAGAAGAAGGCCCGAGGACAGATTTGGGCCCGAAAAAGTCAAAGTTCGTTGACAGGTTTTCCCAAGCTCTCAAAATAAATATGCCGCTCATAGCCATCTGGCAAAAGGCTTCTTTGGTTGCAACAATAACTGAGAAAGCCCCACAAATCTTTAGGACCTAACAAAGTGATCAAACCCAAACCCATACTCACACAGTTGAACATCTATCCCTTTATCACATCCTACAATGAATAACGGAAGCAATAACGTCGCTGCTGCGGACAGGAGCACTCCTTATACTGCTCACAGCTTTAACTTTCAGAACACTTCTGTTGGATGCGGTCCTTCTGGGGCTGCAGCTCCTTCAGAAGCAACAAGCGCCATTCCTCAAGAAATCTTCAAGAATGCCGCTAATCCCCTTTTGGCAGCTGCTGCTAATAGTGCTTATGCGTCCAACAAAGCCAAGGATTCGCTATTGCAGCACATGGCAACCTCGTTCATGGCGGCTAACAACAACAAGAACAACAGGCGCAGCATGCCTGAAGCTCCTTCCGGCCTCTTTGACAACCGCAACTCGTTGGATCCTTCCAGCGCCATTGCCCAAGCAACTGCCGTCGTTGGCGCACCAACAGCTACTGCCGTGCCAAACACTACCACTTCGTTGAGTCGCCTGAATGCTGCAACAAACGCATCCGCTCTTTCCGCTAGCAACATGCTCAATAATGGCAATGCTTTCTCTACACCAGAAGATCTCTTTGAACCTATTGATTTCAACAGCTCTTCTGCTTTCGTGGGAGGAATGTTTGATTCTTCATCTTCATCCAACATGAACGGACAGCAAGACAATGCTCTATCTCGAATGCTCTCCATGGCATTGGACGAGGTCACTACTGGGTTTGACTCGGATCCCATTGCTATTGACTGCAATTCTCTGTTCAACATGGATCCTTTCCAACAGCAACTGCAAGAACAACAACAACAAGTCCAATCACGCCAACCAATGTTCTCCCAAAATACCTTTTTGCAATCTGGTGCAAACAACAACAAGCGTATCATGCCTCTGTCTGTGGATGTCACTGCCAACACTCCCAACAAGAGAGCCCGCATTGCTGCCAAGGAAGACGATGACTCCAAGGCTCCCCGCTTCCGACCATACCAAGAAAAGCAATGGGTAGAGCAGTTTGATGAACTCCTCAAGTTCAAGGAAGAACGCGGCCATTGCTTGGTCCCTCACACATTCGAAGAGAACCCTACTCTTTCCAGATGGGTCAAGCGTCAACGTTACCAATACAAGCTAAAACAAGAATTCAAGCCAAGTACCATGACTGATGCTCGCATTGTCAAGCTCGAAAAGGTTGGCTTTGTCTGGGACTCGCATGCTGCCGCTTGGGAAGAGCGCCGCAACGAGCTGGCTGCCTACAAGGCCGAGTACGGGGACTGCAACGTCCCCTCCAACTACCCCCAGAATCCTCAATTGGCCACATGGGTCAAGTGCCAAAGACGCCAATGCAAATTGTTTTGGTGCGGCAAGACCAGCAACATGACTGCGGATCGATTTGCCTCGCTGAATCAACTGGGATTCACCTGGGAACTCCGTCATGGAAGTACTACCAGCACCAAGATGGCCGCACAAGCCATGGGAAACCTTTCCTATTAAAAATTTTCTCTCAAGACTGCGGATGCTTTCATGAAACGCGCAGGATTTGATTTTTGCTTGGGGGGATGTGTTGTGTACATACCGTACTGTAGAAACAATACAAATGTATTTTGAAGGACGAGCAATAAAATGCATAGATGGATACAACGTATATATTATATATTATAAAACATATTAGGATTATATATATATCTTTTATACAATATTAGTTGCAGTGAAAAAGTTAATTTTAACGAATACAACAGCTCGTCTAGCTGGCATGCTATGCTTTCGTTTTACTATTCTAGTTCCATAGTTTTCCAATCAAACACTACAAACACGTAATACCATAGTATAATACTATTATACTCCCAAATATTATTATTATTATTATTCGTTTTATTAAAATAGAATACCAGTTATTATTTAGCTTCCCATCAAGAGTAGATCGGCCGCCCGTTCCACATTGTTATCAGCTTGTCGCAAAGCTCCCTCCACTTGATCCTGGGGGAAACCCATGGCCACCAATTGGGCCACAGCCTCGGGAGACGGTGCCACTGGAGGTGGTGGTGGTGGTGTTGCTGCTACTGGAGCTACAGCAGCAGAACGATGCCGACTGGTGGTGCGAGTGGGAACTCCACGACCCGACAAGGCGGGAGCATAAATTCGTGGGGGAGGATCCAAAAAGAGCCAACCTGAAAGCGAATCAATCGGTAACTTATGGACCAACCATTGAGGTATCAAGATTAGTGGTGGATCCTTGCCAGATGAATTCGTCACCAGTACATTGAAATACAAGGTACTGGAAATTATTCCCGACAACAAATAAGACAAGGTGGTGGTCATGAAATTGGACGCCACGAACCAATATTCTTCGTCCTCTTCTTGTTGCAAAGGCGAAACATTGTGACTGTGCATCAATAGATAAACCCCCCAGAGTTGCATCAAGGCCTTTTCACTAAACTTCATACCTCCCGCCAGACTGATAAAATTGGGATACAGTCGTGGCGTATGATAGGAATACCAATGCAAAGAGGCAGCCATTAAGAGCGTGGGCAAGGGTGGAATCCAATTCCAAATATTGTAATGTTCTTGTTCTTGTTGTTGCGTTGGTAATACGCCAAAGAGTATCAAGAGAACTTGATGTATCGCAAATCCAATGGGAATGACCAACAGCATGTATTCGGCAAACTGGACCGAACTAATTTCTCGTTCCAGACGCCGTAATTGCAAGGCCAAGAAACCCAATCCCATTACCAAATCTCCTGTCGTATCAAAGGCAAAGAATTGTAGAATCAGTGGCAATTGTTGCAGTGACGTTTGGGATAGATCTTCTCCTTCTTCTCCATCATGACTCCTAGCTGGCGAAAGGTGACGTTGCAAGACAAAGACCAAGACCCAAACGCACACGAGCAATTTGGTCCAAGGAGCTCCGGAAAACCATGGCGCTGCTCCAGAAGAAGCTCCGGAAGTATTGGGTGGAATCATTGCTTGAGGAGAATCCATAGTAGTCTTGGTTCTGGTGCTGGTTCTGGTTCTGGTTCTTGCTCTTGTTGGGTGAAGTTCTATATAGTACAATTCAGTAGGAATGGGAGAGGCCAAGTCTTGTGTTTTACAATAAACTTTGCAATATCATTTTATGTTCCACCGCGTCATGCGTTTATTAATATTCATTCGATCGAACCGTTCGATTGGCTTCGATTTGTCGTTTACTTTTTGACTGCTTTGACTATACAGTATATATTACGGTAGTGGTGATGTTGTTATTTTTTAAAGTGGTATACCGGTAGAGCTACCGGTACCATATTCTCAAAAATTGCGGTAATATGCATATATATATATGTGTGTAATATATTTCAGCATCCTTGCGGAAAGCGCTTGTTAGTTGCAAAATGCCTTGTTGCAACTTGGCATCACTCGAGATCATGATGGCTCCTGGCTAATATTGTAGTAGGAGCAAATTACTAAACCATCAGCAAAGCCATCCATTTAGAGATATAACTTTCAACAAAGTAGTTTGTGCCTTTACTATTTAGTCTACTCTTCAAAATCTGTCTACCGGTGTTGGGCACATATTTGGTGATTCATTTCAATTCATGATTGCGCTTTCCAGATGAGATATTCGTCCGTCCTGTGGCCGTGGAGAAACAAGGAAATGAGCGGCGAGTGCTGTTGGTAAACTTTAGTGGTGAGTTATATTGAAGGATACTGTTATTAATAAGTCCCTAACCCTTGCATTGAATGAGTATTACAATAATATCTATTGATTTAGCTGTACAGTACGATATTTTTTTGACCTCGGACAACTTTGATTTCAAAACTTCAGAATATCTAGTTTTAGTCGCAGTAGTCGCCCAAAAGCAATAAACTTTCGCGTCGCAACAAACGAGGAGCTTGACAATGATGATGAAACCTCTTTTGCGTCCATTCCATTATGGAGGCTTCGTCCTTCAAATCTCAGCACTAAGTGTTCCAAGAACACCACCGCCTTAGGTTGATTTTGCTCTGAAATTCCAGGTAAGTCGTTTCTGAAAAGACAACGATCATTACGAGGAGCTGCAAACGGTCACGGAGAGAACAATTGAAAACCTGCCGAAAACGTGGTCAAACTTTTCGCTGATCCAGTCTTGGCCGTTTCTAAACTGGTTCCTTCAATTTCACTTTTTGCACACTCCAAATGCTCACAAAATCAAAGCAGGGGCTTTATTTTGTCACGAGAGCTACTCCAAAGGAGAGCTACTCGAATGTTCATTCGACCGCTACCGTGCTTCGATTGCAGTAAGACAGGCCTTATGGGGTTTGCATGCAAGAGTACTACTGCGACACCAACTCTTGGAGTATTTGGCTGAGAGTTTTGGCGTGCAGTAGGTGAGTGCGTAAGTCGTTTTGAACCCAATACACAACACACATACTTCTTTGGCTGGGGGAACCCCGTAAGCGATATCCCAAAGAGAGAGAATTATTTTCTGGCTCTCCGGTCCTGCTTCAGCTCCACGTGGGAGCTGTCGTTTGATTTGACTGTGCATGATGTGAAGGGAATAAGGCACATACATACAAAAGTATGATGTGCAAACTTTCCTTGAACGACACTGATCGTTCTAAAGAGAGAGCAACCCCATGAAGATGGCGGTGCTTCTCAAATCCAGAACACATACTTCTTTGGCTGGGGGAACCCCGTAAGCGATATCCCAAAGAGAGAGCATAACTGGCATTGAGCTATCTCTCCGGTCCGCTTCAGCTCCACGTGGGAGCTGTCGTTTGTTTTGACTGTGTATGTGAAAAACGGCAAACATACTGGCCTTCAACAAGTATGTGCAAACCTTCCCTGAAAGATGCTGATCCTTAAACGAGTGCCACCGGTGATGGGGCCTCTGCTACAACGCGTATATGAAAGTATAGTTGGAGTGTGACTGTAGCATCTGGGAAGTTTGCGTCAATAGCCTGTACGCATAACGTTCTGTGAACGATGCGGAAAAGAGAGCAACCGCATATGACGGTGCCTCTGCTGCAACACGAATATGAAATTTTAGTTGCAGTGGGCAAGATCATATACACAACAATCAATCAATCAATCAATCAATCACACCGCGGAATTAGGAAGGATCCAGATTCTGAATCGAAGCATCAATAGGACTAGGATTATTATTTCAAAGACAATTTGTATTCTCAAAATTGTTCTAATAGGTATATATGTGTAGTATATTTCAGCAACTAAAAGTGCTCGTTAGTTGCAAAATGCCTTGTTGCAACTTGGCATCACTCGAGATGGTTTGCAAAATATTGGCATTGCTTAGTTCAAACAATCGTAGGAGCAGATCATCCGACGATTCTTCGGCAGGTAGATTGTAGGTAACAAATTGAACCGCTTGCATGGTTTGATTGATTCTATTATTGGATCGGACCATTTGATCGAGCACAGTACTGTAACTTTGTTGTTCTTCTTGTTCTTGTTGTTGATGTGGTTTTAGTTCCGCACTCTTTGTTGTTTGTTGTGGCTGGGTTTGTGCGGTTTGTTCCTCCTTTTTTCGTTGGCGCTTGGCCTTGGCACTGGACTTGTATTGCGAATGCAATTGTTCGCGCAAGGATTGGCCGACCTTTTCACGAGCCAAATGGTCTCCCACTTCGTACCAGATGCCGTCATTTAGTTCCTTGACAAAGCCTCCGCCGCCACCACAGGCTTGTTCGCGGACCCAATGGACCACCGAAGTCACCACCATGGATTTTCCAACCGTGAAGTGGCAGTTTTATAGAGTGGCGTAGATTCTTCAATATTTTGGCGGAATCGTCGATTGCCAATGTGATTCTTGGCTTCTTTGCCTCGGGCGCAGATGACATCAAAGTCACCTGGACGGAAGTGGGCATCAAGTTTGGTCATGTCATCCGAGTTTTTCAGTCCTCCTTTCTTTTGTGACGATACCATTGTTGCTGAGAGAGATGATACAAAGTGTATATATCGGATTTATTGTGTGAGAACATCTCTTGACCAACACACAAACGAAAGTGTGACTTGTGAATCTTCAAATGTTGTCTGGTACTTTTGTCTGCTAACAACTATCGTCGATCGTTGGGAACTGCGACTGCCCAAATACGTCCATTAACTAATTCGACAGCACTGCGACATGCGACACGGGAAACAGATGGAAACAGGCGGGAATGACGAGCTCCCAGGATTGATTGATTCTTTCAATATTGAATACTCTGTCCTTCGTCCGGCATTTTGGAAATCTGATGATATGGATGTGCGATGACAATATATATAATTCGAGCAGGAGCTGTTGTCGTTGTTGCTGCGCCTCAAGCTGCATAGTACAGCCGCATCTATAGCAATACGCGACAATGCAAACGACGAATCAAGGTAACGATGATGGCCAAGTCGATTTTATACCATCTCCTACGTTTCAGGGAGCAAAACCGGGGTTTTACTTTGGAACCAGTGGCAATGGCACTGGCTACTACCTCGATCGGCTAGATCAAGCACGAGAAGTAGTAGCCGGCAAGAAACGAAAACGTGCGGTCCGGATCGCCGAAGAGCAGAATGAAACCAAACTGATTCCTAATCTGCTGGAACAAGCGGAGAAGGATGCTGCTGGAAGTACCGTCTTGGAGCTGACACCCAAAGGAATCCAATCCGCCACCAAAGCCTTGTCCAAGATTGCCCAACAAAATGCCATGCAACGCGCTCAATTTGCAAACGAACCGCGACAATATATGAACAGCGAATTGGCATTGTACGAACAATTGACAGCATTACAGGCCGTCGCTGCCAACATACATTTATATCAGCATCTAATCGACAACCAAGCTCTGATAGAAACCTTGACCGAGTTATTGGGTCACGACAACTCGGACGTTTCAGCGGCAACAGTGGGTCTCTTTTTAGAATGGATTGATCCTTCTTTACTGTCATCCACCGACGTTTCCATGGTTACTATATTTCCAGTCATGAAAGCTCTGGCATCCCAAGTCCTTCATGAAGCATGGGAAGCCATTGCTGCGAACCTGTCCAAATCTAGGCAAAGCGAAGAAGAAGAAGATGATCCAAACAATGCCAGTGCTGACAATGACGATAAGGAGTCATCCCTTGATGGAGTACAGAATTCTCTTTCGCTCATGGAAAATTTGTTGGAATTGGACTTGATGTTTCCGAAGGGTCTTCTTGGGACGGAGGAGGAGGAGAATGATGATGATGATGATGACAAAGATAAGGAGGCTACTAGTAGCCTTTCGGCTGCCGCCTACATGGTAAAGCATTCCAACATACTTTCGTGGCTCTTCCATCACCTTGATACGAAAGAATCCTCTATCGAACTCAAGGCGAGATGTGTTGAGATTTTGTCGTTGTTGTCGCAAAAGGAAGATATCTTTACCATTCATCCAGATTGGACGCAAATCCCATTGTTGACAGAAGCAGAAGGAGAAAGTCAATCATCATCCAAAAGTGCTGCTAGTACTAAAAAGACCATCAATGGCATTGAGGTGTTACTTCAAACGATTGGTAAACACAGAAAGAAGCAACCGGAAAGCGATCAACAGGTGGAAATCTTGGAGAACACTTGTGGTACGTACGTGAAAGTACAGTAGTATCGTATTCATTTGACCAATGAAATGACTCTCCACATATATTAATTCTCACCCCTTACAATTATCTTTTCTTTTCAAAGCTCTATTGAGTTCCTGTATTTCCTTTTCCACTCTGAATTTAGAAGGTTTCCTCGAAGGTCAAGGCATCGAACTGGTACTGCGTTGCTTGAAGGAGCGAGTCCATGCGGGTGGATCGTCCTTGAAATTGCTGGATTTTTTTGGTACCTTGCCCATCCACAAAAAGGCCTGCGAATCCTTGATCAAGGCGGGTGGATTGAAATACCTCTTTCCCTTGCTACTGGGTACCCGCATACCGAATCCAACGGATGCAAAAGTCGGTACTACAACACTATCGGTCAAGGCCAAGAAAGAGTGGTATCAGTCCATCCAAACCCAAGTCATTCGAATATTGTATTCGATCAGTCGGTATATTGATGACGACTCTCCCGAGGATGCCAAGGTTCGATTTGTCTCGAAATTTGCAGCCGACGAGCGAAAATGCGATCGTCTCGTGGAACTATTGTTGCACTATGATCAAAAGATGCGGACGGCCGAATACAACTTTTATCTGCATTCTCCGGATGATGAAGAAGAAGAAGAAGATCAAGAATTTGTGCAATTGGCGGCCATGGATGCCAAACTCCAAGGCGGTGGGGAATTGTTCCATCGGCTGGGAGCGACGACGGCCTTTGTGTGTTTGCATTCCAAAAAATGCCACGCCCGCATCTTGGAACAACTCCAATTGCAACGATCGGGAATGGGATTGATACTCAGCGCGTTGAACGAATTCGCATCCGTGTTGGGAGAGGGTACCCAAAAGGATCAAATACAGTCCCTGAAGGCAAAGCTAGTACACTAGAAGTAGTAGAAGTAGTAGTAGAAGTAGTATGGATGTACAATAATAAATAGCAAGTCCACCAATACTGTTTTTCAATTTCAAAAAGCCATTCGGTAGGATATATTCATATACTGCAGTTCTATTCCAATAGTCCTATGCATGCAATGGTATTAAAATATAAGATTAATATTAATATGAATCCCTTTTTTAAAAGACAACAGTGTCCAACATGGTTCCCAAACATTGCACAATGTTGGAACTCATTAGATCGGCAACAGAAGTCTCCAAGTGACGTTTGGGATCAACCTTTCCCACATTGTCCACTAGAATTTGCGCCGTAGTCTTCCCCTCTTCCTCTTTTACTCGTTCGTTGTAATCCTTGGTGAGCTGCAACATTTTCTGAACATGCTCCTCATTGGATTGCTGATGATTTTCAAATTTCTCCAAGGACAAACCAGTCGTCCAATTGCGCTTGTGCAAATTCATGAGCATTTGTTCCTCCAGTTCATTCTTGCGATAATCAATGACGATGGAATAATAGTGACGATTCAATCCATGAATGAGCGCCTGAATGGATGGCTTTTGCAAGTGTCCAATGTTGCTGGTAGTTTGACGTGGTTCTTGGCCCAACATCATGAGTTGCGGGTTGATCAAACGAAAGCAGTCAATGACCACCTTGCCCTTGACGGACTGAATGGGATCTACGACGACAGCGACGGCCCGACTATTGAGGGCTTCAAAGGAGGATTGCGTGTTGATATCCGTGGACGAAAGCCAGCAGCCAAATCCTGGATGGGAGTGATACCAACCCACCACCATTTCGGGTCGGCCCGTCTGCTTGAGCATGTCCAACATTTTGGTTTGAAAGACGTGGTCCACGGATTCGACACTCACAGTGGTTCCGGACTGCGGCATGGCAAAGACGTCCACGCAGTTGATGGTGTAATCGTCCACGAATTGACCCAGCATGAGGCCCATCACTTCCATTGGAACACCGGCACGCCCATGTTTGAGCATCTTCAATAACGCCAGGGAGGAAATATGAACCTTCTCGGCACAATCTGGAGTGGGTGCATCTGATCCAGCACCTCCGCCTAGACCTCCTGGTCCCATTCCTCGCATTAGTTGTTGCAATCGTTCCATGGTGTTTGATCTACAATATGTATTCAATAGCGTAGAAGTAGTATTATATTTTTTTTGTTGTATTGTTGTTTCTCCAATGTTTTTTTTTGGAGGATCACCGAAACGCACCGAACGTCCAACCAAAATCCTTCATTTCCCCCAAAGAAGGTAATCCATCCCAACTTTGGAGGATTTGATTTGAATCGAATTTGTCACTAAATTAGTCTCGATTTGGCTCAAAAGTACAAAAATCATCCCGCTCCCTTTGATGTCCAAAGATGAAGTCGAATGGGTCGAACTGATGCCAGATTTGGATTATATTTTATTTGCATCGCATCAAAGTAACTGCCATAATAAATCCTACTCTATCATCGCATCTTTGCAATAATATAACAAAAGGATAGCTACGAAAACCAATCATGATGAAACCACCATGAAGTCTTCCACTTTTCCAAATGTAACAGCAAGGCCTTCAGCATTATTCTATTTGATTCTATTTCTTGGAACACCATGCGTAATGGTGAATGGCTCATCTGCACACCAAGTCGACAATAACATTCAACAACAACAACAACAACAACTAACTTGGCATCTCTGTCCTGCACCCAAAAGTAATTCTCAGAGACAAGAAATTGGTGAATTGTTGTCCAAACTTGGTCCATCCTTCAACAGTGATAATGACTGTTTGCCAGCAACGGTACCCTCGACTGTCTTGTCCATATTGTTGGACAATGGCGTGTACAATACGAATAATAAGAATACGAATAATGATCATGATGATGCCCGCACCAAAAACAACAACAATAAGGATGCTATTTATTACGAAACTGCCTTGCAATCCATTCCGGATATTTACGACACGGGAGCTGACAGGTGGACCTATTATTACGTTGCCGAATTTCAAGTGTTGTTAGACGACAATAACAACAACAACAAGGTCAACAACAGCAAGTACAACTTGTTGGAATTAAGATCCATCAATTACAAGGCCGAATTGTGGTTGGATGGACACAAGATGCCGGTTCCGTATTCTCCACAATTTCCACAGGTTCCCGATACATCAAACAAGAAGTCCGTTAGTGTTCAAGGCATGTTTCAGCGATTTCAGTTTCCATTGGGCAAATTAGTAGAATCAGCGCGACGAACGGAGGATGATTCTAATACTACCAATACTACTGCTGCTACTGCTGCTGCTGTCATTCATCGCTTGGTCATATTGGTACATCCGCCACCGCATCCTGGAACACCTGGTGGTGGTGGACAAGGAGGTGCGACTCATGAATTGGCCCAAGATGGACCCATCTCGCAATTCACGGCCGGTTGGGATTGGATTCAAGCCACACCCGATCGGAATACAGGTCTTTGGGATGCTGTCACCATACAGCAAACGGGACGACTCCATTTAAAAGATCCCGTTTGCAAGGTCCACAATCTAAAAGTTTTAGAACGACAGGCCGATTTGGAATTTGAAGTGTCCATGGATTGTTGGGAGGTACTCGATGATGATGATGAGGATGATTCCAAATCATCATCCATTACGATCCTTCAACTCGAATATCATGTGGTGAGCAGCAGAAGCAGCAGTACTTTGGACAAGAAGAATCATGGACAAGCAATCAAAAGATATTTGACATTGGATCCCAATGCAGCCTGCCAAAAAGGCTTACCAGCAGCCGCCACATATAAGTTTCCAGTAGAACGATTGGAGAATGCACAGCTTTGGTATCCTCATACACATGGTAATCCAACATTGTATCAAGCCACGATTCGAGTGGGGACCTTTCCAGCAGACGATATGGAATTCTCCAAGAAGGATAATGATGATGATATCGATTCTTATGATGATTACAACTGGGACGATCAAATCACCTTTTCGTTTGGAATTCGCAAGGTTGATTTTTCAGTCAATAATAGTACAAAGCTAAATGGATTGCAATCTACTATCAACAACAAACGAGTCTTTTTGCAAGGGGGCAATTGGATTGCGACCGACCAGCTCATGCGATTTGTTGGAGATAAGGGACGCTACGAGGCGGAAATTGCCTTGCACAAGGCCATGGGATTCAACATGATTCGCGTGTGGGGTGGTGGCATTACGGAACGGCCCGAATTCTTTGAGGTCTGTGATCGACTGGGAATACTGGTATTGTCCGATTTGTGGATGTCGGGTGACAACAATGGACGATGGGCAGGATCTTATTCGTGGCCATTGGATCACTCTCTCTATCTAAGTGCCATTCAAGATACCTTTCTCATGCTTCGGAATCATCCATCTCTGGTCATGTACAGCGTCGGGAACGAATTGTATCCCATTGACAAGAACCCACCTCCTGATATTCTGACTGGAATCCAACGAGCACTCCAACAAATCGATCCGCATACCTTTTTGATTGCTTCCACAATGACCAATTGGACCGACTTTGACCCAAAGCAATCCTTGTGTCCCAAAGATGGTCCGTATGGAGTAATGGAAGAAGCCTTCTACTACGAACGAAACCCAGGCCTTTATGATTGGAAGGACCATGAACATTATCGGTTGTTGGAAGTTCCCATTGCTTTTCAACCCGAAATTGGAAGCGCTTCCTTTCCGACCCTGGCATCCCTTTCTCGGTTCATGAGTCCCGATAGTAGGAACGCCATTCCGGGATATCAAGATTCGAATGTACATCCAACATGGCAATATCACAACTTTTTGGGATTCACCAGTCACCGAAATCCATATGCCAAAGATCCAGCCGATGATTTGAAAGTGGATTTGATTTACCAGTATGGCGCCCCAGCCAACATGTGAGTAGCCGAGCTGACTCACTCTGTCATTGGATTTTTCAAAATGAATCTCTCTCTCACACACAATAATTCGGTATCTTCATTGCAGTTCGGAATACACCATTAGAGCCCAGTTGGTTCAATTCACTCAGTTCCGGACATTGTTTGAGTCCTTTCGACTCAAAATGTTTGATTGGTATACGGCAGTCCTCTTTTGGAAATCCCAGTCTCCGTGGCCATCGCTCCGAGGAGGATTGTACGATTGGTTCTTGGGCATGACGGGTGGTTACTATGGCGTCCGTGCCGCATTGTCAGGGACCCAGAGTGCTTCTGTTGGGGATACCAATATTCAGAGCTGGGTACATGCCCAAATGAACCTCATGGATCACTCGATTGCGGTAATATCTTCACCCAATACACCAAACAAGAATCACGGTATGGTTTGTGTCCAAGTACAAGCCTACATTCTTGCCGGTTGCCAGTCGGGTCGGCTCTTGTACTCGAATCGAATGTGTGCGCCCGTGGTCAAATCAAACGAGGGTGCTGTGATCCAAATCCCCAACAGCACTCTTCCCTTTGTGGGCGACAACAACGACGACGACGGTGGTGGTGGCGGTGGTGGTGGTGGCGTCACCTTGTACCGCATCACCACCACGGATGGCACTACTCCTGCTGCTGCTGCTGGTACTAGTAATAGCATTTCCGAATATTGGCTGAGCAATTGGACGTCACCGTCTACCACCGCCAATGAGAAGGTAGTTCCCGCCGTCCAAGACCTTTCGTCACTTGGGGAATGGCGTGAGGATACTTCACATCATGTTACATTGGATGTATCGGCCATGTATTGTGGATATTGTGGTGGTCGTGACGGCGACGATAATAATGATCAAAGACTGCCATCGCAATCCTCCTCCATCTGCCAAGCCGCTGGTTGCTCTCATTCCGAGATTGCTGTGAGCCTGACTAATCCTTTATCAATGCCACTGACAAAAATGGAAGAATCGTTGACGTATTGTGGGAAGGAGGCGATTGCTTTTGCCGTCTGGACTGAATTGCACAGTACTAGTACTCCTGAGACAGAATCTTCAAGTAGCACCACGAATGATACGAGAATATTACCTACCCTCTACAGCAATGGATTATTCTCCATTCTTCGGAATGAAACGAGATATGTCTGCATGGATCCAAGCCTTGGGCAAAATGGCAATTCGGAGATATCCAAGTTGCAAGTTCATGTCTCAGGCTGGAATGTCCACGACGTGATTGTTCCCGTCCAAGAAACGCTAGCTAAGAATAATATAAGAATATGTTGATTCACGAGGGGCATTTCATCTTCACCGTTATATATACTTTTTACCACCCATACTACCGACACACATGAATTCTACTCTGGGCAATCATCATTTTCCACTTTCTAGCCGCCCAATTTGTTTGCCTTTTGGAGACCAAGTTGTTTCTTAACTTTCCATAGAAACATGGTTGAATTTTTGGCCCATGGCAAACCAAATTGCGTCGCCAGCATGGGTGTCATGGCCACTCCGTCCGTCTTACCAATGGTAGCGACATAGATTTCGGTTGAGACTTGTGCCTTTTTGAGGACAACATGTTGTTCTTCTCTGCGTTCAATGGCATCCAAGGTTCGCTTAAGGTTCTTGGCGAGAATATAACTGGCTTCCATGGCTTGATTACCAGTATTGGGCAATAAATCGCAACAGTCTCCCATGGCAAAGAGTCTTCCTTCCGCACCTTCCACTTGGAAATATTCGTCCACTTTGATCCAACCATCTGCTGTCAAGTGAGCCCGGTTCATGAAATGATTGCAAGGTCTGATGCCTGTGGCCCAGATGACCTCATTGACCTGCAAGTAGTCGCCCGATTTGGATAAGCGAACGTTTCCATCTTCTTGTTCAATTGCTTCTTCATCCAGAATGACTTCCACCCCCATCTCAGTCAGTTTCTCCAAGACCATGTCTCCGGCACTGGGGGTAAATTCCGGAATTAGAAATTCTTCATTGTGAATGAGCGCAATCTGCAAAGGCCGTCCCTGCTTTTTGCTGTAAAAGGCCAAATCACCCGCCATTTCCACGCCAATCAATCCACCCCCAATGATCGCGACGCTTCCACAATCGAGCAATCGACGTCCCCAATGTTGCATCTGACCCAATCTATGTCTCAACCGACCTTGTCCACGACCATTGGGATTGGGAGGTCCTTTGGAGAATCCCGCAAAGGGTGTGACACTTCCAGTGCATATGACACACAAGGTGAATTCAATGTATTGACCATCACTGATGAGAACTTCGGTATCGGTGAGCTGGGTCACCCAATCTTGGACGTGCACCACGGATTTGGAAATGGCCCATTTGTTGATACTGAAAGTACTTTTTTGGGCCATTTCTCCGTCAAACAAGGATCGGACACCGCACCAATGGACTTCCAAATACTCCTTGGGTTCCACCAAAATGATTTCCACATTTTTATCCAGTTTGCGCAAATGTTTGCAGGTGGAAAGACCGGCAATGCCACCTCCAATGACAACTACTTTCATGGTATGTTATATTATTCTTGTTGTGTTATGTTATGTTATGTTTTGTAGTGTATATCAAGTGCGTGTTGATAGTAGCAATAATGATAGCAATAGCAATAACAGCAATATATTTTAAGACTGAACCTGAAAAATCTTGCCAGATCGCATGATGACGATTTGGTCATTTGGGTCATAGATTTGTGCTAAAAGTTCGACTCATTTGACTCCACGCGGCATTGCCATTCATCTTGCACATCTTCTGAATATTCTGATCGATTCATTCAGCAATCATCTGTACGAACCAACCCAATGTTTACAACGCATCCAATCTCTTGATGATTCCAACAAATGCAGGTAGGTTCTGAGAATATCCTTGTCGTCATGATGATGATTATGATCATCATGATATATATACACACGCGTGTCGCGAAAGGGTGCTGGTCAAATAGAATCACTACAGAACCTGATACTACTGCGCAAGATCAATCCTTTTTCAAGTGTGTCCTACATTGGAAACCAAGCTCCTTTTTGTTTTTTTTCCATGGCGTGTGTCTTTTTCCGTTGGTCGAGTGACATTCCACTGCAGTCTCTTTCTCTTGGGTTTTTGTTTTCTATTGGAGGCCGCTATTATTCTGTATTGTTGACGTATGGCTTGCCATTATAAATATATATATATATATACATGTATATATGCTGAAGTGTCTCATTACGAGACGAACAGAAATAATACTAGCCCTTTGCAATATGTATCGCATATTGTGAAGACTGGCTCATGGGAGCCGGGTCAAAGCCGTTGAAAAGAGTCCTGCCTTGCAAACGAATAAATATGTGGCTTCTTTTTGGAATTCAGGGTCCGAGGAGGATGAGGCTGTGGTGACAATGGAGGATCTCGACGAAAGGGAGTCATGAGTTATGGGAAGACTTTTTGTTGTTTGCTTCTATGGATGACATTTGGAAAAGGAACCGTGGCTACTAACACAGTCGGTGAGAGGCACCTACGACTGCAATCAAGGCCACACACAAACACACACATACATGGGTTTTTGTGCATGAATTATCGATTATTTTCTTGTCGTTATTATTATGCTCACCCATCCCTGCTTTCTGTTTCTTTCGCTTTCGACAAACAGACAGTATAGCAACACCAGGAGTTCATATTGTCTTTCATTATGACGGCAAAGATCGAACAGAAGTGCCAGATGATGCAACTCATGTCATTGTCAAGTCTACCTTGGTGGCCAATTCAAATCCAGATCATCCAGCAAGACTGGTCATGGATGCCTTTGTGGAATGCCCCAATTTACAGTCGGTAGTATTGCCCGAAGGCCTACGCCAAATTGGGCAGAATGCTTTCTACAATTGTCCTGTACTGAAAACGATTCACCTTCCATCATCATTGGAAGAGATTCACGACAATGCCTTTTCATTCTGTTTTCAGCTGACTAATCTTTGGTTCACATCATCTCTTCAAATGATTGGAGAAAATGCCTTTTTTGAGTGTTCCAAACTCAAATCGTTGGATCTCTCGGCTTGTGTCCAATTGCGAGTGATTGCCGAATGTGCCTTTCAACGCTGTATTCGAATGGCCATTGCATTTCTACCAGAAGGCTTGCAGAGAATTGGAAAGCAAGCCTTTTCGTCCTGTATTGCGCTCCAAAAGATCATCCTACCCGATACTGTGGAATCGGTTGGGGAACAAGCCTTTGCGGATTGTTCCTGTCTTTCACATTTATTGCTATCACAGTCTATGGACTCGATTAAGGAAGCTACCTTTTGTGGTTGTGACGCTTTGACCAAAGTCATCATTCCACGAAATGTCAGCATTATTGAAATGGATGCCTTTGCGCATTGTGACCAATTGGAACGAGTCAAGTTTGTGGAAGGCAACAAGCTCACTATTCTAGGGGAATCTGCCTTTGTGTCTTGTCAATCGCTACGGCATATTTGCGCACCATCCAATCTACGTCAAATTGGAAGTTTTTGCTTTGCCAATTGCAACAATCTAGTATCGGTGGAATTGCCACGGTGTCTAGAACAAGTGGGGGAAGAGGCCTTTTCGCACTGTTCAACGTTGAGAAATATTTACTTTTCTACTTCTTCCGTCCACTTTGAAGGGCCTTGTCTAAACCATTGCACGCTACTCGAGGAAAAATGTCCAGACGAGGTGGGTCGTTTTCTCTTTGGAGACCGGTTTCAGGGATTGCCAATGCACAAGATGGCCTACCTTGCAGCGCATGAAAATCATGATTCCCTTGTTCAGATGGGTGGTGGTAGCGCACTATTCTTGGAAAACGAAGAATCTAGTGTGGACATACTGGGAATGACACCATTTCACATCCTGGCGCTTTCCGAACGGCCCAATCAAGCAGTATTTGAATACATTTTGCAAACACTCCCCAATTCGTCTTTAATTATTTGCGAAAAGGACGATTTCGGTTACACTCCGATGGAACTTTTGTGTTCTCATCCTTACTTTGATGAATCCAAGGCAAAGGTTCTGTTGAATCATTGCATCGAAATCACGGTCATGGAACGCATTCGATGGTTAGGTTTGCCAGCTTGGCGAATGCTTCTCTTTCTTCACATTGACGATTTATTTGATGGCCAGCAGCAGCAAGGAATGCAACGAAGGCTGGGAGACGAATCGGGGCAAGTCAATTCTTCTATTAGAGTGTGCAAGTTGCATCGATTATTCGAAGCGCTATCTAAGTATGAATTGCTCGAATCTACTTCCCTGTTGGAAATGGCGTTGTGGAAAATGCATTTGGAACAACTGCAGCCTTCTCCTGGTGATACTCCAACTGTATCCGTGGAAGCGTCTGGTACAATGCCTGCCATGTCGTTTCTACGGCTAACAAGTCGGATTCAATGCAAGGCAGATATTGTGTTGCCGAACATATTACTGTTTCTTGTCAAAAACACGGGACTGTGAGATGATAGAGATGAGATATAAGGACTGATTCCAAAATGAATTGAAACCTTCTACGGGTACAGATCTAGACGCAAATACATGCAGTCGCTTGAAAAGATTATTTCGGTGCGCGATTGCGAGATGATATGCCTCGTTTGCTGCTTTGACAACATACCAACATCATTGACATGCAAGTATCCATCGGGAAGAAGACTATCAAATTGCTCTCCTGCAAGCCAATCGAAGAGCTGAACGATTATGATGTTCGATTTGGAAAAGGCAAGGGCACCTATAATTCAAAAGGGAATAGACACATGCTGGAATTAACATCGCGCTATTATCCGGATGTTTCGAACAGCCGTCTCAAAATGCAGCTTTGTAAGACGATTGTGGAACAAATTCGAAGCGAAGGAGGACGCTTTGTTGTTCAATGGAAAGGAAAATGGTACGAAGTCATGGAAAAAGAAGCCATTGCCAAAGTCGAACAACAGTTTCGAAACCGAAAGAACAAAGCTCCAAAGACTACTGGTTCTACCAGATCCATCACCAGGACCAGATCTACTACCCCCACAGCCAGAATCAGCGAGCCAAACTTACACATGCCTTTACTTTCCAGCACCAACCCGCAAAGCTTGGCATTCTCATATTTGCACAGTGAAACAAACACTTTTGGTTCGACAAGACCTACAGCCGCAGCCAGTGTTAGTGAGGCAAACCTCAACTTTCCGTACACTCCCAGTAGCAACCATCAAATATGCGCAATCCAAAGTTTGCAGAGCGCCATGCTGTCCGTCCTGAACGAGATTGACTCCATTCCACCAGCAGGGCATTCTCGACCCAGTCGCGCAGAAAGGGAAGACCAACTTCTCAAAGATGAAAGAGTACGCAGAGCCACGTTGGAAATGGCTTATTCCTTGCCATTAGGCAGGAACAATGTCGTTTCTCCAAGCATTGCTAGCGGACCAGCAGCTCCCGCCGTTCGTGCCCCTTCAGCTGCCAGTATCTGTCTAGTTGCGGCCAATCCAGAGTTTCACACCAGCTCGAGCCATTCAAGTGTCATCTCGAGCCAAACGGATGCTTCTTTTGGTAGCTTTGGCTTGTACGAAGTATAAGGATTTCAGCTGAAGGCTGCCGTCTGCAGCAACCCAAAGTAGTGTGAATGGCTTCAATAGGATCTTGGATGGCACTCTAGGAACCAGCGATGATAATAAAAATATCTTTCGATTATAAGTCAAGAAATTAATCATCGTTTCTGTTATCATACCACGTCAATAACGACCGAAGCATTGTTCATTGATTGATTCTTTTGTTTCATCTATTCTCAATTCAATGATGTCATCATGATATACCTCAACAACAATTTACCGTACGAGTACTGTTTGATTGGAACGATCATGTCGATATCCAAGAATGAGTCTTCCGCTGCTACGAACGGACGAAGGCGATTCGTGCAGCAGACGCGTAGATTTCAAGTCTGTTCTTATGGTGGCAAACTCTGTTAGAACGAACTCGCCAAGTAGGACCGACCTACTGTACCGGTAGGCATGTATAGAGGGCGATGAGCAGGACGCTGCAAAGAGTTCAGAAAGATGGAGGGTTCTGTTCGGGATATCCAAGACCCAATAATATGTAAAAAATGCACAGCGACTTTTGAATTATTATCTGGACAGAAACTTTATTACCTTCGTCTGTTCACAACGGCAGCATAGGGGCCACATTCGTCGAATTTATTTCACAAAGTTCGGATCATTGTTTTATGTTATTATGGATGCGCTTGGAGTGACAGTGAATGACAGCGACTGACAATAGGAAATTGTGCTGGTTGTAAAGAGATTTCGTGCTCATACAATATTCTCGATAGGACTATATGAACGGTATTTTAAAATATATAGTGACGTGAAATACCAAGCTACTAACACCTGACATGTGCTCTTCGTCTTCTTCCATTCTCGACAAGACTAACAGTACTGACGTGAAATACCAAGCTGCAATCACCTGTCTTCTCACAAATTTCCGCAAAAACTCAAATCATGCTGAATATCAATCACAACAACTTCCCTCTTGCAATGGACAACAAGCTACGCCTGACAGGATGCTCTGATCCAAACTTCCAACGGGACGGTTGCCGCTGGGTCGATCCATTTCCACTCACTCATTCAAAGAATTTGAGCTATCGAGATGATAAAGAGTTCGATTTGGGATCCCTTCTCAACTATGTGCCGTCCTCGGCAATAGTTGATCATCCGACGGAGAAGAAATCTTTTCACGAGAACAGGCTCAAGCGGCCCATCATACAGTTCGAAGACAACTACGAGACCGACACCAGAGCGCCTCGTTTCAAACGTCATCGTACATGCGATGATATGGTAATCAGTGCTGCTGATGTGATCCCAGATGTGGGAGTCAGTTCTGCGGATGTTTTCCCAGATGTGGAAATCAGTGCCGCTGATGTCTTCCCAGATGTGTCAACAAGTGCTGCTCCTGTGACACCACAGGTGCAGGAATACCCCCGTTTTCGAGATTATCAAGAGAATCAGTGGCAGAAGCAATTCCAGGCTCTTCTTGAGTTCAAACAGAAGCATGGACATTGCTGCGTTCCCAACAAACACAATGAAAATCCGGTTCTAGGAAGATGGGTAAGTTCAGAAGTTTATTTATCTTAAGCATTATCAGATGACAGCCAGCCACTCACACTTCATTATTTTACATCAGGTCAAGAGACAAAGATATCAACACAAACTGCTCCAGCAGGGTAAGAAATCCACGCTGGTCCCTCATCGTGTCAAAGCATTGGAAGATGCTGGCTTCATCTGGGATTCTCATTCTGCTCTATGGGAAGAGCGACTGAATGAACTGAAAGCTTATCGTCGAGTCCACGGCCACAGCAATGTACCATCGACTTTCACTGCAAATGCACAGCTATCGACTTGGGTAAAATGCCAGCGCCGGCAGTACAGGTTATTCTTAGATGGCGAACCTTCCTCCAACCTGACACTTGAACGCATATCCGCATTGAACCAGATCGGCTTTCAATGGTGTGGACGGCTGATCAGAAGGAAAAGTCCAAGACCCAATTTCTAAAAAAAACGGTGACGTAACAACTGACATTCATCGTTATCCTGTTACACCGGTCCCGTTTGATCCCGTCGGCGTAACACAAAGGTCCCATTAGACACAAAGGCTGCCGTTTGTTTTTCATTTTCTGACTGACTGACTGACTCACTCATGCTGACGGCAACACCCGCCATCGGCATGAGAGAAGGCAACAACAACTGACTGAGCAGCACTTCAAATTACGGCCATGTCAAAAGCACTTCATGATGCAATAGACAATAGATACATTTTTTCAAATACTAGATTCATATTCTTGATATGCATACCTGCTTGGAAGTGTGTACTGTAGCTCGATTCTATAGCTTGCAGCACTATTAGTACTGCCACTTGCTGGTGCTGCATGCGGCACCACTTGTACCGCATTATTCCATTCCACTTCGCCACTTGTACGTGTACGACCACTACGACCACCTTAATTCATCTTAGACTAAAAGTCGTCACAAAGCGGGTCCGTTAGATCCCGGAAGTCGGCATACCATCAGCAGACGCAACGTAAGGGTGACGTCTGTTTGAAGTTTCTGTCATCCTGGTACAGTCGTAATCCCCACCTACCGGTACGATACAACTGACTGAGCGAGTGACTTAGCGACTCACTCTGCTGTCAATACCTGGTACTATTTCCCAAGGAACGTTCGTCGGGAAATGCACACTACCGGGTACTAGCCAGGTACCAACCAGTACACAAGCAGCAGCACCCTCAACATGATGAAATACAAGATAATATCTTGTTTTTATTCATATTCATAGCTACCTGCCAGTGTGAAAAATCGCGGTACTAGTATCTACTATTACTGCTGATAGGTTGGAACATACCTTCGTTATTGAGTCAGCCGCAGTACAGTAGATAACCGTGACTGTGAGCTGTGACTGCTCTGTGCACGATGACAGGGCTTGAGCGGTCCTTACAAGGCAATGCCTTCACCGGTACCCCAATAACACGCTACGTGACGCTCCTCGGATTATTCACCTGGTGCCTGTTCGAGTAGTAGAAAAAGGACTTTCAAATTTTCGCTTTGATGGAGTCGCGAGGGGTCCCATTCGTTGTCCAAATCTTCTCTTGCTTTCAACTTGTTTCTTTTGCCAATGAATCTGATAAATTTGCAGCTTGTAGGTTTTCCCGATATTTTTTGTCCACCGCGCGCAACCTGAAACATATCGTTGAGCTCTTGTTCTTTCTTTCACCAAAAGAACTTTTTAGGTGACGTAAACCAATAATTAATTAGTGTAAGGAAACCAATACGAGTAAGTAAAAAACCACCTTCGCGGGAAAACTGTCGCATTTAGAGAAATGAGGGGTCCCGTTCGTCGAAATGTTCTCCTTTGTTGCAGCTGTTCGAGATCGGCTGTGAGCAGATAAAGCGTTTCGACTTACAACTCCCGTATAGCTGTGGTAGAAAATAAGACGAACCGCTCGTGGGAGTATTGTTTCCACATTCCCTGCAAGTGACGTAACCCACAATTGCAAACAAACTGACGACAACCTTCGTCAAGCCACAACTTATTCCCACAATATCAAGTCAAGCGTGATGAACACCACAAACGGTTTCCTTGCTGGATTCGACAACCGGCTATGCACGGCAGGACACTCTAATCAAAAGCGGTCACAGGAAGAGGAACTTAGCAACATGGATCCGTATCCACTCGTTGAGGCACCATTCACCATGACCACTCGAGATCCCTTTGAGGGTGATCTAGGATTCCTTCTAGATTTCATGCCGTCCTCACCACTCTTTGATTCGAGTGGAATGGATTCTAATAAAGAACAGGTGCTGAAAGGGTCCATTGGGCACGATGAATACAAAGACGAGACTTGTGCTGGTTTCAAAAGAAACTACCAAGTGTTTGATTCCACTGAAACGGAATCTAATCAAGAGCACAGCCCGAAAAGGCGCATGGAACACGACGCAGGGTTTTACCAGACCGACAGCAGAGCGCCTTCCCTTAAGCGAAGTCGTAAAGGCGAAGGTGCGGAAAGCAGTGCTCCCGCCGGTGATGCGAGTCCAATTGCTCAAGAAGCACTTCCCCGTTTTCGAGACTACCAAGAGACTCAGTGGCAGGAGCACTTTCGTGGTCTTCTTGAGTTCAAACAGAAGCATGGGCATTGCTGCGTTCCAAATAAACTCAACGAGAATCCGATTCTTGGAAGATGGGTAAGGTTACAATTTGATCTTTCGATACATCATCAAACTGCAGCCACTGACAGATCACTTTTGTACATCAGGTTAAGAGACAAAGGCATCAACACAAACTACTAAAACAGGGCCACAAATCAACGCTGATCCCTCACCGCGTCAAAGCGTTGGAAGATGCTGGATTTATCTGGGATTCCCATGCTGCGCTGTGGGAAGAGAGGCTAAACGAACTAAAAAAGTATCGCCGATTCCATGGCCACTGCAATGTGCCATCGACTTTCTCTCAGAATCCGCAGCTATCAACTTGGGTGAAATGTCAGCGCCGCCAATATAGGCTATACTTTGATCAGAAAGCGTCCTCCAACTTGACGGAAGAGCGCATATCCGCATTGAACCAGCTTGGTTTTAAGTGGGATGGTAGGCTGATTGGGAATAGCAGTGGCAGCAGCAGGGTGCAACAACGCATCACGTATATTTAAGTGACTGCTGCTTTTGATTAAGAATCATGGATACATAGTAATTCTATTTCGTTATAGCAGGCCAGTCCAATGATACTAAATGATAATTCATGTTCTACTGTTTAACTCATCTCTTTTCATATGACTCCAGAAACGCAAAATTAAGCTTTTCGAAAGACGGGACTTAACATATTGTATAGATGAGAGATGAGGCTCGCGTTTGGGAAGCTCACTATATGGGTGCACCTACAGTCTATGAATAAGTCTGTTACATCTGTCGTGTGCATTTGTCTGTATGCAGAGCACGACGCTATTCTGATCGCTCGTTGCATGATGCAGATCAAGACGAAGTTTGATACTGATGAAGGTCTGAACTTCATCCAACAGTATTACATCAATCAAGGACTGAAGAAGTTTGGTGATGATGGAAAAGATGCTGTGGATAAGGAATCGGGACAAATGCTCCTGAGAGATTGTTTTACTCCCGAATTTGTGAAAGACATGACCGCGTCTGAGCAAAAGAAGGCGATAACGATTTACTGGAAGCTGGTAAAGGAAAGTTACTCAATGCTGAGTACCGTCAAATAATAATAATAACTGAGACATTAATCGTTACTATGCTACTCTGTGGGCATTCGATTGCCGGTGAAATCTTTCATACTACTGTTGCAAGGTGACTTTATGTCTCTAAGAGAGCTCGTTTGGATATCCATCCAACGATCACTATTCTTGCCTTGAGAAATCGAGAACTTACAGAGTCTGATTGGAAGAAGTGTGTTCGCATGATGCTATATTTGTTTTGTACATTGTTGTATCACCTGACACTTTCCGCAGAATCACTACGAGTCATGAAATGGATGATCAACGCATCTTTTGCGGTGCATCCAGATTTCAAGAGCCATACTGGTGGCACTCCGTCCTTTGGAGGAGGTGCAGCTCAAGTGATGTCGAAGAAACAAAAACTAAACAACAGAAGCAGTACGGAAGCGGAACTGATTGCTGTTGACGATGTTGTCACGATGATACTATGGACCAAGTTGTTCATCAAGTGGCAAGGGTATCCGATTGAGAAGAATACCTTGTATCAGGATAATAAAAGCACGATTCTACTGGAAGAGAATGGTTGCAAGAGCGCGGGCAAAAGAAGCCAAGCTATCAATATTTGTTATTTCTTTATCACAGATCAAGTTGAGAAAGGAAATGTTAAGATCGAATACTGTCCATCTGACAATATGATTGCAGATTTCATGACTAAACCATTGCAAGGTGAGAAGTTTTGCAAGTTCAGGGATCTGATTCTTGGTCCACAGGACTAGGCAGACAATGCATATGTTCAAAAGAAAATAGAAAACAAAATAAACAGTGAATGAGAGCATGTCCCATTGCTGCCAATGGTGATTGTCACAATGGCAGGAGTGTGTTGGGATACCAGGAACACCCGGCAAATGTTCAGACCGAGTATTTTCGGGACTTATCGCAAATTTCCACGTGGTCGTGCCCGGAGGTATTAATTATATATTTTTAGCTTCGGAAAATCTATGTTATTTCTCCCTTCTTTTAAAAAAAAAGTATTAATGACTTGTTAATTATGTGACGATTTATCAAATAGGGACTTATGGACGCGGATGACCGATTGGTCATTGTGACTTTTTCTGAGTTATAACTCAAATCACAACGGAATCCTGAGTTATAACTCACGGCGTTGAGTTATAACTCAAACGTGTGAGTTATAACTCAAACGTACTCAGAAAAAGTCAGGGGGACGAGTTCTCCAATGGGGGAAGGGCAGCTTCAAGCGATACAACGTATGAAAGTAGCTATGGCCGAAAAGGAGGAGAAAACAAAGCAGGAGGAAGAAGCGTCGATGTCTAAGGACTAGCAAGTAGTAATAAAATTGTATTAGATATGTGTTAAATTATCCTATATCAAAGAGAGGGTGACCGTTATTCATTTGGAATTGGACTGTTCCAACAACTGCAAGGACACATTTTTTATGTTTGTCTCTCGAATATTTGAAAGTGTCGTCAACTTCGCCAGCTTGTTCATTCTTTTATCCTACAGATAGTTGCTGTACTTTTGAAATCTAATTTCTTGTCGAATCGGCTCTCTGAGTTTTCGTTTTTTGAATGGGTGGTATTCAACCCTAGTTTCTTGAAACTCTGATGCTGTAAAGCCAACATGATTTTTCCCCGATATCGTGTCGCAATAGCTGTTTTGCCCTCGTCAAATAAAACTTGAGCTCGCCACGTGCGTTTTGGGTGGTTGTTGGGTGTTTGGCCAGGTCATCAGCCAAAATAAAATCTTCCTGTAACGATTTGTGTCTTGACTTGTCGTGAGCGTTGCGCAACTTGATCACGCTTTCTTCAAACTGCCAATAGGGGACATCCTCGAATTCTTCCAGCTAACTATAGAACTCCTCCAAAACCTCAGATGGAGGGTACTCCTCATCATTATCAGTTGAAAGCCTCAAACTTTCCAGATCATACAGAATGACCATCCTTGCCGCGCACTTCCCCCAGTCAATTCCATCCGCTCTTTTTCCTCAATATCTCTGAAGAGGATTTCAATGTCTTCATTGGTCAAAATCACTTTTCCCTTACCTTGTGTTTTTGCGGCGGTGGCATTTGTAGCCATTGTTGGGTCGTTATTGGCGGTCTCGGTGGTCATGATGTTGCGTGACATACTGTAGAGTTTGGATCTGGAAAAGTACAGTACCGTACTGTATCTTTTGACAAAAGTACTGCGTACCTGGTAGTCGTTGGTCTGCCGGCTCGAATTTCCAGCAACGGTTTTGGAAAAGGGGGAAGCTTGGCCGGGTGAGTAAAAACTCACACGTTTGAGTAAAATCTCACATGTTTGAGTAAAATCTCACACGTTTGAGTTATAACTCACACGTTTGAGTTAGAACTCACACGTTTGAGTTATAACTCGAGGATTCCGTCGCAATGAGTTATAACTCGCAACTTCAGGATTCCGTCTATTGATATGATTTGGAATCCGAACTTTCTTAATGACTCTGCGATCATCACATGACCCACTGTTATTTACAGAATTAGGATCAGAAAATATGGAAAATATCATAAGATGTTCTGGGAAATGACATTATTTTTAAAAACTGAAATATATAAAAGACACGGATCGCTCAGTGAAAGACGTCAGAATTCCCACAATCGACCCCACGCGCGGTACGGATTTTTGTCATTTGCCGGGTGTAAAGAAACTATTCAAGTCTGCAGGACAATCTATATATCCACACGAAAAGGGAAACGCCCAATACAAGTGGAATATCCATGTTGTGTACAATGAAGCAGGGAATAAGACAACATCTGAAACAGTTGCCTGGTGCTTTTGGGTGTCATGGAACTTGTCCTATATTGTCCAGTACTTCCCCCTTAATGCTATAGCGAAATTCCCTTAATTGACAGTTTAATTGGGTAAAAAGGACAAGG